TAAAGCCTAAATAAGCTTAGAAATGTTTCAAGGTAAGTAACTATCAAATACTTCAAGTTGAGTGGTAATATGTGATCCTATCGTTTGAAGTACTTCCGTTTAAGAAAAGTAGCAAGGAAAATCCCAAAAGCCTGATCTGGAGGCAGGCGCTCCTGGACACCCCCCATCACTTCAGTCCCTAAAACTTACCCACCTTCACCATATCAACAGGAGCATCGGTCATAGTAGTGGGTCAACAGACTCATTGCATGATTAAAAATTATTTTACTTTCAAATCTACTTGAAAGAGAGCCTTAACCTTCATTAGATGTGACATTTCCACAAACAAAAATTGATCATAGCTGGACAACACAGGTATGTACGGTAAAAGCAATAAATATGGTGATAAAAATAGAGCATATTATATTTAAAGCTTCAAACTATTCAATCGCGATTTTTTTCGCTGCACACATTCAAGATAATTCAACGAATTTACTTGATCACCACAGCAGAGATTAAAAGTGCGTAGTTTTTCGATAATAAATTCTAAGCGGACAGTTATAGCTTCACTTCCGGTTATCGCTACCGGAAGTAAAGAGCGACTTTTCTTCATCTTGTTCAACTATATATTACTCTTTATAAAATACTTTTTAACGTGTATAAATAGTCTTCACTTGAAAAGCACATATCTCTGAAAAGTTATGCAAAGTTAACTGAACACGCCGTTGAGTTCAGAAAACCAACTGGAACCTTTCAATTAGCTGAAGGAATGCCATATAACTGTCAATTCAACTTATGCAAGTTAGAGCTTAAGAAACCATATAATTTTCATCTCCGCGTTAATTTGGTCACTAATGACTGATGCCTTTATTGTTAAGCTCCCAATTGTTCAAAACTAGATCAAAGTGAGTTGGAAAAACCAAGAGTAAAACTTTGTTACGTCACAAAAAAGAGGCCAGGTTACCAAGAAAGATCAAATGGCAGCGATCTTAAGCGAATTTTAAGCACATCTGAAAACAGTTTTCAGAAAGCTGAGTTTCTCCTTGAATCACGCGGTAATTTCACATAAAATTTTAAGCAGCGGAGATAAAAACTACATTGCTTTTGCATATTTCTTTACAATTCACTTTAAGTACAACTACCAAGGCGATGGTTCCATATCTTTTAGTCATCTAATGACATAACGAGTATTCTAGACCTAAAAGTTCCCATTTAAAACAAGAAATGTGGAATTCAATTTGTGTTTTAAAAAAAAAAAGCGAACAGGCTTTGACGTTAACCTCTACAAGAATCACAAAATTTGGCAAGCTACATTTTTCTGGCTCTGAAAATACAACAACCAGTCAACTAAAAGCGAATTCGTAATCACTGAAATTGAAGATGAATAACTCTCACAGGTTTAATAATTACATCACGATGGGATGGATGGGAGAAAAATGTATAAATAAATTGCTAAGAACAAAATGCGTGGGGTAAAAGTTGCTACAATGCAAAGATTGCCGTACGTATTTTAAGAAAATTTGCACTGTCACGCAGACCTTTGACACAGGACACGACGATTAATTTGGATGGGAGCTCTAGAAAGTAGCTCAAAGTTATGAAGTCAATGTTTGTTATGCTTAAAAGTTTAAGTCAAATAGAAAGTTATGTCGAATAAAAAAAACAAGCAAAAGCCAGAGCAACAAAAGAAAGTTTTTCTTTCGCGTTTGACTTAGCTTTTCTTTTCTTTTCCTACAGTGGATTGAAAATGTTTCCAACAGTGAAAGTTTTCTAGCTCGAGTCCAAAAATATTGAAGGTGACTCTTATCTGTACCCCAATTCATTTTTTTTTAATCTCAACATCCCTCTGATTTCTTCAAAGGTCGGCTTAGTCCTACACCGTGAATTTTCTCAGGTTAACCTTCAATGTTGTGCCACCGAGCTGTACAACCTTGCCGAGGAGTTTCACTTGCGAAAGATTCTGTTCTAGTGCTTGGCACTTATGACGGTTTTACCATCTCCTCTATAGAAAGAAAAAATTCAATAATCAAGGAAAACTCTGGCTAACGATTAGGTATATTTATTCAATGAACGTTTCACGCAATTTCGTGAGGCATGCCATAACATCAAGCGTAACGCAAGATTATGACTTTCATTTAAGTCTATCAGAAGTAACACTCACCGTCGTAAGCTTTTAGCAGTGCCTCCAGGACAAAAATAAATTGTCCCTGAAGAAAAACAAGGGACAGGACTAAGAATTAGTAAACAACGAATATTCAGAACGACCCGCAATCAAAATGCTGTTGTTACAGTCCAAACACTGTTACCTGCAGCACTTGCACAAACCTGACCAATCAGGTTACTAGAAACTAGTTAAAAGTTACATCGAAATTCGACGCTATGTATGCTTGCTTTGGTCCTAGGCACAGATTGGCTCATCTGAATTTATTCGGTAAAATTATTCGTTTGCTATGATGCGATTGGTTAATTTTGGTTCAGTGGCCCTGTAATGATGAAAACTTATCGATACTGTAACGCAATCTCAACTTACCGGAGTTTGTATGAGTGAACATCTTTGATCCCTCATCTTTCGAACGATTTCTAATGGATAAATGGGTTCTGCACTTTCAATCATGTTGAATGCTGACTCCATAAAGATAAGAACACCTGTTCGACCAACACCCGCACTTAAAAGGGAGAAGAAAAAAAAGGTACTTCACTCACACAAACCATGAAGTGATGTGACACTTAGCCTAAATGTCACGCCAACTTGGTTAACGTGAAGATGCTTAGATTCAGCTGTGAGATTACACTCGCTAACACAATCTCTCAAATTTTTGATGGAGAAATAGAATCTCTAAGATTTCAGCAGAAGGTGAAATGATGTTCAGATTTGAGTGCATAATTATGTTTTTTTTCAGTCTTTTGCCGCAGAAATCGTAAGCTTCAAAATCAAACTATATCAAAGCGATTCCTTTTGAGAGAAATACTCAGTTTCTTCAGCTTTATTCTAACATTTTGTGTAAGTTGTCTGCTTACCTGCAATGTAACACAGTCGGAGTGTTTGTTCCTTCCCGGTAATGACGAACAATGTGAATAAACTCCAGAAAATCTGTTGAATCGTCCGGAACATCTACAAACGAACACAAAAACAGTATAAATTAAAGTTAGAAATAATTATAAACCTTTGAAGACGTTTCTTTTGGATACAACATCATTAATGATAAGCTACATAAATTCAAGGTATACAAATAAACACTCAAACTAAGAACTTTGAGGGGAAGCTTCCTCAAAACAAATTTAAAAAAGCCTTGGAAATTGATTAACAAACAGTGTCACAAATTTACCGAAAATTTTAATTTGTCAACAAAAGGAAATTTCGTTTCCAAAATAGATAAATGAGTAGACGTTATAGTTGATGGAAAATAAATCTGACTTCCAACTCAAAATTACATCTCATCGGTCCTGATAATAGCGGTAAACCAGTGATTTTTTTTAACAACTTTTGGCTACAAGTAGCGTAGAATCAGATAGATTTTGGAAAACTAAGGGAAAAGTGTCGAAATATTTGACCAGGTGGCCTACTGCTAAATATTCCTTTCCAAACAAAACCATTTTAAGCCAGGTTTCAATGCTTTGGCTATTGTTTGAGTAAAGAAACAGAACAAAGCGACATAAAACCAGTAACATTTTCCAACGATGTTAAAAATTTCTTTCTTTGAAAAAGGGACTGGAGGATTTCCACACGCAACACAAGGAGAACTTCTAATTGGTTGAGATTTCCCGCGCAATTTCATCACTGTTTCATCGCCACTGGAGCGCATTTTGTAATGTAAGCTGGTTTCACCTTCTTAAAACATTTCATATTTTAAAGCGAAATATAACTTAGGTTTGAAAAAATTCAGGTCAAAACCAGCTTTAAGGCTACTACCAATGGGCACAGTTAAAGTTTTCATAGAAAAGGTCGGGCAGGCGCCTCCGCCGAGCAAAGATTTTCATCAACTCGTCGTGAATGAAGAAGAAGTAATATGGCGAACATGGAGAATTGCGATCCGGAGAGATCAAAGAGGGTTACCGCCAAACCAAAAGAAAGTTCCTTGGGAAGATTTTGACGACGATGCACTTCTACAAGGTGATATAAGCCGTGTATTTGGTGAGGAAACACTTCGGCACGTTCATGCTATAGTCTGCGGAGACTGGCTAATTCGCTTACCGCCTCGCGTAATTGTTAATATTGCTTCGTATCTTGACCTCATCGACATAGTTCATTTAGGAGCTGTTTGCAAGTTTACAAGAAAGATATGTGCAAGCGACCAGCTCTGGGAAAAGATCTATCTGGCTTACTGCGACAGTGTGACAGATGAAGTCAAAACCTTGGCCAAGCAACATGGTTGGCGGAAAGTTTTCTTCACAAACAAGCTAGAGCTTCGCGTAAAATTACGACGAATACAGCGGATCAAATGAACAGTAAACTGACCTAAAACAATGGCGATGTCTCAGTATACTCGAGAAGAGGCCTTTCAAAGGTCTACAGGAGGTCTCGCCAATCGTTTCAAATTTATTTTTGAAATCAAATATTCTACTAACAGTACATTTCACTTGAATAAGAGAATTTTAAAATTTTCCGATGTAGAGATTTCCTCAAGCTGGATTGTGATTACTGACACACAAATGGCACTAGGTTGTTTACCTTTCAAGAATATCTTGGATGTGTAATCTCTTTAAATGACAGATGTTGGATTAATTTCAGATAAGGCTCAGAACCTTATTTTACTAATTGCAAACCGATATTATATTTTTCGAAACTGAATGTTATCTGTGTTGACCTTTCGAAAACCGTAGAAATTTAAGACTCAAAGAACTTGTGGCATTTCGTACTAATATCTTCTGAAGCTATGAATAACAATCTCTTACAAATAAAAACCAGTTTATCTTTGCTATGAAATCAGAAATGTCTTCGTCAAAGACAGTCAATCCAAATGGGTTTTAATTCTACAAAAGTCTTCAAAAGATTAAGCAAAAGTTTTCGTTAGGGAGGGGTGAGGTGGTCGTATATTAGTGTTACCTACCATGGTCCGGCCAGGCAATATATTGTAGCTGAACAACAACACGGCTTCGAAGACTCTATAAATAGAAAGAACAGGTGTCAATTTTCAGAGAAAAAACCGAAAAACTTATTTTGAGCATCATGTTGATGATTTTCCCAAAACACAGTGAAAAACTTATTTTAGGCCACAAAATGTCAACCAAACACACTTCGTAAGACGCGTTCGGAGAAGTAGGTTTTTTTTCCGCCGCAATTCGAGTGCGTCCGAAAAAAGCCAAAGGCCCCGCTCGTCATGAAGACGGTACCAATTACCGATGCCGTATTTTTCGAAGCCAACTTACCTTCGTTTCGGTGACATACATTTCTCTGTAAATATACGACGGTGAGAAGTCGCGGATTTTTGTGCAGACTATTTCTAGATCTCCAAAGGTAAGAGTTTCCTCTCCTTCCGGCCAATATTGGTGACACTTCACCTGGGAAAATACAAAAAGAAGTGAATTCAACATCGCTGTTATAAATTCAAAATGGGAAAAAAAATTCAAAATGGGGAAAATACAAAAAGAATTTAATTCAACATTCAACAGTCCCAGCCCCAAAAGGTAGCCAGTTTGTAGGCCAGAAGGCCTAAGTCACCTCTTAAAGCGAGTACTGAGACGTGATCCCTGCCACAGAAAACCCTACATTCTAACCTCTCATAAGCGACTCCAGACACCCATTATGAGGATATTTTTCGAGCTCCAAGGGAGGGGAAGGGAGGTGGTCTCACTGGAGGGTTTACCGCATTAAGGTTCCCGAAGAATCAGCCACCTATCCAGGTAAACTGGTATACATCCGGAATCTATCGCATTCATGAAACTCGTAATGATCTACAAAATCTACCGAAGATAAGATTTTTCTCTTCGATTTTATACAGTCTGATGCAGTCGATAATTAGAGAGCCTATAACCCTACCCTTCCTCTCTCGACTGTGGTAGTCAGCATAATAATAAGAGATGCCTCTTGCTCCCACACCATCTGTAATTCATAGAACAGATATCACTGTTAAAAAGCGACAACATAATCATCAAGCTAATTTAGTGACAATGTATTTACACATTACCTGCCAGAAATCCCCGCACGTCTTCTCCAGTGGACCTTGAGCAGCTATGTATCTGTTAAGTAATCCTCTCGCAGGAATTTCCATCTGAAAGGTAATCATAGAAAAGGCTGTTTAGCCAACCAACAGAGCTGCGACAACTTGATTTCCTCATTGGCTGTGGTCACGTGTTCACGTGTGACACTCACCGTGACGTAGTTAGCGTTGATATAGTCATTCTTTCCTTTGTAAAGTTTGCATCGCGTATCATCGTCTGTGCATGTAAAGAGTTCAAACACAATTTGAAACTTTTTCATTGCCAAAACACTACACAAAAAGGGGCCCATTAACAAAATTAAAAAAAGAAGAACGGTAGATAAACTCAAGTTCTCACAAGGTAAAATATCTCTGTATCTGTTGCGTGGAAGGTTTTCGGGCTTTCTCGCTTCTTCCATAGACATTCCAGGCTTTTTTCTGTACAATTCCTGCAATAAAAGACAGTTAGATATTACTCATTAGCTGTGTAGTATTCTACATGCCAAGCACTAAAACCTCGTCTAAGAAGAGTTAGGATACTTCAAGTTGCTCAGAAGCAGGGATAGACTTGGTTCAATGGAGCCGGTAAAAAAAGGCCGGTATACCACTGCTCACCTGAAAGTACACGAGCAGATCGCCGCTTTCGAGATTCTAGGAAACAATCAATAAAATATATGTATCAGCACACAGGTGTATTACCACTTGACAACCAAAGCATCACATTTTCTATTAATAAAAAGTGACATAACTGTAGAAAAACAGAGGTGCACGGTACAACATGGCCGCAGAAATTTGCAGGTAGCTATTGCCTGCAAGCCAAGCCCTCAATATTAGCTCTTCGGCACGAACCCGACGGCTTGCCCACACGCGAGGTAGCTGTGAAGGACATAACCAGCGACAGCTTGTAGCGGCACATAATTTGTGACCAGGACGTTCACACAATTAAAAAAAAAGTCGCGACGAACGCAACATATTTTAACTCTGAACTTTCCTTTGTTCTGGTTAGCTGGAGAGTGTATCATAAGTCTTCTACCGCCCGGCTTGAAGCATATATTACCTCTCGGAGTTGATCCATAGAAACACGAAGAGCTTCGGTGTCCTTCACCACCCCTTTTTCCTTTACTTGTTTGGCAACAACTTTTTCTTGTTCGTGTCTCTGTTCAGCCGCGGCAAACTGCTCCGGACTCACCGCATGCACGGGCGAGGGGGCAGAATTCGTGAAAACTGGAACGGAATGGAATTAATTTACCTTTAGTAAACATAAAAAGTTCACGTTACAGTCTTCATTCTTCTTGTCGTTTAAGCTACAGAAACCCAAACAAGCTATAGCAGTGATAGATACTTGATAGGCTTGACCTGTTGTGACATAATAAATACAGAGGAAAACACAAAATATTCTTACCGAATGGTCTTATCGTCATTATCAGTAGTCGTCGGTTTGATTTGCTGATTGTTCTTATGAGATCCACAATCTAAAACCAAACCAAAATAGAAATGTAAACAGGTATTTTATTATCATTATAATTATTATTATTGTTATTTAAGTCTTCAGACATCATCTGCACGCGTTTGACCTCAGTTTATTCATCAAAATGATAAAAAAATAGTTTGAATTGCTCGATCCTTTTGGGAGTATAGTTTTCAAGGCTTTCAAAGCATGACAGTTGTGACCCCGCCAAATTGGTTCATAAATGTTGCGTCACTCTCTCAACATAGCAGATAGAACTACCCTAAACCATCACTATTCAAGTTTTCTCGCGCTTTGAGTACGCTGCTGCAGTTACTCTGGTTTTATGAAAGACGAATTGGAGAAAAAAAGCACAGTATAATTGCACAGATAAAAGCCAGACTCAGTAGACTGATCAGTAATGAAAGGTTTCGTACTTCTTGATGCGGCATTTCCTTGACAATTCTCCCATTTATGTGGACAATCTCATCTCCTTCCTGTAGCTGCGGCATGCACATATCCGCCTAAAAACAAAAAGCCGCGATATAAAAAACTTCATATGACAGCACTGAAACCTGGCAAAATGCTGAACTTGATTAATTTGATCCCAAACACGACTTCATGATGGGGTTCGCTCTGGTGGACTGGTAACTAACAGCATGGGAACGAAGCCAGTTAACATTTAGCACGAGCCTTCCCCAGTTAAAAATACAGTCCAGCGTGATCTTAAGTGTGTGTGTCAAATGAATATGCATTCCGCTGGGAACAGTAATGTAATAAATACAATTAATTCCCTGTACAACAGAACGAATGAAAGCCTTCAAACTCACCGGCATTCCTCGTGCGATCTTGGATACAATCACTGGTAAATCGATATCAGCTCCACCCTACGAAAGAGAAAAATCACAATGAAAAAATTTGTCTGGGTAAAACTGTTAACACGAGAAGGTAATAACTTACCTGAACGTTAAATCCGAATCGTCCTTGTTCATCCGGTTCCATTCTGAAAGAAAAAGAACCATCGATAATTACTGACATATATGCCAGGTTAATCTGTCTCTCAAAACCTTCACAAGACTGAAAAAGAAAGAGTTGGATGCACAGGAGTCTCTAACAATGCCTTCTTCACCAGTTCATATTACAGACAGGCAGCTAGGTAAAAACTCTTTTATTAACATTTGATTAAAAAGGAGATAAATCGAACAAATAAATCGAGCAAATATATCAGTATTTTTCCGCACGCAGCCAAATAAAACATGTCTTCTTTACCTTACAGTAATAAGACCTTCTTGATTAGCAGAACCATTTCTCTGCGAAAAAATAGCAGAAGTAAATAGATTTAGAATCACATTAAAAGATACAAAATAAAGATATGGGCTCAGCACGCTAAAATCATGATAGAATACTTATTTTTGGACCAGAGGAAATTTACATATTCACATATGTAGCTGCTATTTCTGGGTTTACGAATGATATACAAAAATTTCCTCCCAAAAGAAAGAGCGTTTGTAAAAAATAATAATCTGTATGCAAGGAGAGAATCTACACAAGTACAAATAAATAAAACAGGGCGGAGGATGATAAAAATTTCAAGAGGATACAGTCGGATTGTGAGTGAAGGAAAAGACAATTTAAGTGCTTAAAGCAAGGCAAATGTGCAGTGGCATGAAATACGAACGTCATTTTAAAGAGGATAAGAATGCTTAGGAGCATATCATAAACATTTCCGCACAGAAGGATTTTCGTGTAAAGTTTCCAAGGGAAAAACAAACAGGAAGAAACAAAGAAGGCTTTCGTTTCCGTCTCTCTCGTCTGATCCATACGTAAAGACAAAAACAACTTGACTGTACTCTGATAAAGAAACAAAGTAATGGGGAAATGAGAAAATCCACATGGAATTCAATTTTCAAACTTTGAACATCCATAGCTGCAACTACTGAACATTGTTCAGTGAACACAAATATTGCATATTAAGCAGATTTGAAGTAGAAACAGAGAAGAAACACTCTAGAAGTGAAATGAATGCTGTGGAAAGAGGAAAGTGAAGAAACACAACAAATGAGAAGTTCGCGTTTAAAGTAGCATAGTCCTGATCAAGATTCCAGATAGTTACTTTTACTGTTTTCATTTTGTTTCTCATACATACCGGACGAGAACTGTACTCAGCTGCCTCGTCTTCCATATCAGAACCACAAGAGTCGTTAGAGGAAACACTTTTACGCTGAGCGAAGGAGAAAGATACGGAGAAGAGAGAGCAAGGAAACTCAGGTAGTAAACAGAACAGTATGCACGCTGCCCGCATGCTGTAGAAAAGCAAGAAGGCTAAGAAGCAACGCGAATTGACGGACCTCACCAAAGTTTTTTTTAGCTGTTTTCTGAAATGTCACGCAACATCCTCAATCCCCTACCCCGCCCTATTACAGCTCCTGCCTCAAGAAGAGTTGCGTGACTCCCAACTAACGGCTGCGATGGAGGCTATGTTAACTATAAACCTTCTTACATGTAATTCTGGCGTTAGAGCAGGTTTTAGTCGATTCATATGTCCCTCGGCGTCCGCCATTCCAAGGCTCTTGCTTCGAACTAAAGAGTTGTTCATTCTAGAAACGAAAAATGAAACAATTCATCACGTTAAGAAGTCATAGGCTTTGCTGGTTACCTCAATGATGCCCGCGATAAAAAGATGAGCCCGCGTATTGGCGGCCGGAGATTCGCGCATGAGTAAGCACGCGCAAAGATTGAAAATCCTTGTGACTGAAACGCCCGCTCAATTTTTTCAATAGTTAGAAAATTCGCCCGGAACTGTGTGAATGTAACAGGACCCACTAAATATGGAAAAAAACAGATCACTCGCTCACTCACTTGTCAAAATTTGACGGGACAGATGACGAATAATTCAGACCAGCAGACTTGTCGTTGAATACCATGTCATCTTTGTCAAACACGTGATCAAGGTCTATTCTCCGCCGAGAACCTGGACAGAATTACGAAAATCAAGACTTAAAAATATGTATAGAAACTCGAAAACTTAAGTTGAGTTAACCAGATTCCTAGTGCAACTAACCGTCATCATTCCTTTTGGAATACCTTCTGCTGAGAGTCCTAGAAAAAAACAGAGTAATAATTTAAACATAAATTCACTCACAAAGAATATTAAAACTAGAAAATATTTCCCTCAATGAATAAAACGCAAAAACGACCTACATTACGAAAACAATTTAAATACCTCACAATCTTAGGTTCAGTTCTTGGCTGTCTTCTACCTTCTTCTATCGCCTGATATTCTGTTTTCCCCCTGCAGCGAAGTGAACCAAGGAAATTACAATATAATAATTTTCCGCAAATGCACCATGGCACAAAATATCTTTGCACGGTGTTGCAGCGCGCAGATATTACCTGTATCTGTACTTCGAGCCGATCCTCACAAGCGAGCCTTTGTTGTTCGTTGGTTTTGGAAAATGAGTTCTATAAAGGAAAAGAAAAAAAAATAATGTTAAATTAAATCAAGCACTCAAGTGAAAATTGCTGAATGGTTTCACAATGCAGTCTTGCTAAAACTAGCGCCCAATATGCTCTTGTTCGCGGGGCTGTCATGAGCATTACATAAGTGTACTACACACGCGTGTAATAAACAAGAGAAAAAGCCCCTTAAATCATCGCGCGCGCGTGAATTCTCGCTCGCGCGTGCTGATCTCAATCACGCACATCTAGCACGCAGGCAGAGTAAAAACTGACCTATAAAAAGTGTGATATTCAACACAGGTTTTCCAAAGTGTTTTGCATGCTCTGTAGGTTGGCATGTGAAAACCAATGACATTATCAGTCCATTCATTCTGAAAACAAAAATGAAAACAAAACTAAGCATGTTAAAAATAACAATCCCGTCCAAAATTGTGGTGTATCTTAAAAGTGTAGATCAGGAGAGAAATCCCAAACGGGGATGCTTGTAATCTAACATTTGTAAAAAATAAAACTCTTACCCAATCTGGCCGTATCTGAACAAAGAATCTTTTCCTTTTAAAACAAACTTTTACAATCTTTGACCTGCAAGTAAAGCAAATCACAAAGTTTTTCAGCTTCTGAACATTTAAAAAGAGAACTGAAAGGGCAATGTTAACAAAATGTTCAAATGTCAGATTGTGTTAGTATAAACCCTGGAGGACATTTTTCAGGAAATTTTCAAACCAAGAAGATCTTTTGGAAACAATTCAGTCTGAATACTGTTTATCTTGTAATCTTTACACCAAAGAAAATTTTGGGGCTGTACATACAAAGACACGAGAGGGCTAGAAGCTGTCAATTTCTGACCAGACTGCAATAGAATTACTGACGTGATTCTGGATTACATGTAAAAGGATCAATCCTACACTAGCTACTAGGAATCTTACATGTATAATACATCCAGGGGTTTCATAATTTTTTCCATAAGTGGCTTCCACTTGTGTGATGAGCAACTGTGCCCAAAAGGAGGGAGTAAGGCAACACCCAAACAAGTGAACCTTTTCCCAGCCTAAACAGACGGTGGTAAGAGGTCTTACAGGCAGCAGCAGACCCCTTGTAACTGGCTATTATCAAAACAATGGTATACCAGCCTTGATGTTCTACAATCTCATCTCTACATACCATGGGAAGAAATTAATTTTACATCTGTTGTGGTAGACAGTCAAACCAAGAGGAGAAATTCCAATGTGAAGATCAAGGCCATCATGATCCTACAAAGAAAGAGGAAAGAACCTTAACATCAAAACAATTATTTTTGTCAGAATTAGTATGGACCATACATTACATTTCACTTAAAAACTCTAACAATATTAGTATTGATAATAGGATTGAGTGGAGTCTAATTCAGTCTGTGATCATACAAATGATTAACAAAATCTGATGAATGCAAGGTGGGAGTTTAATTTTGTTAATTGTTCATGTGATTACAGACAGAACTGGACAACACAAAGTCCTGTCACCAATTTATCAAAACTATCACAAAACTAGTGAAACAAACTAGCCATTCAGTGGTTGTATGTTTTCATTCATAAAACACACACAACAACAATAGTAAACAAATGGAAACTTGTGACAACAGCACATACACATAGGAGCAAAGAATTTATAAGCAGATTGTCTCCCATACCTTAGCAAAATGAAGATCTACTCCATAGAGATCCAAATTTTTGGCTACCTCAAGAAAATTGAATTCTGCATCTGCTGGACTTTGGCCACTGAAAAAGATTCATTACTTTAAGATTCAAGTTGAGTACATGGAATCTCAAGTATACTGACAGAAAAAAATAGGCCATCATCAATCCTTAAATTTATTACCCATGATGTTTGTGAAATTCTGCTGCCCTTTCTTCAAAATCCTCTGACTGGAAAGAGAAAAAATTAAGCCATGTTTAACACATGCCATCAAGAAATATTTGCATTTTTAAATTACCATATCTTAAATTTGCAATATTCTGTATATGAGTACACTGTATGTCTCAAGGTAACATTGTACACTTTCATTCCCATGCATAACTGTAAACATACATGTTATGTGTGTGTGTGTTTTTTTTTTTTTTTCAGACATGTCATTAGCATATCACAAATACCAAAATCCAAGTTATTACTGCAGTCAAACAGGAAAAAAGAACAACATCACATGTCCCAATGTTTACTACCAAAACAGCTTGATTACAAAGTCAGTACAGCATTAGGAAGGGAGAACACTTCACAGACCTGGTCGGGTACAAAACGGAATTCAGACACATATGCTTCATGCATTGCCCTGGGGTCATAATCACCAAGTTCACCTGAAATATTGACCAGTAAATAAGTAAGGATACTGCGCAAGCATAAGTTAATTTGGAATTGAACATGCACATTGTGAATGTTTTAGGAGAATATCTACCTTGAATGTATCAACTTCAGAGGATTTTTCTGTTACAGTATTTTCAGCATAAGACTGCAATTTATTAATTAGTGGCAAGGAAGAACAAAAAGAAATTTCTTGGAGCAGAATTCATAACCTGTTCAGAAAAGCTAGTTTATACATCCTGAAGAACACACCATTCATTTTCACATATTTTTATTGTCATAACCAGTTGATGACAAAATTCAAGTTGAAAGGAAAAACTTAGTTCACCTTGAAGTACATAGGAAGCTAATTCTGCTGCAGTGTCGTACAAACATGGCAATCTGCAAAAAGGAAATCCTTCATCTATTAACCCTTTAGCCTCTCAGTGTGATCAGTAATAAATTTCTCCTTACAATATCACCCCTAAATCCAACATTTAGGTCACAAGAATAAAGAAATGATCACAAACTTAAGTGGCTCTTGATTGATAGACAAATTCTCCCCTGTCAATACCATAAGGAATGGAGAAAGGGCAGTATAGAGAAAATGCATGCTGATGTTAGGGTGTAAAGGGTTAAAGGTCTTGTACCCACAAACAAGCAAGTTATGTGTCAAAGTAAATCAGAAATCCTTCATGAGAAAAGAGTAGTATATTTATCTAAGAGTTAGATGATCATCAATTACCTTCCAGTCAAAAGGTCTCGTTTTATTTGAAGATAGAATTGATATCTGCAAATGTACAATTTAATTAACGATTAACTACTTAAAGTATTTCAATTGTGACAGTAATAGGAAGAACAAGGTTGTAATTGTTGATATTGCATCAAGTTTATAGCAAATGATTTATAAAATTTCATACCTTGTTACATCCTCAGAAAGTTTGGAAGGATCTGAAGCAAAAAATCTCACTCTAAAATAAAATATGTAGGGGGGACCACCTGTGAAGTAAAAATTAAAAGAGCATTAATTTAAGTAATAATCAGTATGGATAATTTCATTGCCTGGAAGAGGCTGAGTGCCTGAGATACCCAGGAGCTACCCCTAAGATTGGCATTTAATTTCTCCTTTCAATATCACCCTTCAATCACATGTTAAGGTCACAAGAATGAAGAAAATGATCACCAATTTAAGGAGCTCCTGATTATCAAACAAATTCTCCATGTCATTACAAGAGGAATTGTGATGATAAGAGTATAGAGAATATGAATGTTAATGTTAGGATGTAAAGAGTTTATATTCAGGTCCTAGAACAGTACCATTCTCATGGTAAATACTGGCAACCTAGCTGGGGGATGTGGGAATGAAAATGCCACCCTTACTTGAACATGCCTTCATCCACTTGATACACTTCAGTTAGAAGGTGATTGTTAGAATCCTGGCACATGAACAAATTATTCAATTATTTTAACTGCACTTTTTATCCACCTCTTATAAAAGTTCCTATGTGACAAGACCTCAAAATGAAACAACTCCCCTAATATAGTAATGAAGACCCAAATATCTTTAATGTACATTGTTACAATATTGTTACTTACGTTTCAGTTGTTTCCTGATTTGTTTGTCAGAATTAAGCCATTGCTATTAAATGAAACAGGAGATGTGATGGTCAATGGAAAAGTCACAAACAAAACTGATATTATAAAAATTGTATGGCAGACATTAAGGAGAAGTACTTACGAGATCTTGGGAGTGAAATTGTTAATGAAGGGGTACATTTGATACAGGTTTCACTGTTTGCAAAAGAAACTATGAAGTAAATTTTGCAGAAAAAATATTGGAGGGTACCTACCAAGTTGTCGGGAGAATCAGCAACAAATTGAAGACCAAAGAAATGTTTTTCCAACAAGTCAAGATGCTTGAAAACAGCTTCTAGCAAAGTTTCACCCCTGGAATGTTTCTAAATAAAGCAAAGACAGTAAATATTTGCAAGTTTTAAAGCTACATGTATCACAAAAATGCAAGCATTTCTGGAATGTCAAAAGAAAACTCATCTTGATGAAACATCAACCTGAAGTCTGTGGTTAACAGATTAACAAATTACCTAGAAGTTAATTACATCTGTAAAAACCACATTACTAAATTATCATATATTTTTTTAGATGTGCAAATCACAAACATTTATAGCTTCAAATCTGCGATACTATGATGCTAAAAATATCAAAAAGATTTGATCAGAATGTTGGCTAATCAAAGATTTATCTACATTTCATAAATGATAATACTAAAAATAGAATTTGTTAATAGTGTTGAAGTCGAAGGAGATCAGAAGTTTAAAATTAAAGTAAAGGAAAAAAAGAATGAGTATTTTTGAATAGTTTAGAATATCCAAACTACTGCTAAGTCGCAAGTTTCACAGGTAATCAGCTTTAAGACATTTGTTACATAAATATTAATGAAAGCAAGACCCCCCTACGACCTCTACAGAAACTTGTAGTTTTAATTTAAAAACTTGCTGTAAGAAATTGCCACTCAGAAATTCTACTCACATGTATGAGGATATCAACAGAAAATTTACATTATTACTGATTTATGCTGTATATTTAACTCACTAGAACAAAGACGAGTTCCAGAAAATATCTTATTTTTAAATGACCAAATTAATCTTTGCGATGTTCTTGAGACAACTTCAAATTTTATGAAAAATATTATATTGTTTTAAAAATCTAGGCGATGATGCTGTCGTAGCACACAGACAATACCTTCTGAAAGTAAAAGAAAGAAAAACGATAATGATGTTTAAAAAAAGTTCAAAATTACATCATCATGCATAACTGAAAATAAGTTAATAACTTTCTTTCATTTACATAAAAATAAAACAATACCTAGGAAGCAGTAACAGCAAAATGATGACTCAGACTCATTCAAATTCCATTCACGTAATATAGAATCCATCAAATAGAATTGTAAATCCTTTTGAAGATTTTAAATATTTATAATTGGTAGGATTTTTTTCTCATCAACATATATCACATATAAAACAGTGTCAATGGAAAACTGCTTTCATTGAATTAAGGTATATTTTTCATTATTTTATGTGTAATGCAATAGATATATACTAAAAATGAGCTGAAAATTGTATAACACGATCAAACTATAAAATGTACTTGTAACATGATACTAGTAAGACGATTTACTGCTCTCGACAGATTTCAGCTGAATCGTGTTCAAAAATAGACCAGGAAAATATTGAAGAAATGCAAATAAAGTTCGAAAGAAGAAAACAGAGATTCAATTCAAAACTCTAAAATGGGAGTTCTGCTTCTTCACACTGTAAATTTTTTACTAGAGGAAAACACCAAGGTGTGAAAATATGCGTAATTTGTAACTGTCGCATACATTCTCCGGCTTCTTTCATTTTTCGAGATTTTTGAAAAGATAATGCAAAACTAAAATACACCGCCGGAGTTTTGAAGCTCATCAAAACGTAATTTAAAGTTAGATGTTTTCCAATGGCTTCATATATTTTCGCTAATTTTGGTGTTTATTTTTTAAACACATTTAACTCGATCAGAATCGCCTTAATTTCATACGATGTCTGATCATTGAAGATTGCCTTCGTGGTTTTTCCCCAGAATGTCATCACAAAAATCACAAACTATTCAAAGTGCACATGGAGCGATTACTAAACCAAAACCAATTTGCGAAGCTAGAAAATGGTACAATGGTCGCGAGTTAATTAAAGACAATCCAAAAATACCAGCAAGCCGATTTTTCGAGAGCGATAAAAATACTATTTAAAATGCACACTGGGTTCAAAATTGTTCTTCCCAAATGGAGATTGATTAACTATAATAAAGAATCATGACTGAAATTAAGTATATAATTTTCAAAACAAAGGCTCAACCTAGAGTGCAACTCAGCTCGAAAGAGTCGTAAATTTACCTTGAACACGCACGGATTACGATTAAACAACGGACATATTCCTTCTCTCCACGGGATAACTAAGTTGTCGAGTGCTATTTCAAAAGAACTATGCGAAGCTCGACAAATTCAACAACGCCTTGCTTTATACTCACACGAAACTCAATCAAATTTACAAATACAAAATGACAAAATATGTCTACTCACATCAATATCAATGACAAACTCCGAATCATCTAAAAGCTCCACGACGCATCGAATTTTGTTAGGAGTTGTGTTTCCGCTCCGCGCCAATTCAGATCCACGAACGCTGTAAATCCCGCTCTGGGAACCCAGCGATGCAGGGCGAAATCTTCTTGACATTGAGCCTTACACCGAGCCAAAATCTTTCATATAAGTCACCGTGATCTACCCTATGGAAGAAAGGCAGTTGATCGCCGAAGTTATAAACAAACCAGTTGATATTTTCGTTTGTATTTACGATGATAGAAATTTGTGAGCGGTTTGTAGCCACATTCGACGTCACGTGGTTACTGTTAAAAACTTCTGATTGCGGGCTCGCGTTACATTGCAAGATTTCAAAATGGCGGCTGCCACTCGCGATTCTTCCCGATTTGCCGGTGTTAAAACCTTTAGCGAGAAGTTCTCTCAGCCAGAAGTAGATGCAGAAGGAAGAGTTAGAAAGGTTGGTTCTCATCCAATTAACTTTTCGGTTTAATCCTGTTGAAAATACCCACCGAATTTTGGTAAGGAAAGTAGGTGTTGTTTCGTGGAATTTCCGGTTGCAATATGATGTAAACACTGTAGTCAGTGAAACGCCCACTCGTTTGATAGTAACATGTAAATTTTTCTAATGACAGCGAACGGATGCAGCGACTGTTTTCCCCCATTTGCGGCGGAAAATGTTAAATAAATCGTATGTGAATGGAGGCGGTATGATTGGGCATGTTATAATACAGGGTGGAACCATTCATAATACGGCCGCTTTCTAGTTAACAGGAAAACCGGTAACCTTACAATCATATCAGTGATCCCATGGCCACATGGAGATTTTTTTTCCAAAGCCTGTAACATTTTTGTGATTGTGGAACACTCTACGCTGAATGAAGTAAAATTGTACCTAGAGCAAACTCGCTCATCGATAGTAAGGAGTAGGAGGGGGGAGGGGGAGGGGGTGTGTTTCCTTGTCCTAACTTCTCTTGTCACATTACACCCACCCCCATATCATCATGGAGCATCAACAAGTAGCATAATTTTTTAGAAGCCCAAGCTACAATAAATAACCTCCCTTCCAACTTAAACATCCAAACCACCCCCATATCATCACAGAGCATCAACAAGTAGCATAATTTTTTTAGAAGCCCAAGTTACGATAAATAACCTCCCTTCCGACTTAAACATGATGAAAAATATACCACTGGAAAAAAAGAGGGAAAAAATCCATTATAGCTAATAAAATGTTAGAAAATTTGACCAATCAGAGCCATTCAAAATGTAAATTTGGCATTTTCTGTAATTTTTACCACAGATTGAGACCAGGGAAGATGAAGAACAAAATGTTAAAATGGCAGAAACTGTGGAACTCCTCCTGGCTGCAGGATACTTCAGAGCAAGAATCAAAGGGCTATCACCATTTGACAAGGTTGGCAATAAGAGGCAGGGCTACATCCTAGTGCCTCTGATCATCTATTGGTATTTCCTATGTGTCTTTTAGTCTTCATCACATATCAAATGCAATGTTATTATATCCAAGGTTGTTGGCGGCATGACATGGTGCATATCAGTCTGTGACTTTGACATAGATGTGGATCTTCTTTTTCAAGAAAATTCCACCATTGGACAAAAGATGTAAGTTTAATAGCCATTAGTTTTATTTTCCACAACTAATCTTCTTTTGTGGTAGAGATTTTCTCATGCCTCAAATAGGAGCAGTAGGTCATCCCTAGATGATAGTTTTCTTTTTTCTCATCTCTTCTATTCTTGAAAATGTGCTGACAACCAGCATATGGAAAGTGGGATAAATAATATTGTTTTCATCACCAGTGACTTTCCCACTCTTCACCATGACCTAAAGATTCTCCCCAGAAATGGTTGCTAGTTATGAATCAAGGTTATTTTCCATCATGTTACAACAGCTGCATGCTATTGTTGACCTATGCAGAGCCTTGACTGAGAAGATTGTTGCTGTACTTCCACGCATGAAATGTCCTCATCGCCTTGAGCCCCATCAAATCCAAGGCTTGGATTTCATCCACATTTTCCCAGTGATACAGGTAACAGATAAAAAAAATATCCAGACCCATGCAAGTGGGGGAGGAGGGGGGGGGGACAGTAAACTATATATGGGAGAGGTGAACAATTCTTAAATTTCTAGAGGGGTGCCCATAGAGGTGGATTTAAACTATATAACTGGGTTGAGGTATGAATATTTTCTAGCAATCACTGCTACATGTATGCAGACTATTAGGTTTGTTTTCTTATAGCAAGAAGCCAACTGTTATTATTATCAGTGAAAAGGTTTAAGCAGTAGGTGTTGTGTTTCTCAAATTTTGTCATGTGGCTTTACATAGTAGGTAACAGGAATTTGTGTCATCCAATTTTGTCTGGAATCGTGCTTTGGAAACTTACTGTAATTTCTACTTAAATGCCCATAAAAAAGAAGTTAATGTGCTATTTTTCCCCATCAGTGGCTGGTGAAGAAGGCAATTGAAAGAAAAGAAGAAATGGGTGACTACATCAGAGAGTTTTCTGTGTCACAGTTCAACAAATTTCACTCAACTCCACAGGTATAGTCTACAGGGACACCATATCCTTGATTGGATATTTAAAACAAGCAGTACATGAGTGTTGATACTTATAATTGCTTCCTTCCATCTTTTTGCTGTTTTTCTCTTTAGGACCTTGAATTTAATACAAAGAAGCCAAAGTGTATAAATGGAATGAGGAGCCTCAAGGTTGGTTTCTTGCATTGTTCATCTAGGGCTTCCAGATGATAATTCTTTTCTCCATTTCTCAACTAGAGATAACACCTTTTATATCTTATTTTATTTCCTATTTAGGATACATACAAACCACGCAGAAGATATCGCAAACCAGAATCCATGGCACAAACTGATGAAGAAACCCAGGTCAGGACGACACTTTTGGAGTATGGCTGGTGAGTAAATAATTTACTTGTTGCAAAAATAATCTATATAATTGCCGTGTCCTATGATAAAATAAACTTGATTGTAAATTTCCTTTTTTTTACTGTTTGATTACAGGCAATATGGATTCAGCAAGGAACAGAGAGATAAGGCAAATGATTACATCAAAATGTACATTTATGTTAACCTTTAGCTTCCAGAAGTGATTACCTTGTAACTTCTCCCAATGATATCCAGTTATTATCCAGCATAAAGGTTATGAGAATACTCAAACTTATCAAGTAGAACTTGTTATCTTGATCTAATTCCAAATTCTTACAACTAATTTACAACGAAATGTGTAGCAGCTGGAGGGGAGAATCAACAATCAGATCTTGACAGTTAACAATGCTAAGCATGCTTGTTGTTAGAATTTAGTGGAGTATTCACAAGGAAGAATTTTCAAACAAAAATCACGTGGTGATTTCCTCTGAAAGAATTTTATATTTTTTTATTAATATTCCTTAGGAGAAAGAACAGGCAGAGAAGAAAAAAGCTGCTGGAGCTTCAATGCCAGGAAAAATGCAGCCAGTGTCCTCTGGTGAAGAGGATGAATATGTTGTTGAGCAGGTCAGTGAGACTACAACATAGGAAATGTGGAGATCCATGACACAGTGAAAAATCTGTAAAATAAAACTTTTATGCAATTTTTGTGCTATTTAGCTATCTTGCCATCTCACTAAGTGTTGCATTTCCCTCTAATCACCTCTTATGTTTCTACTTTTCTGAATTGTTTAGCAGTATTATGGAAAAATAAAAATTTGAAACCACTCTTTATTACAGAAACGTCTGAAATCATTGCTGAAGGGAATGTCTGTCATGCAGGGGAAGGAGGTATGGTTTGACCCCTTACTGTAAACACTCTGCAAATATACTTCCTCTCCTCACTACCCTCTCTCTAATAAGCCCTCCTGTTCTTACAGTTTTTCCAACAGCCCTTAAAATCTGTAAAATTGATTGGTAAAAACCCCTTTAAAAGCCTAATAAGCCCTCTTCTCTCCAAAATCTTTCTCTTTAATAAGCCATCCCCTTTCTCTATTGAGCACCTATCTCTGTTAAGAAGTTTTGTCTAGAATATTTTTAAGAAGGCAGCCATTAAAATATACCAGCCAGCAAAGGTAAAACTTATTTCTAGACAGGTATTTTACTGCCTTGTATTACTGATTTAGGCGTCACTTCAGAAACAAGAAGGGAGTGGAAACACTGTCCAAATCTCTTATATTGAATAACTCTCCTCTTTAACAGGTACCGATACCCCTCTCAATGTATCATCATCTAGAATTTTAAGTTTCTACTAACCCCCCCTCCTACCTCCTCTGTCTACTGAGTTCCCCCTCCCCCTTGATTCCTCTGGAAGCTATGGAAATTGAAAGCCACTTGGACGGCTTATGAGAGTTTTTAAAGTTGGTAAACAATGAAGATTTTTACATACAAATTGAAAGCCACTTGGAAGACTTTTGAGAGCTTTACAGTAACTAAACAATAATAATCTTTGTATACATGAACATCATTGCTTTCTATCACCTCTCAATTTTTTCAGGGTTCACTTTCATCAAGTGCAGTCGGCTCCATCGTTGGTTTGCAGTCAGAAGAGATCTCTCAGATTGCCTCAGAGTATGCTGAAAGGGTATGTGCATTCAACTATTCTAAAATTTTCATTTGAGAGTCAAAAGTAATCAGGATTGCTTTGGTTCTGTTTGCTGCCCCTCCTAACTGGGTCAGAAAGATCATGCCACCCTTACAGTCAGTTACACTATAGAGTAAAAGTGAAAAGAAACACGGCTTGTTTGTTGGTGAATTCCTTAGCTTAAGGCCATTTATTTCACCATGAGTTCCTTAGCTTCTTGTGATATCTTTTATTTATTTGTTCTTTTTTTTTTACGGTTCATCTCTGTGTTTCCTTTGGTGTTGAGTTTACAACAAGTGATCAAAAAGCACTTCAAAACATGCTCCCATTTATCAAGCCAGGTTTGTTTTAGAAACACAAAGAGTAAAGTCCTCTTAAATTCCAGAAACTGAAACAAAAGTACAAATTCTTATACATTTGTATTTTCAGGTGAGACTTTCAGGTAAAAGATGTGTCTCATTTTGTAAAAGATAAGCTTCTAATTTGTGTGTAAAACTTCAATATTCAGCAAGCAGAGCTACAAGAGGACATGGAAGCCAGAGGTGAGCGAATGGGAGGAGTACAGGCTCACAAAAGAATGGTAGCATCACTTGAGAAACAGATTGCTGTACAGGAAAAGAAACTTGAACAGGCAAGTGTGTTTTGTTATTTAAAAAAAGATTATGTGTCTGTTTGTTTAAGTATTTCTAAATTCCAGTTATTTTTATTCCAGGTACAAGAGAAACATAACAAACTGCAAGAAACTTTGTCTGAAGCAGAGGAACAGCTTTCACAGGTAAGTTAAATGCATAAAATTGTTAAAATTTATCTGAGCTCAGTGGAGTTTCTGCCAAGGTGTATGTCAATCACTCGATAACCAACCGCTGGTGAGGAAATGAGCCTGCACTACTGTCCTCAAGAGCGGCGAGCATTGACCCCTTTAATACCAGCAGTGACCACCGAGGAATTTTCCTTTCAATGACAATACTTCTAAGAACTATTAAAACTAAGGTAAAGTGTTTGATTGAACATTAAATTTTATGATAGTAAGAAATGTATGTGAGAGAGTGCACAGAAGTGATTTTTAGATCTTAGAGGTGAAAGGGTTAAGTAATGACATTTCCTGCTGTTTTGTAGGTTGTAGCTCGTGGAGAGAGAATTAGCGAGGAAATGGAGAAGTTCAATCAGATGGAAAATGGAGAAAATGCAAGGTATTCTATATTTTCAATTAGTAGTACTGTCCACACGATGAGTTATCTAGTAAAAAGCATTTTCGACTGCCCTAACACTTGTTCATGCGTTGTTTTTTTTTTTTTTTTCAGCATTCTTCAGAAGCTTCGTTCCATTGTTGCCATGAATGAGAATTTGAAGAAACAAGAGCAGCAATTCAGGGCGCACTGTAAGGTAAAGCGGGTTAAATGCACAGACACTTTCTTTAAACTAATTTTTTATAACCATCATTTCCTATTACTATATCTCGGATTCCAATGTCATGTCTCTGACTGGCTTTCAGTGGTCTGTCTTACAGCTTAATTTCGTGCAGAACCAATGAGCAGTCACAGACCTCTTTACGGTTACGTTATTAACATAAAACTTTTTTAAGAACAATTTATTTTGTCTCTTGAAGGTGTTTACGATAAAATCGCTGAAATCTGTTGCTAGACATTCAGTTGGAAGAGCACTGTGTGATTGATTGTTTTTAAAGCAACTCTAGCTATCGCTGCAGCCAATCAGAACAACAGTAAATGTAACAAGGGGCCAATGAGAACTTAAAGTGAACGCAGCGCGGGAAGACGCACGTGACCAAGTGGTAGTCGAGATTGGTGTAAATCACAAATGGCTTCTGACACCCGAAAGGAAAATGTTTATTTTTACATCTTTTCAAAAAGTTACCATGTCTGAGAACTACCAGTTTTTTTTAATTGTGTTTAATGTGTCACTATCATTTCGTTTGTTTCAGGAGGAAATGGCTCGCTTGCAGAACAATTTGGAAAAACTTAAATCTCAAGGATCTGAAGATGACATCGAAGAGAAGGTACTGTTGGTAGAGCAAGTAAAGCAAGGAACGAATTGTGTAGGGATCTCATCTATGTCTTCTCTCTTTTTCAGGAAAGATTGGAGCTGATCAGCAAACAATACGAGGCTGATAAAGCAAAGTTGGAAAAAATAAGGCTTTTGCTGGTAATGGTTTTAAACATCTTGATGGTGTATGAGTGTTTCCTTGACCTAGTCCTCCATTTACTTGAAAAATGCGCAGGAGAAGCGTGGAATCACGCGTGATCTGCGCGTGGAACACGCTTGGGGTCATCGCGGGATAACGCGCGGAATATTGGCACCCAAATCTTCGGGAAAAATTCTACATATGGAGAGCTTCTTCGTGGGCCATAACGTTTCTTCCCCTTGAGTTTTTTTTCCTGTTGTTTATTCGACGCTGTTTTTGTTCTTCAGGCTCGAAAGAACCGTGAAATATCTTCGCTTCAGAGGAAGATTGACGAGGTGCCTTCTCGTGCAGAGCTGACTCAGTATCAGAGAAGATTTGTGGAACTCTACAATCACGGTACATAGTGCATTATCTGTCAATTAACGTGGCGCGGCCGAGAGCAACTGTTACATCATGAGTGCTCTCCAAAATGGCCAGTGGCTTCGTATCTCAATGAACGCTGAAAACACAAACCATATTCTGTAATAATTCAACGCGAAAGTTGAAATGTTTTATAAAGAGAAATTCCCTCTGCCGCGCTGCTATGGGTGCGCGCTGCTATGCTACACAGAGTCAAACGTCTGCGCATGTGCGAACGTTGTAATGACTATGTGGCGTGTTCGTGGTGTGCTTTCAGGCTGTGAGAACCAAGTTGCCACACACGAGCTACAAACAGCCACACAATCCAGTAAATACCCATGTATGACTTGTTTGGCAAAGCTCAAAACAGAATGATAAATCAACAAGCTACCCGTTCTTGAAAAACCTTTGTGTTCAAAAACTCGCAAGTTTTCCTTTTCCCGACTTTTTTTTCCTTTTACGATTTCTCCGAACGTTTCAATTTTCTTTCGTCCTTTTTGGGGAGACAGCGGTAGTTTCTTGTGTTTTCCTTTGAAATTTTTCGCGGGAAGTTGGCACCCGGCTGGCCGAAACTGATCCCCTCGCTCATGCCCGACGTTTGACCGTTGTGTATGAACTTACTGGCTGTGTTCTTTGTGTTACCTGCAATCTAATATACTGTGGTACAGCTAATATGATAACGATGTTCCTTACTTATTCCTAGTGGCTGGAACTCATAAGGAAACGAAGCAGTTTTTCACTCTTTACAACACTTTGGATGACACGAAGCTGTACTTGGGGAAGGAGGTTAGAAGTGTTAACTTACTTCGTTTTGCTCCCCATCCACCCCTCCCCTGCGCCTCGTGTGCCGCTTCATTCTTATTGCATTTTGACCTCAATTGTTATCTATTACTGAACAGACGTACAGTAACATGGAGCATGTGCAGTATATATGCAGTATTATCATTATCTGAGGTTTCCGTATACTTCATTCACAGTGATGGAGAGTTTAAAGTTTTTTTTAATCCTTTTTTCTACAGGTTAACTTGCTTAACTCCATCCATGACACCTTTGAACAGTAAGACCTCTGTCATTTCAATAAGTTTTTATCAATTAGAATTGTATATCCATTTGTATATCCACCAGAATGTTACCTAACTTGTTTGTGCTCCTACGAAGGGCTAACGCTCGAAACGTCAGCCTTTAAACTCTTTACGGTGGTCAATTTACGTTTTCAACTCAGTTGTTAACACTTGTACTCTCCCACCGACGCAGCACCACAGTTTCTCAAGAAACTTACCAACTTTATTCATTTGTGCTTCTAACAATTGGTTTGTTTTTCTAACGCATCAACGGAACTAAAATTAGTTAGTCACATTCATACACTCTTCAAACAGCCTAAGAAATTTTATTTTGATATGCTACTTCCCTTTTTTTTTCAGAGGTATGTCATCTCCGATGAACAAGGAACAGTTCCTGAAGCAGTTTGACAAAATCGTGACGGGAATTGTGGACAACAAACAAAGGGTACGAGATGCTTAAGAGTTAAGCGAATTACATTCCCAAGGAACGCAAAGCGCTTTAAACCAGATACACGAGATAGTCTATAACATGTTTAAATCGTTATGTTATCTTGACCGTCTCAATAATTCTGCACCATTATTTCCCGAGCTTCCCGCTGGGGTTGCGCGGTTTCCTACGTTTGTTGCTGTTACCTGTTTTCCCGCCAATTTCTCTTTTGATTTGTGTTCCCAATCTGAGCAATCATATATCTTTGTTTCAGATTGAGAAGAAGAAAGCTGTTGAGAAACAGCGTAGAGACGCCTTGAATCAAAAATATCTAGAGATAGTGGAGCAAGAGAGATTGTACTTCAAAACAGTTAAAGATTTTACGGAGGTAGGCTTTGGCGTGGTTCCACTGTGTTTTGTTTTCGCGCGATTTAATTTTAAAAAGACGCTTGCGTTTTAAGCGCGGGAAAATTGGCACGTGAACCAATTACGATTGGTTTTGGGAATACAACGGTCGAACGTTGAGCATGCGTAGCTGTTTCAATTTTTCCCAACCGTGCGCCACGCGCAAAATATTGCAGGAAAACAGAAACCACTGTTTCTCACAAACTTCACGATAGAAATTAAAGACTTACAGAAATCTGTAAAAGAAAACAAAGGTTTCCTGTTACTTAATATTTTGTTTTGAGCTGTGCTTAAAAAGGTTCCTAAACACCGTGTCTCGCTGGCTTGTGCGCATGTTTCCAACTTCTTTCAGACAACTTGGTTGTGACAGCCTTAGAGCACTATGTTCGCCCGCTATTTTGGCTCTCTTGTAGCTATGTCAACTTTTGCTCATGCGCATTCATTTGACCGCTGTGTATGTTTTAGATTTGTGCCTAGTTGAGGAAAACCACAACATTTCTTGTCAGCTCATTGAGCTAAGCTAGCGTTGTATAAATGATGCAAATTGTCTTGATCGATTTTTGCGTCTTTTTTTACTTGTAGGAATGTCGCAAGAATGAGGTCCTCTTATCCAAGTTCAAAAGTCTTCAGATTTCTTAGTTCCTAAAAGGTGTTTACCATGTTTACAAAAATCTGATCTGTTTTAAAACTTGCCTTGTAAAAGGACACGAGAAGCCAAGTTTGGTACACAGTGCTGTTTCGGAAAAAGTACAGTTTAATTTTATTATTGGAGTAAAAGACGAGGGTAAAGTCATTCACAAGAACGAAATACTTCATTAAAGATTTTTATTCAATTAATGTTTTCATCAGTCTTGGTTTATTTTGTGTGCCTTTTTACAACGTCAAATACCATGGCCAGTGTATCATATTTTCTGCCATTTTCAGCAAAACACGTTAAAGGAGAAGAATCTGATTAAATATAGAGCCAAAAAGGTAACCATGTTACTGATTTATAGAATATAACGAAACTATAATAGAATCGGTATCTACCATAATGTAATCATCTGATCATCATTCGGCGAAAAAATATCCAACATAATGAAATACTCAACTGAACGTTTTGATTCTGTTACTTCCCTTGGAAATAACTTTGCTGATTTTACATCTTTGATCGTCTTTATATCCTTAATATAAGGAACGAGAGCCAGTTACAAGATCAAGTTAGCCATTAAACTATTTGTTTCAGAGGGTCATGAAGTCATGCAACGCATTGAGTCGGACAGAAGTTCTATGGGATGTCACGCAGCGCCCCAACTAGTTTTGGGAGCGTTTTGAGACATCCTAAAGGACGATTGCGAAGGAGACCAGTTGCACAGTTGTTATTGTTGTTTTTTTTTTTTTTATCGATTTTGGAAATCACCCTCAAATTCAATTGTATTGGAAGATTGATCACGTTTTTCTCTTGTATCGTTCTGTTTTTGTAAAACTAACATGAAAACGTTCACGGGTTCACACAATGAAAATCTTGTTACGCGATTTGCTTGCTATGGCCACGTGACCATCTCTGGTAATAGTTGCTCCCCCGGAAGAATATTTCTCGTAAAAGTAAACTTTCCTGATGAAGTGACCTCTAGTGTCAAACATAATCAAACTGTTACTCGCTCGATCAACTACAGAAATTTCGTCCGTATGAGGGTTAAACGCGATTCCTGACGGATTAAACAAATTGGGGATATCCCTGTGCGGCATGCTAAACCGGGTTGGGTGGACTGTGCGCGATTTGAAACTTGTGTCATTGGCAGCCCGTTTGGAAACGCAGAACACTCCATTATTGGCCGTGATGATTAAATTGCCAGCAGTTGTCACGCAGAGGTGTGACTCATTCGCCTGAGTGAACTCTCCTGTCAAAGTAAAACTACTCAGGAGGGTTCCATCTGTAGTTAGCACAAAAACTGTTTTCTGACAGAGAGTAAAAACCCTCTCTCTGTTTTTATCCACTGCAATGCTGGTGAGCTTTCCTTGATTGAAGCCAGACACGCCCCGTCCGAAGCTCCAGAGGAATTCCCCTTGTTCATTAGTAGAGATGACTTCGTTAATGTAATGACCACTGAGCGCCGACTTGTAGCTGCTGCAGATGTACAGCCGATCCAATTTATCAACATCGATACTCTGCGGGTGAATAAGGTTTGCATCCACTAAGTCTTCGTGAAAAGTTTGTAAGAAAGCCAATTCGCACATTCGTTGGCTCAAATTACCATCTTTTGAAAACACTTTCACCTGGAAGTTGTAACGATCAGCGATGATGAAAGATCCACTGCTGTTTATAGCAACATCTACAGGACCGTTTAATTGCGCCGGGCCACCGCCAAATTCACCAAACGTCCAGAAATAACCGCGACAGACCTCCCAATTCTGAACTGGATGGATTTTGTGCCATGAATCTGCGGGAATAGCTGGCCAGTTTCGTAACACATCATCACCCTTGGACGAAAGATGTAAATACTCCCACAAAATGCGATTTATGGCAACCACTGCCCCAATAACAGCTTCTCGTCGCATCTCACAAAACAGCCTTCGCATGTTGAATCGACCAAAACGCACAGAAAATGCCTCGCGAACTTCCGGTAAACCATTCAGTTGCTCAATGTAATTCTTGCACAACACAACGGCGACTTCCGGTTCACTAATGTAATGAAGCATCGTCGCCGCAGCTCTAAATTTCATCGCCAAAACTCTGTCGTAGATATCCAATGCTTCGTTACTGAAAGCTTTGGTGGCACTTTCGGCTGCCTTTTTGAAGAAATCCTTTGCTTCCACAAAAAACTTGTTTTCGCAATCGATTTTGTTAAACTCCAAGCCATCGGAAATCAAGTGTAGAACTTCCCACTCGTCTAACTCGATATTTGTAACATCAGTGTTCACGAGACTGATGTTATCAAACTCGTCCCTGTAGACTTCAGTTTGAATGCTTGAACTGGCATTGGCGAAGCTCTGGTACATCAAGCTCACTCCGTCCTTGAAGAAATTGGCAGAGGTGATCAGATCTACTTTACACAATCCCTCAAGCTTCTCACGAATATCCGTGAGTTCACGAACGATGAATTCTCTAAATCGCTCATCGCTTACATCTCCATGTCTAAGATTCTCCGCGCCCTTATCTCTTATCTTGCTAAGCAAAAGTCTAAATGTTAATCTCAGAGTATCACCGACTACAGACGCCATGATCGAGCGTAATTCAAATGCATACTAAATAAGGGCAGGGGATATATGTATATATCCCTTGATAAGGGGAACCCCTTACTGGTTAAGAAACATATGTCATGTTTTTGAAGGGGAACGCCCACTTATTTTGGTCTAAGAAAAGAAACTGGAATAGAAAGGTGAGCAGGAGATCTATTTTCAGTTTTCATTTTCATATGAAAGTTTCTTTGATGATCAAAAAATTTCCATTTGTTTACGAAGCTGAACGGTCTAGCGGCGACTTTTCTGATTATTTTCCTACGGTGGATACGGTGGATACGGTGGATTACCCAGTAAGGGACTCGCACTTTGACCTTGAGATTACGTCACAGGTCGTAACAAGTCTGGAACAGCTACAATGTTTAATTCATTTGTAAATTTCCTTATTTGGTCGTGGGGCTTGAAATAAGTTTGTATTTGACAAGAAGTCCCCGTGATTCGAACTGGGAGGGTAGGGTAGAAAATGACCAGAATTTCAAAAGTTCTCCGACATGGCTCAGAAGTTACAAAAAATATATAAAGAGAAAAATAGAAAATAAAGAAGATACATATTTCATATAGTTTTCGGTCTCTTGCATCAGAATCAAGTCACGCTAAGTCACGCGATTTACTCTTCAATGATAATCCTTACCCGAGAAGACTGGGACGAAAGTTGGTCTAGGAAGTACAGACTAAACCCTCGCGTGAAACAATACATTTTATCTAACATGGAAAAAGTTGCTCTGGTAGGTTTTTTGTCTGTCCTTATATAAAAAAAAAAGTGTAGCTGATCTTTTTTACTTTCAGATGAGTACATTCGTTTTGTTTTTTATTCAAGAGGCAGTCATCTGTTTTGTAACCTTCCACCTACATCGATTAAGGGGATGCAACGAGGCCTGTTCTGGATGTTTAACTTGATCCTAAAACTTTCCACTTCGCGAACTTTCATATTTGTCGCAAATGCACATTTTGGCCGTAGGAAATGGCATTATGCGTTTGGTAGCCATGCTTGTCAAATTTCAAAAGCTGATGGTTATAAATTATATCCTTGCTTGCTACTGTATTAGTGTCGTTCGTGATTTTTGTGATTCAATCCTCTTTACTTTACAGGTGACAGGCGGTAATCGTGGCATTGGCTATGCTATTGTTAAGAGATTGTGCAAAGAGTTTGATGGAGTAGTTCTCTTTACTGGTAAATTAGTTTCACGAGTAATTTGTCTTATGAGATATTCCAATTTTTCCAAATTTTATAATGTTGTCAGGATAATATTTTTTGTTAGTCTACATGTGAGTGGAATTGGCTGTATTATCTAGCAGGTTGAGAATCAAAAGATATAACTATAGCCTTGGTTCTACTAGCTCGTGGACCTTGTTTAAGGTTTTTTAATTAATAGTTGATAATGATAATGGTGATGATGGTTATTAAATGATGTTGATGACAATGAACATATCATACCGGATCTTTACTTAACCAATGAGGGCTAAAGATAAATCACATGTATTACCCAATTTTTACAGCAAGGGATGAGACTACTGGTTCAAAAATCTGTGGTGAACTTAATAAGGTATTAAATGTAACAAATATTCAGCACCATCAACTCGATATCACATCCCAGGACAGTATCAACAAACTCTACACTCACGTTCAGAAGACATTTGGGGGATTGGACATATTGATAAACAATTCTGGTGTCTTGCTCAAGGTGGGAACTTAATGTATTGTAAGGTATTGGCATTGGCCCATGTTAACCCCTTAACTCCTGAGATCTGATTGTTAGTTCTCTCTTCTAGCTGCCACACATTTCCTTGTAAATAAGTTCTGAGAATTTGGTGTTAGATCAAGATAACAACTTTTACCTAAGACATTTGAGTATTCTCATTACCATGCACACTGGATAATGCATGGATATTGTAGGGAGAAGTTACTTGTTAATCACTTCTGGGAGTGAAAGGGTTTAGTAGTTTTTCTAGACATTTTGTTTATCATCAGTAACCTTCATTTGGTGCTAAAATTTGTGCAGGTGTTTGTCCATAGAAGTGTAGAAACAAATAGTTTAGCAGGAGTGAAGCTCAAGGAAAACTGTGAGCTTTGCAATTATATCAGCATTTTCTATTATCTTCAATTATATTTCAAACAAAGCCTTCTCCCAAATCAAATGTTAAGTTTGTAAATTTATTAATATAAACTGAGAAATATCTCTGGTGTTCCCCTGTTTTCGTTGGGGCACATTCCTCCATGTGACGCATTTAGACCAATAGCATTGGAGTAAAGCTATTTTATGGATAGCAATGAATAATGTATAATTTCCAGATATTTAATTGAGTTTAATTCAGTTTACTGGTGTAATGGGAGGATGTTGGGAGAACACAAGAAAAGTGTTGTCATGTTGAGTCCATCAGGAGGTTAGTCCCCTCCCCCCCCCGCCCTCCTGTCCCTTTCTAACATTTCATCAATATTTCCATGACATTCCACTGGTATCCATTAATTTTTCTGGGTATAGGAAGGCAATATAGGAGTAAGGAGTCAGAGACAGTCAAAATCAGAGTAAATATTCAAAGTTATTGATTGAATCCAACAACAGAAAACTGTGCCGTATGTTGAAAGAGCTGAGACAACTATAGAGACAAACTATTTTGGAACACTGAACATGTGTAAGAGCTTCTTCCCTCTCCTTCGACATCATTCCAGGTATTCTTTCTAACTAAGTGATATTATTCTTTATAACAGCTGTACAGAATTTTTACACAGGCCAAAATGGCCAGGAATCACATTTTATGTCACTGTCAACTTTGTTGGTTGAATAGTTCTTATTAAGTGACTGCAAGGTCTGTACTGCAAGTAACAGACCTAGTTATTCCACCTTCAGTTTATGACCCAAGAGCACTGCATGCTCAGCATGTTTTCAAGGAACATCGTAGTTCATGGTTTACTGTTTTTCCTTTTTGTTTGTTCCATTTTAACTTGTCAGGGTGGTTAATGTATCCTCTGGGCTTGGAGACTTGCGTTGTGTTTCACCAGCACTGCGAAAGAAATTTTCCTCCCCAAATCTAACTGTTACAGAGATTACATCTCTCATGGAAAAATACAGGAGGTACTTTTCAAGTTTATACGAGACAAATTAAAATCACTTTAACCTGTTGATGCAATGATAATTTTGATCATGCATTATTTAGAAGTTGTTTGCTCATTAACTTGGAGTTATTATTTAAATTAGTGTCCCATGCAAGTTCAAACCCACATTCAGTGTGTTTATTGGTAATAACATGAATAATTGTCTGGCTATTCCACACTGTGATGTTTTATATTTGGATGTGGAGGATGTTCTCTTGTCTCTTTTTACTATTCTCTTTTGACTATATTTCATCATAAAAACCCTGCACAGATGATGTTAGAAATCAGTAGCAGTGTTCAGCCCCACTTTGTGATCTTGTTGAACATTATTAATATTGTTCAAAGACAATATTCACATTCTTTCTACAAAGGGTTTTTCAATTTTAAGTCTTCCTCTCTGGCACAGGACAGAGCCATGGGGTGACTTAGAGTATTGCTACCTTCTCTATCCCTGGATAGGATGCTAGTTCATCATAGGTTAAACCCCCCATCCCCACCCCACCCATAGCTTTTTGTCAGATTTCCTAGACAGTTCCCCAGTATCCATTTCTACTTCAGGGTGTAGAGAGGGACTGAAAGAGTTAAGTGTCTTACCCAAGAACATAACACAACAACTCCAGCCTGGACTGGAGGGAGACTTTTAAATTGGAAACCTTATTTGAAAGCTATTATGGCCACAAAGGCTTCTTAGTGGAATTTACAGTTACTCTTTCCCATGGGGTATTACATTTGCATACTGTCCTTTCAGTAACTGCACAAATGGCATTAATTCTGACTAGCATATATTTTCAATTCTGAGGAAATTCTTATTTTCTCCCATAGGGATGCTAAGGAAGGGAAGGTGACAGAGAATGGTTGGCCAGATGATTCTTCCTCATTCACTCCAGGTGAATGATATATATATATATATTAATTTACTTTCTAAACTGACTTGAACACACTACAACTTCAAACACTATTCATCTCTCTACATTGTTGTCATAAAAAGTTCAAAATCAATATTTTCTCATATCTGGCAACAATCACAACTGAACTGATTTTGAAAATAATTCTCAACTCAGCTTACAGTGTCTCCAAGATAGGCGTAACAGCTTTGAGTATGGTACAAGCAAGAGAATTAAAAAATGATCAGCGTGAAGGAATATTGGTTAATGCTGTGAGTATTGAAAAGATAGACAGATCCCTTTTTCTGTGCCTAAATTGTGCTAAGAAATTTGTGTGTTCTCTAAATCCTGTTATAACATAACGGCCAATTTATGACAAATTTAGGTCTGTCCTGGCTGGGTGCGAACTGACATGGGTGGCCCTAATGCAGAGCGAAGCCCAGAAGAAGGTTAGTTCACTATTTATATAAACTTTTTTCACAATTTTCCTTTCCATTCTCTTTTACTCTTTCCCTTTTTTTGTTTTTTTTTGTTTTTTTTTTGGTCCCATTTTCTTTCTTTGGCTTTCACTCTGTATTTTTTTCTCTATTCTCTCTCCAACCCTAGTGGCAGGCAACCTGCGATGAATAATCATCCCTTTAGGAGAAGTCGACATTTTTCTTGTTATTCCAAGCTACAGAAACCACAGATAAGCATTCTCAGTGATGGGAAATAATGTCCTAAAGATTTACCCCCATTTTTAATCCATTTATACCTGTCCAATTCTATTTACTTTTCCTCAGGAGCAGACACTCCAGTTTATTGTGCCCTTCTTCCCAAAGGAACAACAAGTCCTAATGGAGAGTTTTTGCAAAACAGGAAAATTGTCCCTTGGCTTGCAGGCAAATTATAGTAATTTGTTTGAAAAGCCATACTTAGGTTTTTGCATAACATGCTTGCTAAAGAGATTAACCCTTCAACTCTCATGATCTGATTATTGATTCTCCCCTGTAGACTGCTACACATTTCCTTATAAATCAGTTATAAGAATTTGGTGTTGGATCAAGACAAAAACTTCTACCTGTTAAGTTTGAGTATTCCTATTACCTGTTTGCTGGGTAGTGTATAGATATTGTTGGGAGAAGTTGCTTGTTAATCACTTCTGGGAGTTAAAGGGTTAAACTTGATTCATCTGTACCAGTTAGTTCGTTTTGATTGGCAGTTGAAATGTGAACGATAGCATTTTTGTTTATCATTATTCGGGAATTTTTAAAAATTTATTTTTTAGGGGGGAGGGGTAGGGGTAAAAACTACTTAAGGAAGATAGCGATAGAATGTGACCGAAGAGTAGTTTCTCACTTCAGTGTGTGGTACCAATAAGTGTCAAATAAACTTTTGGAAAACAAATATTCTCGCAGCATAATGAAACACGCTAAAGACAAAATGGAGGCTTGATTACTAGAGCTCAAAAGCTTGGTTTGACCATAAATGGATGTAGCTTTGTTATAAATTGTTAGGAGGATTCTTGCGTGTGTATGTGAAGTGTTGTTGTTTGAAATAACCATTCACTTTCCATTTGTCACTTACAACTGTTTTGTGTAACAGATACCTTCCTCAGAAAATAAAACTTTCGCTTCAATATTAAGAATTCTTTTCTTAAGTAAAAACCATCTTTTGTAGACTCAACAATAAATGAATCATGCTCGTACAACACTTCCGAGAAGACTTTGGTGGTAAATTTGTTCTGTTTTCTCTCTTAATTCTTACGAATGTCTTCTTTGCGTTTGTATCAAAACCTAGAAGAATTTTTTGTCTCGTCGACTGAGACTTACTTTGTATTTGGTATTTCAGTTACCAAGTTGAATTTTCATGTACGCTGCCGCTGTGATTCGATATGATTTGACTTTAGACGAGCTAATCCCTCGTATTCGCTGGTAAAATAATTTCGATCGCAAAACTGAGGAGATTTTTATTATGCACTTTGGTTGTAACCAACAAACATGCCCTGTCAAATGAGAGTACCTTCAACGAAAACTGAGTAATAATAACAAAGAAAAGTACCAAGAAACGAGTAGCGAAATAACAAATTCTGGAATCGTTTATTTGCTTGAGTTTTGTGTTATGGCACAGTTAGGCAGATGATGTAACGATTTAATTCCCTGTCGTGCGTCAAAAACATGTGGTATTCAACTTTAGAAAACACCCGGCAACTTCGGTGATACAGAACAGTCGAACGCACAAACGTTATGACTTTTGAAACATTGAGTTTGCCTTGGTTTTTAGCGAGATATCGATAAATGATTGTGTCGCGCAAAAAGAAAGTTTATTTGCTTCTGTCGTGGATGAAAACGTTATCAAATGACTTGGAACTTAGAGACGTGAAAAAGGTGGGGGCAGCTTGCCTTTAAAACGAGTTGCTGTAAACAGTTCAGTGTGCTGAAATCGCTTGATCAATAAATAATGTAATACGTACTTGCGAAACGTTTCTGACGACTTTAGCGATTGAATGAACCAAAAAGAAAGGAAATATTGGTCCAATATCACTCCCAGAATGTCCTTAACGATGTGATTTGATGAGGTTAAAACAAACCGATTAATTTACGAGCACAATGCGAGGAAACGTCTGCGAAACAATACGTCCATCTGCTGAATGAGTTCTGTTTTTTTTTATCTTCTAGTTGTTACTCCTTTTTCTTCCATGTGGTATATCTTTAAAAATTACATTACAGCATTTTGTTTAATTAAGAGCACTTTGTTTTCTTATGAGAATTTTCCGCCCAATTTCCGGCAGGAAAACTGGAATGAAAGCAAATTAACTTCGAAATGGTTATTTTGCTATTCATTCGTAACAAGTTAAAAATTGTTTAACTTTACAGCGCGAGGAAATTTCCTCGAACTTTTTTTATTTAAACCTTTAGCCAGCATGGCACCGGGATTAATTAGACGGGATGTAACAAAGACTGAAGGATTAGTGGGCAAACAAAGTGCAATTTTTATGTTAATAGTTTTCAGATTTAATATTGCCCTGAAAACTGCTTTGTTTATTTTAAACACTTGTGAATATAGACCTCTCCGCTTACATCGTAGCCATTTCGTTTTATAGTTCTCCTATTCTTATGGAAAAATCTTCGACTTCTCCCTTAGTTCGTTGCCTAGACGAAGTACCCGGCTACGAGGAACGAAAGAACGACGTGGTGTTTTGCGGTTCAGACGCTCAACAACATGTTGTATTTTTCCCTGGTGATGTTCAGGTAAGGTCAACAGATTTTGTAGTTGGAAGCGTTAGGCTGAAAACGCCGAAGAATACTTGATCAGAACACAAGCCATTCAACTGTGATGTAAGCGCGTGCAACTTCACGCCATTTCCAATTTCTCTATTTTTCGTTTGTGCGCTAAGTTGCTTAAGAAGTATTTTTCACGGTAATGTGATTCTGTTGTCTTCCATCGCGCAGTTCTGCTTTGAATTTTTTCCTCAATCCGACTTCTTTTCAGTTTCCATACCGACTCGAATTTTGGTTTGAACAGAATGCAGACCATCGCAAAATGTTTAAGAAACTCTGCATATAGTGTAACTCTTTATATTTGAATGAGACATAAATGTAATGAACTGAACTAAGATGCTTTGTTTATCGAGCTGTTGAGTTTAACAGCTTCAAAATGGAAAGCTCTGTACCGAACGATTGGTTCATCAAGCACTATATTCGATAAAAAGCAGATTTTATCAAACTGCATCATTGACAACGGAGCACAAACTGCTGACACAATGCAATTGATATTTTTTCACTGGTTGAATTAGTTTTCAACACATTCATCGAACTATCAGTACACTGTTCACTCCTTCAAACAAAGTCGTTTGTTTTGTGTTTTATATGTAATCCCTCAAGGCTTTGAAATACGTCAGTTTATTGTGTCAGATGTTCTTGTTATATCTTGTGGGTTTACAACATTTTACCATCAATGCACGAATTTCCGAAATGATAGATTTCGCTCGAGAAACCTTAACGATTTGAAAGTAAAACTTCACTTCCGTAAAACGAGCTGAACGCAACTTCTGAAAAAATAAACAAAATTTGAAAGCACCTAATTGATGGGTGTAGAATTACGCATCTCTCGTTTTGAATTTCCTTGTTCGCGACCTCAATTTTTTCAGTGCTATTTCGAAAGACAATTTTATTGTTTTCAAAACGGAACGTTTAAGCAGAGGTTAAAAGGATGAAATTCAGGCATCGAGTTTGAATCGCACGAGACAATCGTCTATTGTGAAATCCTGTGTCTCCTTTCCCTTTTCATGGCTTAGATTATTTTGCAAATGAAAATATAGTTCTCCTTCTTTCTACAATCCCACTCCAATTCATTTTACATCGTGTCTACTTTTCTGCTTTGTCTCGAAAAGTTACCGAACAATCGGTTTATTACCTTTGTCCAAGACGGTGTCCAACATTGACAACGATGTTGGCAGTTCAGAAAACAAGAGTAAGAATTTGAAACTTTTCTTAATTATCTTTGAGCGTTCGATTGCCATACTTAAAATTTTGACAAATGTTGATCAAAGATGACAATCAAGAGAATAAACGCTAAAAGGTATTAATAAAGGTTAATACCTATATACACAGTCTTCGCGGCAATTTGTGCTCCTCAAACATTCCGCTTTCAGCCTTACAAGCTCGATATGCGCAACAGGAACTGTCATCAATAGAGCGTTTTCAACTCAAATTTCTTGATTTTCAGGATTATGAAGAAAACATGGAGAGTCACAGAGATAATAAGAAATGGAAGCAGTGGAGTTTGGAATCTACGGCGAAAATATTAGAAAGAAGATTTCCAAATAGCTTTGTATGGGTCATTCGTCCTTCAAGATATCATCAGAGCACTTTCGCGTGTTATCATAACTTTGTTGAAGCTAACCTGCTCGGTGTCCCTGATCATACAAATCACGATTACGGAGCTTTGTTTCACTTAAGAGCATTGCTGGAGTCTGCGGTGAAAAAGCGTAAGTATTCAGAGTCCTTTTGTTTAGATTAATTTCCGCCAAACGAACAAGCCCAGATTTGTGTTTGTTCGCTTACTGTCCAGTGGCGATTAGTCTTGGAAATTTGTGTCACATTCAAACCAATCAGAATCAAATTGTGCTCCACTCGAAACTTGATCACGTGCTCTTTCCCGCGCTCGGAACAGTTTACATGTTTGTACTAAGAGCTGTCCTTGACTTCTTCTTTTTCTTCCTCTGTTCTGATTGGATTAGCTCTCCCTATTTTTTGTAGCTCAGATTTCTCTGATGTTCCTTGTCTACGTGTTTTTTGTGGAAAACTTACCCCTGACTTTCCCAAAAATACTAGTTGCAAATTTTCAGCAATTTTCAATTTAGTGTCAAAGGTAATCCGGGATTGCTTTGATTTTACTTACCTTTGCTCTGTGATTGGTCCGGAAATCTCGCACCATCCTCTCAACCAATCAGATGCAAAACTAACAACAATCGCAACCTGGTCATAGGCGTTTTCCCGCGCCTCAAGCAGCGCGCTCGTTTTCACTTTATGTTCTCATTGGCTGATGATAATGTAAACCTGTGTTCTGATTGGTCGATGGGATTACTTTGGTTTTGGTTTTTCGACATTTGATTGAAAACTGTTCGCTTGTCAACCAACGCAACCTGTTTACTCACCATATTTTTTAATTGAGGACGTTGGCATGTGTTCTCTCTTGACATTTATCTTTTTTCCGATGGTCGTTGCAAATTTTTAAGCTATACAATAATCTGGTCATAATTGAAAACTCGGACTAATTTTTCCTAGAATTATCAACCCAACCTTTAAATTCCTTTCCTTTTATCCATGCAGTTTTAGATGTCCCGAAAGAAGAGGAGGACCCCACGTTTGATTTCCCGGTGATTCTTGTTGGTTTTAGTAAGGGCTGTGTTGTTCTAAATCAAATTATTTACGAGCTCTACATGGTGTCCGCTGGAGTGGACTCACGTCTCAATGAATTTGCATCGCGTATTAGTGCCATGTATTGGTTGGACGGCGGCCATAGTGGCGAGTCGAACCTGTGGGTAACAGATGAAAAATTTCTTTACCACCTGGCTACTCACGTGCCAAGAATTCGTGTGCACGTGACGCCTTATCAGATCGGGGAAGAAACGCGGCCGTCGATTAAAAAGGAGCTGAAGAAGTTTGAGGACAGTCTTCGTTCGCTTGGCGCGAATATCAAGGTCAAATCTCATTTTCAAGGCACGCAGCCATATCTCGCTTTCCACTTTAAACTTCTTGAAAGTTTTTAGTGGAATTTGCAAATTGATTTGAAATATCTGGTTACTTAAACAGAACGACAAAAACTCCTGAAACATCAGGTGATGGTGAGAGTTATTGAGTGTTTTTGAGAAGCTCCAGGGTTGAAAGAAAGAATGGGATTTGCACCGAAAAAAACAGATACAGCAAATGGGACCGGAAGATATCACAAGCGGAAATAATGGGTGTGAAAATGATGTCCTATGATCAGGAAACACTGCAGCCCCTCACTTGAACAAAGACACACCTACAGCTTATTTTGATACAACTATTAAGCCATTGATATTTCAAGTTGCGTTCACGTTGCAATTACCCTGAAGGGCATACACGTTCTAGATTAAAACATGTGACGATTCTAATCGATAAAAGCAAATGTTTTTCGGCGAAATTGTAAATAACATTTGCTTAAGGATTGCTGTGAGCCCCTCAGCACCCTGCTTTTTTTTTATTTACTGAGGGTTAATGGAGGGAGATTTGAAAATAATCCAGGGATAAGCAAAACATGTAAACCTTGGCAACACAACCCTTTCACTCGTGTAATTTTTGTGATGAAGGCCGCAAGCGAGCCCTCGTTCCCAGTGTTTGAGCGACTGGCGAAGATATCGCCTTAGTGCACTTGTCCAACTAACAAAACAAAAAAACCAAAAAAAATTGATAATTAGGAGACTGAAAAAATTATTAACATAAGAACTTTCAGCTTGCTTTATTTCTCCCTAGAAAAGAAGAGTTTGTTTTCAGACGATCTAGTAACATATATCAACGAAATGAAAACAAAACACAAAGCTTTCAGGCCTTGTTCACCTCTTGCAAGAATGAGTCTGTTACAGGCTTTGTAAAGCCAAATAGTTTGGCATTGAAAATGAAATATTACGTTTATCAGTAATACAATGACTAAGGCAAAATATCTTCCTAGAATGTTTCGTATAGTATATTTTCAAGTGAAGCCAGCGAACATTTTTTGCAAATATTTACAATTGACTTTTGCTTGTTTGTTGTACAAAGACGGCGGAAATGAATGTACGCAAGAGAAATTACAGAATGTAAAAGAAGACCTTACAAGCAATATTTCGTTTCAATGAAGTGTCCCAATATGTTTTGCATTTAGCAACTTACGCTCAATTAAAGGCTCTGCGGAATGATCTGGAAGCAAAAGAATGCGTTTTTTCCTTCTATTTTTATGTTTTACAAGCCTTTTTCTTCTACAAAAGGTCGTTCTGAACTACTCGACTTAGCACGAAGAACACGTTCAGTCTTAGATCACTACGTTGGAAAACATTCTTCTTCAATGCATATAACAATCGGTCTTGTGATAAATTGATTCTCTCACTAAAAGCTACTGGCCGTAAATGTCAGTTTTGCTTTCTTTCCTCCATTGCTAGAAAAAATTACTGTTAAGTAATTTATCTATTGCACCAAAACCTCTTCAATTTTGTTTGCAAATCCTCGTTTACAAACTCAAAAAACAGATGTAATACAAAAAGTGAGATATGATATCATACTTGTTTTATCGCGAAGTTAAACTGGATGGCAGTGAATTGGATATTACAGCATGTACATAATTTTCTTTCATCGTTTATATATAGTTTTTCTCTTAGGATCTGTCTGCATTTTACGTTGAAGTTTTGAAAAATGTACTTATAAAAAACAATCTTTTGTGTACCTCATCGATTCGTATGACTTCCAACTTGTTAATTTTGATTAAATGTACACGATAATATACTAATTTAACCTTTTTACATAGCAAGTCTCGTTTAGTGACGCGGCAATTTTCATCGTTTTGACGCTAATCAGATTCAAGCTGTTTGCCTTATTAGAGTGTTTTGCTTTCCCCCGACAGATGCTTAATGAATTTCCGCTAGATAACCGAGATATTTGTTTTCAATTGTGATTTCGGTAATGGGAACTCTCAATTTTCCTGCATGCCCCTGGCCGGGCGAACTTCCTTTAAATGCTGCTAAGAAATGCTCTTGTCCTGGTCTTTATGCCTAACTGTTTGCGATGCCAAAACAAAATTGCACTTCAATGAAATTCTTACTTTACAATTTATCCTATATTATCCTATATCAGACAACAAATTTGATCCGAACCTGCGAAATTGTCCAAGTTTTTGTTTACATGCAGATTATCTATTTTCGCGATTAAAAAAATTAAAAAATTGGTTTAGGTTGTGACTCGAATCACGTTTGCCGACGATCTCACCTGAAGCAACAAAAATCACATTTTTGCCTCCATTTTCTCTACTTATCAGTTTTTGGATGCTGGAGGCAATCCATTTTGTTAGCGTTTAGCTAAATGCCGATTTTAGAAGAAGTTGACTGAAAGTAAGAAACAAATATTTACCCAAAACAACATGAGACATAAGAGCCAATGGGAAACTTTGTGTAAATAGCTGCTGTGACTTTGCGTTGCCTTAACGTCCGGGCCTGAGCATTTACTGAGTTTCTCTAACAAAGAGTTTGAGAGTTCAGGAAGGTAATCATTCCAAAATGCAACTTTTAAAGGCTTTAAATCTTTTGACATCTCAGGGTTGGCTTCCACGCGGAGATACATTTGGTCATTTGGAAGGAATTGACTCCATTTGATTCCATGAACAGGATGCGGTGTTGTATTGCCAAACTTGACAAAATTTGTGTAGACTGTTACCATGAAGTCACTGATGTTTCTGTCGACCTCATTGTAAGGGTGTGGCGAAGATCCATTCAGAAGCGGAACTCCAAATACATACGCTGTGATGTCACCATGAGCTACCCCTTCCCAGCCTTGTTTGGGGCTGTGATCAGAACGATGCTGGAACTCATAGAGCCATGTTGGAGATTCCTGGCTTTGGTAGAGAAGGCTTGCATATGTCGGTGCCACAATGTAGTAGTCTGTCAGGGCATCGATAATACTTTGGCGAATCTTCACTGAATTGTTTTGTCCTGGCCAGTGGGTGTACTGAAATTCGATAGCGTCAACTATAAGTGGCTTATGGTCTTTGGAAGGCCCCATCCCAATAATTATATGTTTTTCAATGCTCTCTTTAAAAATCTTGTTATTGTATTTTGATAAGGATTTGTTCAGCAAGAAAGAACCTTCATCGCTCACGAACCCAGCAATGGTTGGTAATTTTTGAAATTTTCCAGCCCTTCTGAGGTTTATTGGAGAATCTTCCAGGAAATGTTTGTCAACTACAGGGAAGTAAAACAAAAAATCGTGTGCCTTTTTCAAGATATCTTGCGCTGATTTTGAGCGGAGACACGCTAACATGTGGTTCTTTTCCTTAACACAGCTTAACTCCTTAGCAAGCCTCATCGAAGCCTCGGTCACACCTGATTCTGCGTGGAAGGCAAATGGGGATAGATCGCTTCCACTCTCGCTTATAACTCGATGAAAAAGACCCTTTGACAGGGTCGAAAGAAGATGAAGATTAACGCTAGCACCTCCTGCGCTCTCGCCAAGAAGCGTCACCTTAGAAGGATCGCCACCAAAGGCTTCAATGTTCCCCTGGATCCATCTCAGTGCTTCAACTTGATCCAACATTCCATAATTTCCTGGTGCAGTGGAATCGCCAGTTGAGAAGAAACCAAAGGGGCCCAAGCGATATTGAATACTGACAAGAATGATTCCACGAGTAGGTAAATATTCCCCAGGTGACACGACGCGTACGGGTGTCCCAGCGAAAAACCCTCCGCCATGAATGTAGGCGAGCACTGGATAACGCTGACGAGATATCGTTGCATTGTGGGGTGTATAGATATTAAGATACAGGCAGTCCTCCCCAATGTTTTCTTCAGCCTCCGCGAATCCTTCCCAAGCCTGCCGGATAGAAACATTGTAATGGTGTATCATCTGCATACAGATGCTTCTAAATTGTGTCGCTTGGCGGACGCCTTCCCATCCCGGGTGCGGTTGAGGTGGTGCAAACCGTAGCTCATCAATTGGCGGTGCAGCGTAGGGAATTCCCAGAAATTTATGGATGGCTGTTACAGACCCGTGGGCGTTTGGAATTACCTGAGTTAGCCCCTGAAGGGCGCCTAGCTTAGTATTGATGACAACACCTGGGTCTACGGCTTGATTCGCGGGAAACAGCATCGCCAAGAACACCGTAAACAGTATTCCGCGCGGAGCATGGATTTTCAACGCCATCTTTTCCGTGACTGGGGCGGCGATCAAATGGCTGTCTGGTAAAAAGCTTGTGATCTTTGAGCGTCGCTCACCTGTCGACTTGCTGACGAAACAATCTTTAAATGCCCTGACAAGGTAATTTCAATCGGTTAGTTTGTTTTGCAACTTCGCCAATTTAACGGAAATTGTCGTATATCTATCCTATTGATCTGACCGACAGGGGGTACCAAACAAATGTTAAGCAATCGCGTCGATAATTGAATTGAACACCTTTCCTCAAATCATAATTATTTCAATGCCTCCTGGTAATAAAAAGGAATCATTTAGTTTTTTTTATTTTTCGCCCTGAGTGCTCAATATCGCGATATCAATTGTGTTTTTGAGGTGAAGTATTTGAATAAATTACTTACACGAATGACATGGAAAAGTCAACACGTTTTCAAATCTTCCATCTGTCCCATTTTATATCTCTTTTTTTTAATGTTAAACTTACTACCTTAATCATCCTGAACTATCATTGGTAGTAACACATTATAAATAGGTAAATGAATGAATTAATATCAACAGTAAGGGAAAAATCTGATTGTTTTGTTAAGCAGAACTTACTGCTGGCCAGAAGACAGCAATGTTACAAGTTGCATGCTGTTAAAATGTGTTGACTTGAATTGAAGTAATGAATTCAAATGCACGGTGTGAGTTCCGGAATTGTAAAAAATGTTTGTGTTAACTGCAATTAATTCATTGTGCAAAGTGTTTTTAATTACAATTCAGCTCTTGGCTGGAGATTTGGCAGCTAATGTTTTTTTCAGTGCCACAGCAACCTCAATTCGGCATCGAAAGAAGCTTGTGTCTGTGCCTTTATTAAACGAAGTTGTGTTTGTCACTTCGTTTCCCAATTTTTTTAAACATTGGAAAGGGGTAAATATTCATTCTTTCCAACTTAATGGAGGAGAAATAATTTGATTTTAAAGTAATAGAGAAATCAAACGTCAGAACACTTTTTCACTAAAACTATCAGTTACAACGCTTAAACAAAAGTTATTCCAGATTGTGCGACAAAATAATTAGGGAATATCAATCATTATTTGATTTATAAAACAGTTGTTTGGATAGAACCCACCATAATAACGTTAGGAGCAATAAGGCATTTGTAAAAAGTGGAATCAAAAGAATTTGCAAACTTTCTGAGCTTCAAAAGTTCACTTGCACCTTGTATAACGTTACTGACGTAACCTTGCTTTTACAACCAATGGAACTGTGATATTATTCAAGACACAGTGAAACACTTAGACTACAAGAATAGATGTTAACTATCTAACCCTTTTATTGCATGATATAACCACTAACACATGTATGCAAAGTTCATTTAGGCAAAGCACAGAAAACTGAGAGAAGGGTAATTTGTAAGAGTCGGCGACATTTCCGACGGAGGCGTTCTGACGCGGCACGCCACGGGATGTGGCGCGAAAAGGTACATTCCGCGCGTTTTTTCCCGCCAAAATTGTTATATCGAGTTTCGATTAGTTCAGTCTTTTCTATGCCTTACTATATTTAACTACCGAAAAAAAAGAAAGAAATTATGATTTTGGTTTCTTGATTTAGTCTGTGTGTTTGCTGTACCAACAACCTCGATTAATCTGCTTTTAAATTAATTCAAAGGTAGAAATACATGCATGTGGTTAATAGTCCCGCAGTGGTTGTTACACACAGGAAGGTAATTAATAGTACCACAGCAAACCCACAGTAGGGTGGCTAGTTTTGTTTTCGTGGGACTTACGACCTGCACTTGCAAAGAGATTATCGGAAGTCATTCACGCCCCCTCAGTTGACGAGAAAAACTATTCATGAAATGAATTTCTGTTTCGATGCTCGTGTTTTCAAGGACAATTTTAATGAATCAAAAGGTAATGTTATTAATGTGAACAAACTCTTAAAAACTTTTGAAGAGTTCGAAGTCCCTTTAGTTATTTGGAATCCTCTATGCCGTCAGAATTCAGAGAATAGTGAAAAATCTGTGTACTCCCAACAGATGTTTTTCTCGTGAAACTGAAGTAAATTAGTGTGTTTTGAATTTTCATACATTTCTTAGTTTACCGGCCTAAACGATGCGCTTCAGTTAGACTAATTAAATTATGGGCGACTTAATTTCGTGAAGGCAAAAACATTTGACATTTTTAACTTAATAAACCTGAAGCCTTCAATACCAAAACATTTTGCCGAACACCCCCGCCAGACTTCAAAGGGCAAATGACGTAAGCACAGCCATCCAGAAAGGAGGAACCCTGGGGGCGAGAAATGACGTCTCCGTTCCCAGGGATAGCGGTGCTTGGGAGATCTTGGGATGTAAGCCGACTCCTTGTGAAAACCGAAAAAAGACAAAGGGGCTAAGCTCGTGCCAATTGTTTGAGGTGTAAGTGTGAAATTTGATATGCAGGATTTTCGTGGAGATATTTTCAAATTTTCAATCAGCTGAGCCCATATCAGACCTGCGGATATTTGTATCACTTTTCTGAAACCAAAATTACTCCAACAATATGAGCGCATATTATTATTCCGTCTATTCAACTTAAAGTATTCAAAATTCCTTTTTTTGAAAAATTTTCGGCATATTTAGGTTTGAGGGTAAAGAGAGAATTTTATGTTTTCTGAGTCAAAGTTTAGACCTCACCCCTCCCCCATTAAAAACTCCTGGATCCGCCCTTCAGTCGTCATGAATTTTCTCGGGCAAGATCACGATGGTGAGCACCACGAACCCTTTCTGTTCGTAAACATTAAAGGACGTTTTTCTTTCCAATTACATTGAATGAGGATGGTTTTCTTACCGTTTACAAGTCGACCAAAACTTAACGATCCCGATGACTTTCTTTGGAAAAGATCAGATTCATACTTCGGAAAGATCTGAAAGATTGAGAGATTTCCCTCAGGAATGACGTTCTCAGTCCGGTGCAGCAACTGAGGTGAACTCGCGCCGATATATAAGTCACCTTTGTGCTATGTTAATAAGGCCCTAGACTCAGAATAGTCTTACCATGGATCGAAGCAGACTGTGAGCCTCATTTATAGGACAGCCGGAGGAAGAATCATCCGTGTGACGGTTAATAATATTCAGAGCGCGACAAGCGTCCAAGTGGTTGTTTAAAATGCTGAATGATTGCCAGTAAAATGTTTAAAACGCCCCTAAATGGATTGAAATGTACTTTAAGCACATTCTCGATACAAGCCGCTGTAACAGTTGACGTTTTTGTGTATAACTGATGAGAAACAGCTGATTTAATAGCAAAATTCAATTTTAAAAAAAAAAAACCCGTGTTGTACCTGAACAAGGATTTGTCTGTTGTATCACTTTTTGTCGTTGAAGCCTGAGTAGGTCTGATCTACTTCCCTTCGTTCAATACGAGCTAATAAATCAAACAGCTTGCATAAATGTCATAAAGAGAAAATTAGTCACAAGAAAATGATACTCTTTGAGCAGTACTTAATAAATTTGGGCGTCGCGCAAAACTTTGGGACGAGACGCGCCTCGCTTCCCAGAGTTCACATGACGCCGAAATATTTTTTCGCTGATTTCTTTCGACTCACGCGACGGTTTACGCTGAGAAATAAGAACTGTTCGAGGTGTAAAAGAAAATTTATGGCTCTAAGCCGTTCTAAAGAAGTAAGTACTCACAAACTATTCCTAGCACTCCCCGAAAGGGGCACAATGACTTGAATAACTCCTTTGTAATTTCCACGAGAGTTGACCGATTGCTTGGCGAGAGGCCGAAAGTCATCTGTCCATAACACATCGTAACGGTTCGACCTCGGCACGGATACGTTTCCTACGTCAGTTTGCCTGCCTTCGTCAGCACAAGAAACATCGCTGAGCATGTCCGTTGACCGGGGAACAACCCCTTGAGAGAGAGGCTGACTAACAGAGCATCAATGTGATTAATGAAAAGTTGCAATTGCGAGTGAAAATTAAATTACGTGGACAAGTCAAACGTTGGTTGATTTGTCCAGTTGAATCTCCGCTGCGCCTTGGCAATCGGATTATGCGGAAACTAATCGGATTGTGCGAAAAGGTATCTAAAAAATGACGACCATTCCAAGAATACAAAGAAAATTCCTTGGCCAGTCATATTCGTGCTACATCTCTCGAAGTTGATCTTCCCTTTATCTTCCATCGGTTTGAACTCTCGTAAAATCCCTAAATGAGATACGAGTAAAGTCTCTCTTCTGTTGCAAAAGCGAACCATTAATTCACCACTCAAGACACGTTGGCAATCGCATGATAATGACAGACATGACAAGAGACACTTGAAAGATTTCATGAACTGCTGTAGATAAAGCAAACAAAGCAGGCTTCCAGTCAAACGTCAGACGAATTTACACGCAATGTGTGCGCAGATAATCCGAATCACGAAAGCATGTTTTCGGAATTTGAGAAAAATTTGCAAAACGGTAGGTAAATTTTCATTCTTAAATTTGGAGAAGAAAAAAATCTGCAATAAGCGAGAGCAGTCCACGTTATTCACGATTTTAATAACGAGATTCGTGTTTTGGTCGATTTCACGTACAGTTCATGCAGTTATTAATGTGTTTGTAGTTAGGGGCTAACGGTATTGACTGCGTAACAGTCATATTAGTTCCACAAGTTCAAACTATATTGGTGAGATGAGTTTTTAGAAGAATCATGATTGTTCTCAACTTCATTTAGTCTGTAGCAGAATAAAACCATTAAATGAAGAAGCTCATTGCTGGAGGCATGCAGATATCAAGTTATTCCTCTCCCTCTTCTAATTATATAATCTTGTCTTGGGCGTGGTATCATGGTTAGTGACATGAAATATGCCATGATCTCTGATCTTTCACTCTGCTAATTAACATGATCATTTCAGTTTTTCAAGAAAGAAAGTTATTTACGAGGTGATTAGTCATGTTTCCGTCAATCGAATCTATCGACAAGCTCGTTCATTCTGCAGAGGGATGTGGCGTAGCTGTGCTCACAAAGGAATAAGTACCTAGTTAAAGCGAAATTGCCGTTTTTAATTTTCTTTGCATCCTCATTACTGGCAGTCTGATGGTTTTTCATTCCAATCTGGAAATGACGAGTTTCTTCAAGGGGTCTCTAAACCACAGAAATTGTAACTAATTAAGGTTATTTTCTGGCACTTTCAAACTACAGTTCCCTGTTAAGGGTTTGACTTTACCATAAAGTTCAAGTTTGTTTCGTTTCTTTTATATCTGAATATCTCGAACACTCGGCGCAAAGTAATTTGGTGGTTCCTAACATTTGGCAGAGTCTGCTAACTCAATTTCACCGATTTTTTTTTTTTTTTTTTTTTAATATGAGCCGCTGAACTAATCTGTTTTCCATCATCCATTTGACTGATCACTTTATTGCGTGAAATTAAAGGATCTTAGATAAGCACATTTGAAATTAGAAATATTAAGGTCGAAGGCTATGATCTTAAACTGTTGTCATTACATTTCATGTTATAGGGCAATTTCTGAGATTCTTTTCACCTGAGAAGGAGATCGGATGACATTTGAAAAGATGTTACTTTGAAATTGCTTGTGGCTGGATTATAATTTGTTTCACACCGCAACTCTTAGTTCAATTTGACAGAAGATGGCCCAACAAGTTCAATTCACACGCTTTAAACTGACAGAGATTACTTCAAAAAAAAACTCATATATTTAAACTACAACAAAGGCGGTTTGTGATCGATTGTTATGGCATAGCTTTTGTCAAATTTTGACACAGTTTCTTTGGAGGCAACTTTCAAACATCTAATTTAATTACAGATTTCTTTAAGTGGAGTTTACCATGATAAAAGTTTTCTTCCCGCATCGTTTAAAAGATGCATGTTTTTGCAATAATTTACATCTACTTTTCACCTTTCGACGATTAAACTGTAGCAAGCTGACTTAAATATCAGTAGCTGCAATGTCAGGATTTTTGTTATATTTCAAATTAAAATGAATGTAACGATGTAGAGGAGATGAATTATTTTCCATAGTCTTTGCGTGCAATAGAGACAGGAGCCCATTCAAATTTTTTTCTTTAATTATAAAATATGCCTTTTTGGGCAACTGGTAGTCAATTAGCAAACGATTTTGGGGAAAGCCATAAAGATGTTATCGCTTTAAATCACGCCGAATCAGAGAGAGTTTAGATGCATTGCCTCAGGGGATGATTCACAAGTGGCTGTCAAAGAAATGACTCGTGACAGCAAATTATGAGCGGCCTCTAGAGAAGGAAAAATGATATTCGCTTGTGGTTACACGCAAAGCCACTGAGAGACGCAGCATCTAAACAGAACCAAAAATCTGTTCGCGGCGGATATCGCAGCCATAAAAGTTGTTTTGACGATTGCGTCCACTTTTAAGTGGATTTAGCACATAAGACTTGTGTCATTTAGATATCTTCCTCCCCAATGCCTGCAAATTAAGAACTGAAGGGATATATTCAAAATGATCTGGATTACACAAGAGAAGAACTGGTCGATTGTGGTCTTCATTGTGGTCGCGTGCTTTTCATTTGGAATCACAAACCTTTCTGCTACAATAATCGTTGAAACGCAGTATGGCGAAATTATCGGCAAAACGACACAGTTTTTGGATGAAAACGACGGATTTCAAACCGTTTATTCATTTCTTGGAGTTCCTTTCGCCTCGCCGCCAGTGAATGAACTTCGGTTTGAACCTCCCCAACGCCCAGCTGCATGGAAGCCTCAAACATATAATGCAACCTTTTTCAGGAACGTTTGCCCACAAAAGAATTTTTCTTACTTTGAAAAATCAATTCGCAACGTTTGGCCAGAATTTTCGTGGGAAAATGACTCAAATGAAGACTGCCTGTATTTGAATATTTTCACTCCAGGAAATAAGCCATCAAATGCGGGTCATTTTCATCCGGTTATAATGTTTATTCACGGAGGGAGTTATGCATTTGGGACAACTGCCCGTCATACCACGCCCGGAGAGGTACTACCCCGCTTGGGCGTTGTCCTAGTCACGATCCAGTACCGCCTCGGTCCATTTGGCTTTATGACTGCTGGTGATGGCGTTGCGCGCGGAAACTGGGGCATGTTAGATCAAGTAGAGGCCCTAAAGTGGATAAAAGAAAACATCGAGGTATTTGGTGGAGACCCGAACAGAGTGACCATATTAGGGGTGAGCTCCGGTGGGGCCAGTGTTGGCCTACACATCTTGTCCCCACTGTCAGAGGGGCTTTTTCATCGAGCTATAACCGAGAGTGGCGTGGAATTTTCACCATTTGCTTTTAATTCGGTGAAAAAAGCCATCGACAAGACGAACATCACTGCGGGGAAACTTAGCTGTGATACGACCAGTAGTAAAAGAATGATGGACTGTCTTCGAAGCAAAAGCGCTCAGAGTATCATCGACAAATTTGATTGGCGAAACACGGGGCCCATCATCGACAGGTATTTTATTTATGATACACCCAAAAATCTTCGCCGGTCTGGCAAATTCAACAAGGTTCCCCTTATAAGTGGCTTTAACAGCCATGAAGGAGCGCACAATACCCCCCAGGAATTTCATCCTCCAAGAGATATTACGACTTCTGTCCTGAGAGAATTTATCAACAACTTCGTGGAAAATCATATACTGCAGGACAACAACAAAACCGCTGTGATCATTGAAGACGCAATTGAATTCCAGTACACTCCATGGAGTAAAACGCCTGACTCACCCTCCCTCCGTCAAGAAATCGTCAACATTATGTCAGACTACTACGTAGCAGCTCCCACTCTGGGGGTGTTGGGGATCCATAGCGCGCTTGCTCCCACTTACATGTTTGAGTTCAACCACAGGTCTGCAGAAAGCGATACAGATGCCTGGATGGGGGTAGCACATGGAGAAAACACGCCCTACGTGTTTGGTGCGCCATTTCTGAACAGTACTGCGTTGAATTTCACAAATGAAGATCGGAATATAAGTCGCTTAATCATGACGCTTTATGCGAACTTTGCCAAGTACGGGAACCCAACACCTCACCGGGTACATGGGGTCATCTGGGACAGGTTCAACACCGCTAGTAAGTTGTACTTACGTATTAATAACAGATCTCAAATGGGAGCTTACTACGAATCGCGTAGAATGGCGTTTTGGAACAACTACTACCCAAAGATACTGAACCTAACAAAACCAGAATCGCTTACGAAACACAGCGGGGATGACGTAAAACCTACGGATAACCCGAGAAACTACACCGGGGAAGACGCAAGACCTACGGATAACCCGAGAAACTATACCACATGCTCAAACATCGGTGTCAAACTATTCTTGAACACAGGCTTCCTCGGTTTTCTTTCATCTGTACTTCTTGTGTTGCCAGATGTCTTTATCTGATTTTGAAATTCTGTAGTAATCAACCGCAAGGTGAAACAGAATTATTCATTTACTGAAAAGCGGTTGGGGTTTATCTTCTCAAGGGCAACGAGTTTGCAGGACACTTCATCGTCAAAAGCTACTCCTAATGGCTCTTGAAGAGCCAAATTTTAATTGAGTTTTCTTTATTTGGAACTGAGCAGAGCTAAAACCAGAAGTCACTGAACTGTAAAATGCTGGGAATACTGGAAGGAGAGCAAGCGATGCGCATTGTTATATACGGAAATATAAACAATTTATCCCACCAATTTTGAGAAATTTCCACCCTTGATGCCTGTATTTGACATCGGATACATTTTCCTGCCTGTATAATCCTAGTGATCTCTGGGAAAGCCTTAAATTCTTTTCACGAAAATACTTGATAGTTTATCAAAATATATACCGGGAGCATTTATCTCCGAAGGAAATACCGTGCCTCAACGTGTTTTCCTTCTAACCGGCTGTATTTGTGGCTTCGCCTAAATTTAAATTTCGATGTTGTTAATAGTACGTATATGTAACCTGAATTTTTAAGGAAAGAGCTTTCTGATGGAGTTTTAATAGTTGAACCGTATTATTACTTTTTGATCTTAATTATAGATCTTTTTATGAAAAACTGAAATGTTTAGAGACTGACAACGTATTATTATCAGTGCTGTTATTATCAAGTTCAATTAAAATGTTACTCAAATGCTAAACACAAGAAATCCTCACTTTAAATTAGTATTTCTCAAAACCAATATACAAACTAAACAAAATAAATGTTTCCGCGGACAAACATATCACATTCAATTTCGCGCACTTAGTTTCTCCTCCACTACTTTTTTCCTCTCTTCTTGCTCTGAGCTTTTTTTTCCTGCTTAGCGCGATCATTAAATACCTACGCGGACGATTTCTTACAAATTAAAGTCAAATTATGCGCTGAATAAACGCGGATTGAGTTGACAAGAATACATTCTACAAAAATATTGGAAACGCTATTAGAAATGAATTAAATATGAAGGCTAAAGGCACCAATATTAAGTTATTGTGTGCGCGATCTGCTCTTTCGCCCTATATCAACACTTGCAATTTCATCCTAATTTGTGTTCATCGTTTTATTAATTTCGGATGCTTTTGGCCGTGTAACTCTCAAAAGTGATTAAAATGTGACTTCTCCCCGTTAAATCCACACATTACCTGGCAAACAGGTAATGAAAAAACTCAAAACTTATCAGTAAAGAAGTTGTTATCTTGATCTAACACCAAATTCTCGTAACTACCCATAACGAAATAATTAGCAGCTAGAGATGAGAATTAACAATCAGATCTCTTGAGTTAAAGGGTTAAACAGAGAGAAGCCTACTCCTTATCGGTAAAATTTCATATAGAGAGACTGCGGCACTCAAAGCGAGGACGAGTCTGTAATGTAGTGTGTAAATTACGATTTGGAGACAAGTGAAAAGCAGACAAAGTTTTAATCAAACAAAGTAAATATTTTTTTATTTGAATGTTCCTCGTGCTTACACACACCTACGAATGAACTTTCAGCAATTCGTCCTCTCTCTGCCTTCTATTTCATTTGTACAAAGCAAATACAACAAAAAAAATCCACTGAAAAAGTACTGTACGAACGCTAAACTTAGAAGTTATTACTAATTCTCGTGCCAATGACGTTGCATCACCACGTGGTCGCTTACTTTCTGCCAGAGCAACACGAGGTCGGGCAGGATGAGACACAGGTATGGGCGCACACTGGAGGACACGGAGGGGGTGGTGGTGGTGGAGGAGCAGGTTCTCCGGGTGGTCCTGGGGGTCCCTGGGGTCCGGGTGGTCCTGGAGGTCCGGCCTCTCCCATGGGTCCGATAGGTCCAACTGGTCCGGGAGGTCCCATTCTTCCTGAAGGTCCTGGGGGTCCTGGCTTAGCTGGCTCTGGTGGTGGTGGGGGTGGGGGTGGTGGCGGTGGTGGTGCTGGTGGCGGAGGCATACAACAGGACACCGCACAAGCGGGCGCACAGCTACCGGGACATCCTGGGGGACACGGGTTAGCGTTTCTTTTGTATGCTGCGGGAGAAAAACGAGAAACAAAAAAGACGTTTAAGTTCATTCGAGACTTCACAAGATATTGCGCTACTAACTGGTCTCAGACACTACTGTCAATTCCAATATTTGGAGTCAAAAATTTTAATAAGATTTTCATCATGGTCTCCTAAATAACTTATCATTGTTAATGCCAAAACTTGACATTTTACGAGTTCAAGGTCACAATATTTTATTTACCACGCTTATTGTGAAATATGAATTGAAAAATACCCCATACCTTACAAAGTCAGTTTTTGTCTAGTTAAAGATGCAAACAGTCTGATTTATTTCTAGTTATATGATAAGGAACACCTGAAGACACTGTTCAAATTGTAATCATTTATCGATTAACTCAAAACGACTCGGATATCATTTGTAAAAGTTTGATTTTGGAATGGTAACCTAATTTTGGAAGTTGAATGAATTATAAATTGTCCAAAAAATGTTTTCACTTCTCGCTTCACTAACTTGCAGGTTTCGACGGGAACCCGCTTTTAACAAAAACTCACCAACCAATCAAATTTCAGTTTTTCGTAAATTGAATCACTTTGAGGGTCACACAAGAAGTAAACGAAAAATTACAACTTCTTAAAAAGTTCACAACGCATCTTCGTTTTAGTGTTTTCGTAAACGACTGCTTGAAGTCAAAGTATTTCGAGAGTAAGTACGAGATAAATGTCACAGCTTCAAATATAATTGAAATACTTTGTTTGATGATTTAATCGTATTATCTGGTTACGATACATTCACAACTTTGCGCTCCAATAATCAACTTTAAACAAATATCTTAAGGTTGATCGATCGAGAGCAGTTTTACTTTATAATTCACCGATCATCAATTATTCATCACCTGGCCTTTTGTCGGTTCACAGAAGCGGCTTCTGAGAGGGATCTCTCATCGCCTTTTTTTAATATCTTCAAAATCTGCTCCATTTTAATCACAGATGAAATCCGTTCGGTGTAATAATTTTCCGCAGGCATAGCAAACTCATAAAGGTTATAACCATTTGAAATAATCTTTGATGGTGTGCCATTGCATTGCTCATATCTAGATTAAATTTTACTACAGCGAAGGTGCTTGACGAGGAAAAAAAATTAAACATGAAAATGTAACTTACTTGATCTAGCATAAGTTGATGCTACCATGAGCGCTAAGCATCCTAGGATCAATTTAGACGCCATCTGAAAAATAAAGACAGACATATGTCATAAAACTTGTCCATTTATATCAAATTCGAGCTGTCTACAATTTTGAACAAATCCTTTAAATGATTTTTAGACTTGCTTCCAAATTTCCTTCCTCTATTTTGTGACTTTACATCGAAGAAAATTAAGAATCACAAGTTATTCTCTTTGTACGGTTTTTGCTTAAAATTTTTTTATAATTTTCCTGACTTTGAAATAATAGGCGTCAAGAGACCCTATGTCCCCACCTATAATCATTAAGTTCACCTGGCTATTACCTATGCGAAGATTCTTAGTCAAGGTCAGTTAGGAAATAAAAAAGATTATCCAACTCAATTCCCTACCTCTGGATCCCAGCGAAGCGATCTTGAAATGTGCTTGAATAAAGCTCCTTTCTGATTTATACCCTGGAAGTCATCAATTATACACAAACTCGGACGTGTTATAGCACGCTCTATAGTTCTCTTTGTTCCTCCCTCTTTTGTTATTTACTGAGGAATTTAACGCAGCTATGCCTTGAGCGCATGCGCTAGAGGACTTGTAAAAGTCGCGGAAAATAGTGGTATCATTTAGACTGAAATTACTGAAATAAAAAATCGTAATAGAAAATCCGAAAACTCTGTCTAAATGTTGGTTGTAAAGTTGGTACTTCGGTTAAATATTGTGTTATTTCTGATATCGATTACACCAAAGTAGATAAAAATTCTACCCCTTGGAAACCTGTCAAAAGTGAATTATTTACAAGTTGCAAAACCAGAGACTCAGTCAAACGAAACGCCATTCTTTATTCTCTATTGGTTGTCTCGCTGCTTTCCCAGGAGCCAAACAGGTGTCAAAAAACTGGCACCATTATCTTCAATAAACAACAGAGCAAGTGCCCCTTTCTCCTCTCGTGTTACGCTTCAATTCCTTGGAAAAATCACCAGTTGTCAAAATTTTCACTCCAGCGATTTTGCGTTCCTCTCGATCTGACGAAAAAATGTTTGACAGAAAAAGAAGAATGCATCGCACAATTATCTCTTCTGATCGAGTCGTTTTTACTGAAGATTCCAGTTGTTTTAACGCGAATTTTTGTAAACATTTCAACCCCATGACGCGGTTTGACGCTTTATTGGTAAACATTCCCCCTAAACTCTGGGACATTTTTTTTTGAGGGTGGGGGTGGGGTTTATTTGGAGCCGTCTGACACAAATTTGTGTGGAGTACAACTTTAAAGAAATAAGTTTATTTTGCTTGATTTTCATGTTAACTCATTTTATCGGTAACACTGTCAGTTTACTTTTCCAGGTGATAGCTTTTTTGTTAGTTGAACCAAGCAATCCTTTCAGATTGGTCGGAATTCAGATAAACAAATGTTCCTTGCTTGTGGCCACTTGGTTCTTTACTTAGAACCACACATCAAAGGTAAACGTATATGATTCATCGTTTAATATCGACGACTGGATAGTAAACAACACTGAAGTACTCTTCCATAGGAAATTGCGCGCGCTGGGTCGCAAGGTCTCCAGAAAGCCACAGCAAATGTTAGAACGCAGTTTTATACATGCTCAAAGATTTTTCATCGCACGGACTTAGGCTTCGCTGAATTGTGATCAAAATAAACTATGCTATCGACAGATATACACTCAATTTTCATATCCGGCCATCGAATCTACGTTCAGTGTTTTGAGACTGTGCTTGGTGTTACAGTCAACAGAATTCATCTACCTAAAATTCGAAACAACAAAAAATAAACGTCTTTGTATGAGTGAGTTTCCTTTAAATTAACTTCCGTCAAACAATGAAACACCGTACTTTTAAACAGCAAGAACATGTGGACAATTCCTCTCGCATGATCATCCAATAAATCACGTTCCCCGTCAATTCAAGCCACTAAAGAACAGGCTGTAATTTTTATCAGCTTTTACTTCTTTAATATCTCGCGTCTTTCAAATGCGAGAAGTTCCGTCTGGTGGCACACAATTGCCCATGATGACAACAATGTTTTTCACACAGGGTGCATCAAAATTGGTGCATTACACAGCAATTCGTTATGTATCCTTTGTCTACAGCGTTAAGAACTGTGCAGATGGGTCAATAGATGACGAAAAATACGGATTCTCCTGATCAAGCATTCGCAAAAGCTTTAATCTGTGACAGAAAACACTACCAGGCTTCTAGCAGGTGAGCACGTGTGACACCAAAATAACGTATCTCATTGGCTCAGTGGATTTTGCGCCAAATTTGATCAGAAAAACACCCGTTACCTTAAAAGGCCAGTGGTTAAGGAGAGTGACCCTTGAAATTTTGCTTAAACATGACTAGTGCGGGTAAACCGATTAATATGCCACTCTTTGAAACGACGTGACTAATGTATTATTAGGCGTGGACTTTCTGAACAAAGTAAAATATAACAAAAACAAAAGGAAACTGGGATTTTGAAGTTTATTTTCCATTGCTCGGGCTAGAACTCAATAGATAGAACATATAAATTGGAAAATACATGGAAATTATCGGGTTTATAATACAACGACCTTATTAAAGTGAGCCTCACAAGACTCTCAAGTAAGTTGGTACATAATATAAAGAGTAAGAGAACGGCGAGAAAACCATATCTAGTTATTCCAACCTTCAGTGATGTTCAAATTGAACTTGGAACAGTCCCTTCATGACACGCGGTCATACGAGTCCGCGAAACCTGGAGCGAGTTTGTAAACGTCCTGCACTTAACACGTCGTGGTCACGTTCCTTTCATGAGCAAATAAGCAGAGGCGATCATGTGAATAGCACGAGCCTCGCATTAAGTTCCTCTGATGCCCAGGGCTTGTTCCAGCTCGGCTCTCTTCTGTTGTACCTGAATTATATTAACAAAAAGAAATTCAGAACTTTGGCTCTGCAAATTGACAACTACAAAGCATTCTTCTGTGTCATAAGGTGCAAATACTACGAAGAGCAGTCTACGAAAACAATTTTCAGAGTGCCCTAATAATAATCGTTTGGCCTGAACAGATTAAAAGTTTTTGGGTGATCATTACCTTTCCATAAAAGTAGCGGCAAACTGCTTCTTGTGACCAGGGAAGATGAAAGAAATCAGCTCTCCGCTCTTCTTCTGGATTTCCGACCACATCAGTCATAACCTGAAAGATGACAGGAATTTCAACACGTGTCACAGGGAAAACAAAAGGTGCCGCAGGATACCTAACTAATATCACAAAAAGAACAAACTGCAGCCACAAGAAGACCAGCCAATGCCGCACGATAAACGAGTGGTGTCACGGAAGAGCCAATCACAGTCACATTATAAAACAACCAATATCTTCTTCAATGAAGATCAACCAGCTCAAAAGAGAGAACTTGAGCACCAAGCACTCCCACAGTGAGAACAAACACAGTAACCACCGACAAATTTCAGGATACCTATAATAGGCTGAGGTCTTAAATCAACAACATTGCGCAACCTTGTTGATATATTTACCTTGAGATCTTGACTTTGGGACTGTATCCATTGATTGATAAATTCCTTAAAAACAGATACCAAGGATATGTGTCAGTGCTACAAAACAAAACTGAATACTATAAAAAGAAAAACAACAAGTTGCAACAGCATAGTCATGGCATTTTTTGTATTGTCATGTACCATTTCTCCCAAAAAAGGAAAAGTGTTTCATGAAATTGTTTCATACGTAACAGAGCAGTATACTCACTGGAGGATCTCTTGCAAACCCAAGAAAGAATTCCCGGTTAATCTTCAACTGATTGATTGTCTCAACTGTCTCATAAATCTGCAAAACAAAAAAAAACAAAAAAAAAACAAAAGGAATGATTCAGAAACTTAATTTCAACGGCAGTTTAGCAAGAGTAAAAACTAACGATACTGTTGGGTTTATTTTTAACTCTTCAGCTCAATGATGGGAAACTAAAAAATCTCAGCTCACCTTGTTGTCATATGCAGTGATCTCATTCTGACTTGCAGTAGAAAGAAGAAAAGACTGCATTTGAGCCTTGAGCGTGTCATCCTTCAAAAAGAAATAATTTCAGAAATTATTGAAACAGCAAACCAAGCACAACATTTGTAAACACAACCAGTTGATTTATAGATACATAATTTGTAAAAAGGTTGCTGTTACTTAAAGGTTTTCTAAGAACTTATCCCAATAATATCCTTACATTATCTGGCAAAAAGGTAACAAGAGTACTCAAACTCAAGTGGAAGTTGTTATCTTGATCTAACACCAAATTGTCTGAACTAATGTACAAGGAAATGTGTAGCAGTAGAGAGAATTAACAATCATATCTTGAGAATTAAAGGATTTAACCTACAATAAAACTTACACGACTAATTACAACAAGAATGACATAACATATGATAATAGAGAAAGGTTTCCTTAGAAGTGATTAACATGTAACTGTAACTTCTCCCAAACATATCCTTACATTATCTAGCAACAACAGAGAGGAGAATCAACTATCAGATCTTGAGAATTAAAGGGTTAAACCTACATTAAAACTTTAACAATTAATTACAGCAAGAATGTCATGACAGATATTATAACAGAGATATGGTGCTAAGTAAAATAAAACCAAACTGTTTAACTTACAACTTCTACTTCAATGTCATAGCAAGTTGTTCTCTTGTTTTCAGGTGTTTCTTTGCTATGAGGAAAAGACAACTGATTAAATTAATGATTCAGTAAAATTTGTGCTTGAAAAATTATGCTAAACTATTCCTGTTGTAGTTTGATTACATTAGTTTTCATTTTGTTTGAAGTTTTGTTCCCATCCATGTTATACAGGAATGGGAAAAAAATTGAAAGATAACCAGTTTGACAACTCCTAAACAAAAAGGAACTACAGAGCTATCACTTATACCTCAGCTGATGGAGGATACTATAGTTTACCTTATAAGGTGATGAATAACAATGGGATCTGGAGGTAATAACAAGGAACTCAAACGCTGAGGAATCTCACTAAACTTCATGCGATTACATTCAAAAATCTGAAAGCAAATAACATTGAATCAGTTACAATACCAATGACCAAATTTGATTTAACAAAACTTGCAGAGTTTTCATGGTATAAAGAATTAAATGCATAGTCATGTTCTCATAGTATTTCTGAGTAGAAATAGGTGGAGATGACTAAAGAGAGTTTGGAAGTTGAACATCAGATCTGACCTGCTGAAAGTATCTGTCACAGTTTATGTACTCCCTCTCATGAGAATCTTGCAAGTTGTGACTCTGAAAGTAATTAAAGAAAAAATAACATAACCTAAGGTAGCAGAGACAATTTTAAATCTTAATCAAGAGGTTTGGGTTACAACAAAATCTGTTGAAACTGTTTACCCACAGAGTCAAGCTCACCTTAATATACTGCCATAAAGCATTGACAATCACCGGCCTTGTTTGAGTGTGAATACCCATAAGCCTTGCTAATCTGGGATCCAGTTTGTACTGTGGAGGCTAACAAAACAGTTTATGCTTTGGTTAGTTACAAGGTTATGATACAGTAATCAATTAATTAATTTACTACTGACATCTGATTTATACCTCTTACCTGGTAATCCAACAGGAACATGATAGTGCACTTCACATTTTCTTCTCCAGGCCTTTTAACCTTAAATGAGATCAGATGCTTTAAAAAGGGCATTGAAGAGTGATTCAAGACTTTTAATCTGACACAGGCAAACTGCTTTTGTTGATGGTGACACTGACTAATGTTTTGACAACCTGAATGGGAGTCTTTATCAGAGTCCACTTGGTTCTGAAAATGACTCCAAGTCAATTCATTGAGATGACTGTCATTGTAGATAACAACAGTACTGTAGAGATTGCAAACCAAGAGAAAACATGATCAAAATTTTCCCAAGAATTTGGAGGTTGCATTGACAATGCTCAAAAACAACATGCAGTAAGAAGTCCTGGACAAAATTCCATACCTGAAAACCATCAGTCTCTTGAGTTGAACTGGTGCGATGCCACTGAAAAAAATTAAAAACAAATATACCCTGGATTACTTGCAGTGCTCAACAAACAAATCTTTCTTAGTACTTTCTACTGATCCAATCTACTGAATATTTCACATTTTGTTTCACCAAATCCAAGATTGTATCACCTTCATCACTGCTATAATGTACCTCAACTAGGTGATTATCTGGCCCATATAACTCCCTGTCCAACTCTATCACAAGACTCTTGAAATATGTTGAGAACTTTCGTTTCTGTCTTGGACCATCAGTCTTGGGAGCCTGCATCTGTGTGCATGACACATAACCATTTTGGTAAATTCAGGCAAACATTAATTTTTCTTTGTACGGTGAAACCTGTATAAATTATATACCAACTTGCAACCCAAAATTCACATCCCAAATTTCTCCAGAAAACCAACCTATATACATATCTATATACATATATATATATATATATATATATATATATATATATATATATATATATATATATATGATATACATATCATATATCTTTCATGAGCAAATGTAAACTCTAAAATTGAGACTTTCAACAACCCAAATCTACAAGCGTATTTAGCAGACACTTCAAGAGGTTTTACCATAGAGTTTGAACATCTCTAGGCTAATGGTATATTCAAAACTTCAATATCCAATATCAGGTCCACTGAATTTTATTTATGTGGTACAATTTAATACAGTGGTATGTACTAATTATGTACATTGAACTCCACAGACTTTGATGATGCAAAATGCATCTCAGTTTGTTTCCCACCATATCTGTAATTCCATTTATTTTCAGGAAACTGGTGTAACAAAGCTTACATGAGACAAAAGAGGCTTAGAACATTTGATCCATCAAAGATGTCAGTTACATTTCTGTTTTACTCTGTCACAATCTGAAATACTGCTTGTGGTCATTATGCAATTTTCAAGAAGCTATTTTATATGGACACCCCCTTTTCAGCACAAATTAGCAAGGGTTCTGCATGTGTCTGTTTAAAATGAGTTTCACTGTATCATGCATTTCACACTTTTATCATACACTTGTACCTCCTCTAGAAGACGACCCTCCACTCTCAGCTCCCATGAAGGAACAATATTTTCTTCATCCTGGTGTACAAAAGAATGGTTTGAAGAGTTAGATACATTTATTGCTACTTGACTCTTTGATAATCATGCAGCAAATTCATGTTGGAGGACCAAAAATAAACCATTATATAGCAAAGTATTAGTGTTATGAACCAGATTTCATACTGTGCTATGAAAATGATGCATGCAAATTAAAGCCATTGCAAGGAAAATTAACAGCTAAGAAATAACAATGCAGCTTCTTTGCTGAGGATAGATTTTAAGATAACTTACTTCATTCTCTGGTCTCGGCACATAAAAGTTTGTAGTTAAGTAGATTCGCAACTTCTTCTTTTGCTGGAAAAAGGAAACAACAAAAACAAAATTCTCAGTACATTTATCATACTTACAATAATCCTAGTATAAGACAAGCAATTTTAATCATTTTGATTATAATGCAGAGTCTATATTTTACTTTGAAACAAAAAAACCCTCCTACCTTCATTGGCCTTTTCAAAGCTTCTTGAATGTCTAACCTCTTGCGCATTATGGTTGCATCCAGTTTCCGTTCAAAGGCAAGGAGGTCCATATATGCTTGTGATTCTGGTACAAGATCTCGCACCTGTCATGAACACAAAGTTAGTCAACAAGATTTCTTAGCTCCCTTCAGTGACATAAGTTATACAATGACTTCACTTACTCTTTGAGGAAGGATCTTGTCAGCCATCTTCTTCTTTCTAAAAAGGAAATTATACATCAAGCTTGATTTAAATTTCCACTTTGTTGGAACTGTTAAAACATAAGGTAGTTTTCAGTTAACCCTGTGACTCCCAGATATGAAACATTCTCCTTAATGTTGGCCATACAGTAATCACTTGTTACTGTGTGGAGAAGTTCTTTCTTTTTCACTCATGGGAGTTGAAACACCAAGCAATTCTTGCAAATTGAGTTGCTTTAGTTCAGACTCACTACAAACCTTCTCCTGTTCTTGGCATCCTGTCTCCGCCTTGCCTGCTCCAGTGCAGCAGCAGCACCTGGTACCAGTCCTGCCCGAGGCACATTAGGACCATAAGGATGTACTCCTGATGTGCCCTGCATGCGCATTGCCATGGCAGTATTTGAACTGCTGGCTGGACGCTGAAAAATCACGAAAGTGATTGAAACTAAACTCAACCATGCAAAATTCATTAAAAATATCACAGGCACATTCCAGGGCAAACATGGATATTCAATTTATATTTTTTATCATGAATGTTGAGACCATAATATAAAGTATATGATATGCTAAATTATACATGCATTTTGATTGGTTCTTACTAATCATCTCTAGGAGGAGACACAGAGATGATGTCACCATCAAACACATGTTGCTTTTTATCAATATATCATTTAAACAAATAGATTTTAAGTAGCCTTGGATCTGTACAGTAATAGGTCACAGAAGACATCAAAATGTGGTAAGAACATCAGTGATAAACTCTATTACTGAACAGACTCTCGGCAACGTGGAATCTACTTGTAAGAAAAAGAAGTGGATTTGAACAACTTGAAAACTCATAATCGGAACTTATTTGTGCTACCATTCGTTGATTTTCAAAAAAATGTCCTCCAAAACTTGGTTTCCTTGTCATCGCTGCCGATCGGTAAAAGGGTTTCCTTATAACTTTCAGCAATCAACAGAAATCGTCAACGATCAAATGGAAACAAAGCTTTGGAAACAGACATGATCGTCCTCGTGCTTGTTTCAGAAAGATTTTAATTCGTGTTTTATAGTCAATGTGATGTTATCGGTTTAAAGGAAAGCAAAAGGAATCAAATAGTAAAGAACTCACCGAAATTCCATATGGTGATTGTTGGAACTGAGAGCGCTGATACATGGAGGACTGCTGCGGGTTATTTGCCATTTTCTGCATTGAAGCAGAAGCTGGAAAACGCGCCGCCATATTGAATGAAGAAAGTTACCCACAATGCAATGCAATTGAGGTAATCTTCACAATTAAGATACATTTACCTAGCTTTTAGTCCACATTTATTGCAGCATAATTTGAATTGATTCAGCTGCGTAATTAACGCTCAACAACCTGAAATTTGACTATCGATTGTTCGACAGATAAAAAAAGCGGGAAAGTCTCTAAATAATTGTAGCGTCGAGACAGTGGGGGGTATTAAGGGGTTGATTTGGTTTTCTAACTGGATTGACAACGTAATTTAATTGGCCACCAAAGAGAGTTTCAAAAGCTCTTTGCAGTGGCAAATTAACATGATAATCTTAGTTGATAGAACAAATTTTCCGATTGTTTGGTCTCGCTTCTCTCTGCAAATCATTTGTGCTTTCAAATCCTAGATTATAAGACACTATAGGGCAAAGGCTCGAATTCCGTCAAAACTTGAAAATTTCAAGCTTCTTTTTAGCAATTCAATCAAATTCAGACCACCTCTGAGGATCGTTTCACTATTTGTTGTCTTACTGGTCTAAATTAAGTAGGATTTATTGCAGTTAAACACTATTTTTGATTAGATGATGTTATTAGAAAAACCATGTCCATTGTCTATTAAAAAAAAACTTTCATCAATGATCAACAGAAATCGGAAGAACAATTGCTTGTAAAAGTTGGTATGTTATGGTGGAGGACTTAATTTCCAAATTTATTTTCGTTTTTGAATGTTTCAACATATTGTACTCATGCAGTATTGTGCAATAGTAATGCAAACAAAAATCGCCGAATTTTGTTGATTGTTCCTTCGAAAATTCATCGAACTTTCGTGCGAAAGTTCGTGAAGTTTCTCGCTTGCTCTTCGCGTCACTTCGTCGGAAGAAAGAGCGATGTTTCTTCGAATTTTCGTTACCGAGCAAAAGTTCGCTATGAAAAGCTTGGGAAATACAAAATAATTCTCAGCGCGACATGCTCGATCTTCAATTCATGTGCTAAGCACAAAACATGAGACTAAATGCTCTTGGCACGGAACTTCGGGTTTCGAACGCTCGTGCGAACTGCGTTCATCGTGTTTTGATTAGAGCTACGAAGCGATTGACAAATTAAAATTTTAGATTACAGAAAGAAGGAGAATTCCAGAAATTATTTGGGAAGCGAGTGTGACAAATGTGTCCAACAAATTAAGGATAGCGTAAAACAGAAGGGTACATTGACTGGACGACGAAAGACATTGAATTTAGTTGGATAAAATCCTGTACGAAATGTTTCTCGTGCAGAGATTCATGGAACTTTTTTGAGTAGTTATTGAGCTTTTAGATGTTCCCAAGTTCATGGAAATAGTTCTTGCTCTTTTTAAAATTTGTTTCAATGTAATCAACACCGCCTATGCAAATGCCAGATATCGGCGATTTTATACGCTGATCGCGACGATCGGCGAATAAAATCGCCAGGTGTATCGCCAGTTTTATCACCAGTTTTAGCCCACCTTCGTTCTCACGTGGTCGACAAAGTCACGCTTGTCTCTCTTTTCTTCGAGTTGAAATTTGAAGTTACGAGCTTTGCATCGTTTTGCAGTGGTTAATGCGGTCTCATTCCTTAGTTTGACTTAAATATTTCTGAATAACATCTACAGTTTTTCCACTCTTTGAGTTAATTTCTAAGACGCGACCTTTGAAGCCGTGGCGTCACGGCGTCAAGTGCTAGCGACTGATTCTTATGATTCTGGAAGTGTAAGGATAAACACACGTATTTCTTTTTCCACACTCACTTTTTTGTAATCGAAAGCATTTATTTCACAAGAATACGAGAGATAAGTTTCCCAAGTAAGGTATGTCTTGCAGTAAGATATTTCTGGCCGCTTTGTAGCGTGCGTGTAGCCCGTACCCTCCCCCCAAGGTGAAACGGAAGCGAGGGCACTCCTTCCCCTCGCCTCCGTTTCAGGGGAGGGTATGGCTACACGTAGGCTAACCGATTTGCTTTCGAACTCGACCCGATCTATTGTTTAATTCATCGCCACCGTAGTTCAACGTCCTTCCAAACAAATATTTGTATGTATGCTCTCCTATTAAAAATTTCTTGGTTTAGTGTTTTTGTGTTCCATGCATATGCATTACCAGTGCGCATTTTTTACACTCAACGGTGCATTGTTTTACTTTAAATTTACTAAACATTGTCAAATATATTGCATGTGATTCATGCAAAAAGCTGGTTATGGCTTTGACTTGCTACTTGACACTATTTTGTTAGGACTTATACACAAGTTTTCTATCACAATTTTTAAACAAAATTTTTCCAGCTACCAGAGTTTTACTTCTTTTTATACACTACTTTTTTATATACTACTTTTAATACACTGTATTATTAAGATATTTATAGTACCCTACTTGACTTTTTATGGTTATTAAGATATAGATATTTTAAGCATATTTATGAGATATGAAGTGATGTCAAACATCATTCATTTCTCATTGTTTATTGTGTTCCATGCATAATATACCCATTACCAATAAATATTTTTTATAATCTATGGTCCATTGTTTTAATTTGCTAAACATTGTCAAATATATCATGGGTGATTCATGCATAAAGCTGGTTATGACTTTGACTTGCTACAAACTATTGAGTGTAAAACACTTAATTAACAACTGGTAAATAGTAAATGTAGCTGTAATCAGTTATCAAATTAGCCATTAAAAATAGTTTATATTTGGTGATAAGTGACAATTCAGAATTAATTTTCACACATCTTAATTATAAGTGCATGTATATTTTTTTCTATAAGAAGACATACAGGAAAAGAAGTCTACCATTCTCCAAATCTCAAAACCAACCCGTTGACAACTTGGTCTAAAAATCCAAGTCTGGCCAGGTTCATTTTCCTTGCCAACCACTGTTGATAAGGAAAATACATCCTACAATTCACTAATTTCCAAACAATCATTAATCTGCCATCAAATCCTTTAAATCTTCCTTCTTTGTGGTCAGTTGTCCATAAAGAAAATAAAACTCCCTGTCCAACTCTATCACAAGTCTCTTGAAATATGTTGAGAACTTTTGTTTCTGTCTTGGACCATCAGTCTTAAAAGCCTGCATCTGTGTGCATGGAACAAAACCATTTTAGTAAATTCAGGCAAACATTTACTTTGTACAGTGAAACCTGTATAAAACACACACCAACTTGCTACCCAGAATTAACATTCTAAATTTTTCCAGAAAACCAACCTATATTCAGTAGACATCTTTGATGAGCTAATGTAAACTCTAAAATCCAACAACCCAAATCTACAGGCATATTAGGCAGACACTTGAAGAGGTTTCACTTAAGAGTTTGAACATCTCTCAGTTAACAGTGTATTCAAAACTTCAATATTCAAACTCAGGTCCACTGATCTTCATTTACGTGATACAAGTTAATATAGTGGTATGTATTAATGAAGTACATTGAACTCCAGACTTTGACAGTGCTAAATGTATCTTAATTTGTTTCACACTATATCTTTAATTGCATTTCATTTCAGGAAACTGGGGTAACAGAGCTTACATAGGACAAAAAAGGCTTAGAACATTTGATCCATCAAAGATGTGAATTAAATTTCTGTTTTACTCTGTCACAATCTGAAATACTGCTTGTGATCATTATGCAATTTACTAGAAGCTGTTTCATATGGACACCCCCTTTTCAGCACAAATTAGCAAGGGTTCTGCATGTGTCCGTTTAAATGAGTTTCACTGTATCATGCATTTCACACTTTTATCATACACTTGTACCTCATCTAGAAGATGACCCTCCATTCTCAGCTTCCATGAAGGAACAATATTTTTTTCATCCTGGTGTACAAAAGAATGGTTTGAAGAGTTAGATACATTTATTGCTACTTGACTCTTTGATATTCATGCAGCAAATTCATGTTAGAGTACCAGAAATAAACCATCATAGCAAAGTATCTGTGTTATGATGTAGATTTCATGCTGTGCTATGAAAATGATGCATGCAAATTAATCCCATTGTAAGGAAAATTAACAGCTAAGAAACACCATCACAACTTCTTCACTGAGGATAGGTTTTAAGATATCTTACTTCATTCTCTGGTCTCGGCAGATAAAAGTTTGTAGTTAAGTAGATTCTCATTTTCTTCTTTTGCTGGAAAAAGGAAACAACAAAAACAAAATTTTCAGTACATTTATCATACTAATGATAATCCTCATATAAGACAAGTAATTATAATTATTTTGATTATAATGCATTATAAGGATGTATTCCTTATGTGCCCTGTGTGTGCATTGACATGGCAGCATTTGAACTGCTGGCTGGACACTGAAAAATCACAAAAGAGATTGAAAACTAAGCTCAATCATGCAAAATTCATTGAAAATATCACAAGCACATTCCAGGGCAAACACAAGAGATTTAATTTTTTTTTCTATAAAATAAATTAAAATGTTGAGATCATAATGTCTAATATATGATAAGCTGAATTATACAAGCATTTTGATTGGTTCTTACTTATCATCTATAGGAGGACAGACGTAGAGATGATGTCACCATCAAACATGTTGCTTTTTATCATATAAAACAAAATATTTTTTATGTTGCCTTGGTTCTGTATAATAATAGATCACAGAAGACATCAAAATATGGTAAGAACATCGGTGACAAACTCTGCTGCGCCTCGTGAGCAGAAGTTGAAAAACGCGCTGACATATTGGATGAAAATTTACCCATAATGCAATGCTACAGGTTGTTTCCTGATCTTTCGTCAGTTCCAACTCGGGTAACTTCGGAAAGATCCGGTCAATAGATAGACATGCGTTCGGGATTCCGGAAGAAAGCGGAAGTGACATATAAAAATATCCTCTTACGTGCGTCTAAGTGAGTGGTAACATTCCTGTCTTGTCCCGTACAAGAGCGTTCGCAAGTTTGCTGTTGGCTTGACATTATGAAGATCGCTTTCGTTTGTCTTATATTTCTGACAGTTTTCATTGAGGTAATCTTCACAATTAAGATACATTTACCTAGCTTTTAGTTCACACTTATTGCAGCATGATTTGAATTTGTTCAGCTGCGTAATTAGGGACCTAAAGCAGTCAGGACGGCAACGCTGAGAAGGACTTGGATTAAAAAAATGAATTTCTGCCTTTAATTAGAAGGTAAAATTTCCGCACAGCCCCATACTACATTATGAATTCAGTTCTTGAATAGAGAAAACAATGACAAAAACAATACATTTCCATTGGGAAAACAGATTTGTTTTACAATAGTATGGGGCTGTGCGGAAACTTTACCAATTAGAATTTCAAAAATGGCTGCATGTGTTTACCGTCTCATACGGCGCCAGTCCTCGTTGCCGTCGTCGTCGTGGTTTGCTCAAGATCGCTAATAGCGCCCAACAACCTGAAATTTAACTATCGATTGTTCGACAGATGACTAGAGCGGGCAAATTTCTAAAGAAATTGTAGCGACGAGACTGTAGGGGGTATTACAAGACAATTTGGTTTTTCAACCGGGTTGACAATGAAATTTAAATGGCCACCATAGAAAGTTTTAAAAGCTCTTTGCGGTGGCTAATTTACATGATCATTTCAGTTGATAAAACAAAATTTTCGATTGTTTGGTCTCGCTTCTCTCTGCAAATCATTCTAGATTATAAGAGACTATAGGGCAAAGATTCGAATCCCAACAAAGCCTGAATGTTTTCAAGCTTCTTTTTAGCAATTCAATTATAATACAGACCACCTGTGAGGCTTGTTTCGCTATTTGTTGTCTTTCTGGTCAAAATTGAGTGGGATTTGTCACCTAAACACTATTTTTGATTAGATGATGTTATTAGAAAAACCGTATACATTGTCTATTGAAAAAACTTTTAGCAATGATCAACAGAAATCTGAAGAACAATTGCTTGTAAAAGTTTTGTATGTTATGGTGGAGGATTTAATTTCCAAAATTATTTTCGTTTTTGAATGTTTCAACATGTTGTACTTATATTCATGATTCTGGTCATCATCATATAATCATTAACATCATCATCATTATAATAAATAGTTAAGATTATTCTTGATGTTATCACCATTATTAGTATAATAAATGTTATTATTACACATAATATTCTCATTTCATTGACATTGAAGTCCAATCTCACAAGAAAATGTTCTTAAATGATTTTGTATCAGTCCAATGGCCTCAGATGTTCATACTCAAGGTACAGGGGTGGCAGGTACACCACTACCTATTACAGGTGGGCAATGTTTAATTTTTTTCACATTATTTGTAAACTTTAAAAGAAATAAAGTAATGTGATATGCTTTGATGTTTTGTTTCTATTTATTTGTTTATTTCAAAAGTGAAAATATGAGTCAATGTGAATATGGATAACTCCTATTTGCTGCTATTTTTTTCACATAGTTGAAAACACTTGATGTTTTATTTGTCAGTCAAAGACCTTTAACAACAGCATTTCTGTTCTTCTTTTAGATAACTAAAACTGACTAAATTGGGAAGAAACATGTAAATTAGTGACATTTACATAATGTGCTAGCATTCATGATGATCTTTTGCATTTTGCTGTGAATTAATTTTTTTTTCAATTTTTGCTCCATAGCTGTGCTAACAATGAATACTGTTGTGGATCTCGAAGTTGTTGTACATATGTTTATACAAGATGGTACCTCTGGTAAGTGCAAATCAAAATTATTCTGAACCTACCTCATTGCATAATTTCTTTGACAAAATGATGAACAGGATGAACCTGACAACATTTTTCCAGGTTGTCTTGTAGATAAAGTTAGTTCACATTTTCATTAAAATAAGACATTTTGCATATTGCTCAATTCCTAATAATTTGTTTTCAATTCAAAGGACGGGCATTGTGGCCACTTTTGTGATTAGTTTTATCATTTGGTGGTACTATCGCTATCGCTATCGTCGCGCACATCAAGTAGTTGTAGCCCAGGTCCGACCCTCTCAGGCTGTGCATACCACAGTCACTGAGAGTGTGATGAGGGTACCTGCTGCCTACCCTGTGTACCCCCCACCAGGTCAAGCCACATTCATGCCAGGCACAGGGAATACCCAGTATACAGCATACCCACCACAAGTTTATGCTTATCAGGATCCACCACCACCATACACAAGTGCTCCTATGGTGAAACAAGGTGCTTTTGTGAGCACTTCTTCTTAGCTTAGTCATTCAAGGCTCAGAGCTTAAACATGTTTTAGCTGCAGTGGTGAATAAGAAAAAAAATAGCAATTACATTTGTAGCAAAAGTTGCCAATTTGGCAACCTGCTGGTCTTGAAGTAAGTTGTGACATTTTTGTCGCTTAAAGTTGAGTAACTTTGTAATGTCATATTGCATAAAATGTCCCTTTTTCATTTTTTGTTTTCTGAGAGAAGTTAGCAAGGGTATTGTTTTAGCAAGAAAAGTTTGGTGATCCTGATGATGGTCACTATTTTGTTAAGACTTATACACAAGTTTTTTAGCGCAATTTTTTTAACAAAATTTTTCCAGCTACCAGAATGTTACTTAAGACTTATTGTATCATATGTTTACTTTCATAAAAGATGAGCCTAGAGCCCAATTATAATTCTTTGGATGAATCCTTAGCTGGGAACCATTAACCTCTCAAGTCATGGGTATCATTAGTGCATAACTTACTCAGTATCTCACCCTACAAACTGATGACAAGAAAACAAAAATCACACATACCTACCCTTTGGAGATGCAATAAGGCAAACTTATACATTTCGGCAGGAATTTTAGGAGTGCAAATGAGTGAAGTCTCAAAAACTACAGTGCGAATCCCAAAGGGGGACAGGGTTGATATTTTCCTAGCATCTTGAAAATTAGTCTTGTCATATCAGTTCACTGATGGATGATTTTCTACTCACTAAGAATAGATTTTTTAACACACTGTATTATTTAGATGTTTATAGTAACCTTCTTAGAAGGTGTTAGATTATTTCTGACATTAAGATATAGATATTTTAGGCACATTTATGAGATATGAAGTGATGTCAAACATCATTCATTTTTCATCTATAGTGATCCATGTATATGCATTACCACTAAGCATTTTTAACACTCAGTGATGCATTGCTTTACTTTAAATTTACTTAACTTTGTCAAATACATTGTAAGTGATTCATGCAAAAAGTTGGTTATTACTTTGACTTGCTTCAAACTGCTGAGTGTAACACACTTAACTAAACAACCAATAAATAGTGTGCATAGCTGTAATCAGTTATCAAATTAGCCATTAATAATAGTTGATTTTTTGTGACAAGTGATGATTCAGAACTAATTTTCACTTGTTATATTTATAAGTACATGTATATCTTTTTTATAGAAAGACATTGTGGGAAGAGAAGTCTACCATTCTCCAAATCTCAAAACCAACCCTTTGACAACTTGAGAAAAGAACTGCATTCCTTTTCAGTGTCTAAAAATTCAAGTCTGGCCAGGTTCATTTTCCTTGCCAACCACTGTTGATGGGGACAATACTTCCTACCATTCACTTATTTCCAAACAATCATTAATCTGCCATCAAATCCTTTCAATCTTCCTTCTTTGTGGTCAGTAGTCCACAAAGCTCCCATGCATCTCCTCCCATCTGCCCCTATCTTTAGCAACTGGACACAACTCCTCTCATGCATCCATCTCTGAGAGTCCCTCTTTTTACAAAATCTCTGCCACTATGTTTTCCTAGGGCTTGTGACCTTTATTTTCACAACAGATACCATGCTGGGGCTGAGAAACAGTGGTACTTCTTTTGTAAATAAAGTAACCACCTCCACCATCTATTCATCACCATCACTCAGACAAACAGTCACTTTTATCTCCACGAGTAGATTAAATTACCACAACATCCCAAACTAATTTTACTGACGATACTCTTCATCTGTACTAAAGTAACAAGTGAGCCAAAGGAAAAAGTTTTATCATGAGATGTCAAGAGCTAAGAACTATTTTTGTTCCTTCTTGAGTCTCTCCTCAGCTTCTGAGGCATGAGATCTTGTTGACATCACCTCCCATTCCTGAATCATTTTTTCTTTGAGGAATTCACCATGTGGTTTGCCAACATTTATTGGAAGCAAAGCAGCATATACTGGAGTCTCTGCACCTTAAAAAAATCAATTATGGATAATGGTTGAATTATTTTATCAACAGAAAAGCATTATCATGCAACACAGTATGCATGACAAACTTTCAGTTGGTGATGAAATTAATTCCCAAAGGTTTGTTTGCTTGTGATGTAAATGAAAGAAAGGCATAGATCACCTTCAATTTCAACAAGTGAGGGAATGAAAAAAGTATTCAAACTACACATGTAAGATAACGAGAGGAGGTAGATGTGGGGAAAATAAAAATTCAGTTGTACCTTCCTCAGGAGATTTTGTTGCTTTTGGTCCAGCCATGTCTGTGCGTACCCAGCCAGGATCACACTGCAGAATAACGAAAAACATTTTTTAGAAATTGATGAGCTCAAACCTCACTGATGTCAACAACTTAACCCTCTCACTGGAAGATCTTGGTGATTCAGAGAATTTTGTATTGGGTCAACTAAAAATCCCCTGGATTATATTTGTCTTTATTCTCATCACTTAACTGTTTAATATTGTTTTGATACTGTAAGGAGAAATTCTGTCTTGGTCACTGATGTGAGTTAAAGGGTTAAGGAACAAAAGGTAACAAAAGCTCACAAAAAACAAAAAAAACACTGCAAGGAAACTGAAAATCATTTCAACACTACTGCTGCACTAAGATAAGTGTAACTTCATAAAAAATCAAGACTGAGTTTACATCCAGGACAAAAACTGTCAATTTCATGTGTCCTTTATATGTAAATGTGTAAAATGTTCCCATTGGTTTCATTTTACAAACTTCAGGCATCCATCCCAACCTCAACAATTAACATAGCAATAGCATATAGCATATATAACATAGCATTCAATTTAATTTTCATTAATTTTAGTTTTTCCTGCCACAATCATTTGTAAACTATCTTATATTAGCCCTTTAGAACCTCCAAGTAACCAGCATCTGACTTTGCCTTGCAGCATTACTGTTGAATCTTCATTAAGATCATGAGAATAAAAGGAATAATTGCAAATCTAAGAGGCTTAGATTGTTTACAAAATTCCCCTTGTCATCACCAAAGGGAATGTATAGAGAACAATATGGAGAATATATATAATTTGTAGAGGGTTAAAACTATGTGGTTGTCATTGTCAGGATGGGGGGAGTGGAAGGTCACACCAAGTCAATTATGAAAAAGACACAGGAATTGACAAAGGAAATAAACATTGTAAATTAAGATGTCTGTAAATTAATTGTCAATTGCAAATTATATTATGATGATTACATTTCAAATCACTTACAGCATTGATAAGAATGTCCTCTCTAGAATCTTGTAATGTATTCCTTGCTAGAATCTTGGTTAAAGCAATTATTCCTATATGGGACATTCCATAGGCTGGAAGGCAGAAAGAAAATTAGATTCAGGAATGCCCAGTTGTTATCAGTTATTACATAGAGACTTAAAATACTGTTTGAGAGTTTGCTTTACCAGAGGTTGACCATCCCTTCTGTGAGTGTGTACCATCCTTGACATCTCTGGAAATACATTGTATTAAAAAGAGGAAATATTCACTACAAGAAACAAATGTCCTGTGGTAATATATAGATTTTATTCTGCTTGTCGTGACCATTTTTGCCATTTATAACACTTGCAAAATTGTATTCCTCACTTCAAATGAATTCTAATTATTCTTATCAACAACATTTACTTGTTGAGTACATGCCATTATGGATAAAAAGCTAAAAGCCAGATTTTAATTACCAAAGTAAAGAAACATTTTATCACAGTAACACATTTAACTTTTGTTACAGTATACAAATTGAGAACACAATGGTTACCAGATAGCACATTCACTTAAAGTTCTTGTTTGATAAAGCAAATTAATAGATCAATTGATCAAGCACTTACTTAACAAACTGATCCATCAAGTTAGCAAGATTTTCTTCGGTTAATGTTGGAGAAGAGAACCTCTTCTGAAGGTCTTCTGACAGCTGAGCCAAACCTCCTAAATGGGAGGAAATATTCACCAACCTGGAAAATCAAAGCAAAGATACTCTCTTAGTATCAATAATCCTGAAAGACCTGGAAGTAACAACTGGAAAGACAATTTTCAATATTTACAATGGGGACAAACTGTTAGATGGAAAGGGGAGGGGAGGGCAGGACTGGTGCCTCTCTTTTCTATCAAGTGCAGTATTTCTATGCCCTGCCCCAATTTCTTGTAGTAAAAAAATGTAACACCCCCTCCCTCTCCCTCCTCTATGGCAAGCAATAGCCATTCTTAACTTTATGTTTGATGTGCATCCTACATACTTAACTAGGATCAGCAATTTAAAAGCATGATATGTCTGAGTAGGTAATTATTCAGATAGAGCGTAGAATTTTCAGGTGTGACATGCAATATTGAAAGATGCAAATTGTCTTACTCTGTTGTTTGATAGAGGTTAAAGGAGGCTAACAGCAGTAAATAATTTGATAAATGTATCTTAAACCAACCAAGCAAAGTACCATTGGTTTCCTTTCTGCATGGGAGCTTATGATCCTTACTAACCTTGCATGTGGTTTTAAAATTGGTGACAGTGCTCTGCACACATTAAGCGTACCATGAAAGTTTGTCTGGATAGTCACTTCAGCTTGTTCTGGAAAAGGAACTGTAGATGCCCGCTAATTAATATTCAAAAACAAAAAAAACAAATATCAATACTTCACTTTTCAGTAGATTTATCTAAGAGGGACATCAGTTTTTTAACAGTTGATGTAGGGACATAGGATAACCCTTTTATCCCTCGGAATGATTAACATCTTATTTCTCCTTACAGAGCTGCCCTTAATCAAGCATTTAGGTAATGAGAATAAAGGTAATGATCACTTATGAAAGGGGCTCTAGATCATAAAAAAAAATTCTCCATGTCAATACCATAGAATATTAGGGTGTAAAGAGGGTTTAACACCTAGCATTATAGCTTAATACCAAGCTTATGATGTGTCCTCAGGTATAGATGCTTTACAGGCACCAATGCTGAAATATATGTAATACACAATAATTCTGAGCTTGATTCTCAAGTATTTCTCCTCACAACCTAACCCTATCACTCCTAAGATCTCATTAGTAATTCTCCTTACTGTATACCATACAATTCTTATGATTTTTCTTCAGAGAATTTGGTATTTGATCAACTTATAATTTACTTATAAGTTATAATATTTTCCTTTATTTCTCATCACTTGTCCACTTGATATTCTATTGATATGGAAAGGAAAAATTCTGTCTTGATCATTTGCAGGAGTTTTAGGGTTAACGCTTGTTTCAACCCACCTTAAAAGCTATCCCGGCATTATTTACAAGAAGATCCAATCCACCATATTGCTCCATGAGATGTTTCTTTATTCTCTCAATGCTTTCTGGTGAAACAATATCCAACTGATGAAATACAGGTGAAGCACCTTCAGTGCTTAGTTGTTTGACAGCTTCCAGTCCTCTTTGTTCATCTCTTGCTAAAAGCAAAGTTGTCAGCCAGTCAAAATGATACAAAACCTTCTGCAGGTAAGGATTATAGATTGACCTAAAAATTAGGTTTCTGATTTTTGGCTGGAAATCTTGTTAAAGTGAAGTACTGTATGCATCAGATTGGGCTGCTACTCTGATCCACATCAGGTGTTACCAAGTATAAGGAGTCTCATGAATGAGACCAAACAACAAACTTTCCCTCATCCTCTTATCTCCTTAGCACCAGCCTCAGCATGTCACACAATGCCCCCCCCTCCTCCCCCCGGCAGTAAATCTTAAAAAAATGTCCATACAGGAGAATCCTCAGCCTCCAGTACGTGAGCTGGGTGTCCTGTGGACTGATCATCCCTAAAAACCATCAGATAACAGAAAACCAGTGGACCTATAATTTTTTTTCTCTGTGGGCAATGTTGCCCTTCATCTGGATTTACAGAGTATAATGCAGTTGTGCAAAAGCCAAAAGAATGTTTAGGAACCAACCAAATGAAAAGTGCCCATTATTTAATTTCCATTCCCTAATTAACCCTTTTCACGCCCATGAATGACCAAGAGAGACTTTCTCCTAACAATATCACCTAAGGGATTGTTAGTCGATCCAATACCACGTCCTCCAAATGAACATTATAGGAATTGTATGGCCGACAGTAAGGAGAATTACTAAAAATCAGATCTTAGGAGTGAAAAGGTCAAGAAATTATTATTTTGTTTAGGTTAAGGTTATTTTAAGAAGAACTGACCACCTGTTAAAATAACAGTTCCAGAAAATTCTCTACACAACTTTTTGACTATAGCAAATCCTATTCCCTTGTTAGCACCGGTAACCTGCAGATTGAATGAAACTTCGTGTTTTGTAGTTTAGAATACTATCAACAAAAAATGAGATTCTCGAGAAGGCTTTAAACTTAACGAATCAAACTGAATTGCCGAAAAGATTTCCTTATGTAAAGAGTTAAAAAGAATCACTACTCACAACCGCAACTCGCATATTTGGAGACTTTTTCAAGGTTCACTCAAAAAAGGATTGGACACTAATAGCACAAATGGGGATCGAGATGGTTGGTTAGGACAGGGAGGTACTAAAACATGGAACGACCTAAAACCACCTAAAACCACCTACAACCACCTACAACCATCTACAACCACCTCAAAAATTTCAACAACGACCTATTATAGGATATCGACCGAATTATAAAAAATATAATTGGCATGCTCTCGCATTTCATTTCGTGAGATGGTTGATTATACATGGGACCAGGGAGAGTAAGATTTCAGGGGGAGGTGGAGGTTTCGTTCCATTCTCGTATTTCATGTACGTGACATGTTGTCGTTTCGCCTTATTTAAGACATTTATGCTTTGTTTTTGATAGTTTTAGATAGTTTTCGAGTGGCTGTAGATGTTTTTGAGGTGGTTGTAGGTCGTTGTTGAAATTTTTGAGGTGTAGGTTGTAGGTGGTTTTAGGTGGTTTTGGGTCGTTCCATGTTTTAGTACTTACCGGTTAGGACTTAGTTAACAGTGGTTGTGGTTAAAAAAAGAAAAGTTCCCCATTGCATTTGTAACTCTTCTTATAACAACGTTAGCAAATAAATCTTAGAAATCACAAGTAGAACAAGGCATTTGTCTCATTGAAAAGAAAGGCAGACCAAACTATCTATCCTCTCACCCCTCCCTTTTTTTTTGCCTTTTTGCGACCGATGCTGCACAAATGGTACCCAGTCTTTAGGCAGTTTCACACATCACCTTGACGAAACAAAGTGGTCGACATGTCTTCCTCAAAAGTTGCAGTGGTAAGCTCATTTAACTTTAGAATTTCAGTATTTCTCCTCGAATCATGGCCACCTATGCAGCTAAGTGCAAAACTTAGGTAGATGCGCGCCCCTTGATGATAGACCAGGGTACTGTTTGCGATGATGTCAATCGTGCAAAAACCTAGCTACATACCTGATATGTTACCGACTGAGTTCGTGTTTTGTGCTACACTAATGATATTTCAGTCGACAGGGACCACGCTTCAGAGCCCAAGTTTCAGTATTCTTATCGTTTATGTTTTTATGTGCAACTTTGGTATTTTAAGACGAGAACCATGTGGGAACTGAATTCAACAAAACTGAAAATCGAATAATTTCTTTAAGTGTCATTCTCGATTTTAGATTTTTATTTACCTTGCAATTTTCCTCCTAAAAAATATTTAGCTGTTAATTCTAGCTTTGAGTGATAATAGTACAGCTACAATTAATTGCTTTCTCTTTTAGTGGGAAGGTTGGGGGCTGGTTTATGAATCCATCAGTTTAACCCTTCAACTCCCAAGATCTCATAAGTAATTCTCCTTGCTGTCTGCCAAATTATTCTCATTATGTTAGTCTAGAGAATTTGGTATTGGATCAATTAGTAATCCAATAATTGACATTTTTCTTTATTTCTAATCTTGTAGGTTACTGGTGCCAATAAAGGCATAGGTTATGCTATTGTTCAAAGACTCTGCAAAGAATTCCCAGGAACAGTAATTTTGACAGGTACACTTTTAGACAGAAATGCTTTGGTAATCTGATGTGAGCTGATTGGTCAGTTTAGCCTTGATGTGGTTGGCTATAAGATTCAAATGGTATTGTTTTGTCATTTCTTCTTTAACAGCACGAGATGAGCAAAGAGGCAAGGAGGCTGTCAAACAATTAAGTGGTGAAGGACTCACAGTGTCATTTCACCAGTTAGACATTGTTTCATTAGAAAGCATTGAAAAGTTTAGAAAGTTCGTTCAGGAACAGTATGGTGGCATTGATGTTCTTGTTAACAATGCAGCAATAGCCTACAAGGTCTGTTGATGCCTTTTGTTTTCCTATAGTTTTCAATTAGAAGGATGATACAGGGGCTTTTATTTGGTGTCTTAAGTTAATCATTTTAACTTTTGTACATGATGACGATGTTACTTTCAACATTTCACCAGAGTGGAAAAGCCAGACAGGAAAAATTTTGGCCATGTTATCCAACCCAACCTTTCTCAGTCAAACAATATACTCTATGACTGCTACTTTACCTCTTTCTTCATTTTTACTTTTCTCTTTCTTCTCACCTTTCCATAAATTGAGCTATGAGACTTTTAGCAGCTCTGCTGGTTTCATCTTGCACAGCCCTCAAATTGTGATTTTTACTGTTTTTCAATAAAGCAAGCCCCAGGCCATATGCTCATGTGTTTATTACGATAATTGCTATTTTTGTTTTCGCAGATGGCATCTACAGCTCCATTTACAGAACAGGTTGAAGTGACTCTGCGCACAAACTTTCAGGGCACTCTTGACGTCTGCCGTGCACTTTTCCCTCTTTTGAGACCACATGCAAGGTAACATCTCTTTTGCTTTATGTAAGCTCTTTCACTCTCAGGTTCAACCAAGAAGTACACTTTCATGTAGACAGGTGATGAGATTAAAGACAAATATAGACTAGAGGTGATTACGTTAATTATATTAACAGAATTCTCATAACTGATATCAGAAATAATGAGTGCCAGACAGTAAGGAGAATTGATATGGAGAATTTAGGAGTGAAAGAGTTAATTGCTAGAAGCATATTCATGAAGTAATAATGTTGTGAATCTAACCAAATTTTATTACAACACACTTCTTTCAACCATAGTTTGCCAAATCTTGCAGAAAATTTTGTTGTCAGGACAACAACAAAGTTGGTCTGATATCACAAATCAATTCTGTGTGAGCTGTTTTTTTTTGGGATAACTTATTATTCTTGATATGAATTCTTATTTTCAAGGGTAGTGAATGTGTCCTCCAGGGCTGGACGTTTGGCTCAGGTATCAAAAGAAATTCAAGAGAAGTTTACTTCTCCAACTTTGACTGAAGAAGGCCTTATTTCCTTGCTGGATCAGTTTATGCAGTAAGTTTGCTTGATGTGTAACTTTCCTACTGACTCTACCTTAGAAGCTCAGTATCTAACTTTGAGGATTATTTTAATCATCTTACATTTTTCTTTGCATATAGAATTTCCTTGAGTAAGTGCCCAAGCACCTAGTCATAATTTTAGTACTTATTAGAAGGAGAGCACTTGTTGAAGGGTGGGAAAATTAAAAAAATTTGAAACCTTTTCTGATTCCGTAGTGGTGGAAACCTTAAAAGTTATGATTATAGTAGTAGTAGAGGCAGGTTTTCCTTGCATCCCTGTTATTTTAGAAAGTGAAGGAAGAGGAGGGCACTTATTTGAGAGAGGTGTTTTTATTTGATATTATGGCCAAAGGGAAGGGCACTTATCAGGCTGCAGGCACTTATTCAAGGAAGTATGGTTTATGGAAAATTATCATATTTGTCAACTTTGAATTGAGAGATTAAAATACATTTAACTCATTATTGCTCTTTAGAGATGTAAAGGATGGCGTCCATAAGCAGAAAGGATGGTCCAACTCAGGTGAGATATTATGGAATCATGCTGTATTCTCTTTCGTTCTTCTTGATATATTACATCTAGTTTGAAATCAATAGTGATTAATAATGGTAATTGAACTGAGTGGAGTGCAATTTGGGCTGAAATCATACGCATGATTTCCAAATAGAACAAGCACATAGTGCAAGTTCGATTTGAAATCACAAGTATGATTTCAGACCAAAACTGCATGACACGAGGTTCAATTACCACTTTATTGCATCCATTTTGAAATCACCCAAATACAGGACTTGGTCAGTTCAAATATTTTATTGATGCAGTACTAAGCCGGTCTGAAATTAAATTCATCCATTTTTTGGGGGGAAAAAAGTAAGAGTTTTGGAAAAAAAGTTGCAAATTTGCCACATGATACTCTTTGTCTTTCATTTTCCTGCAATTTGATTGGTTACTTTAAACAAGCCTTGAAATCTGCTGGTTTTTTTGTTGTTAGTGTAGCCTCCTCATTGGCTGGGAAAAATATGCAATTTGAAGCAAAAAATGGTGCGATTCATGAATAAATTGCATCAATTAGAGCCAATCAGATTACAGGGACCACCAGTGATTTCAAAATGGGTGTAACAAATGCAATTATACTGGTTGTCAGCAGTGCAAGTTACTCACATTTATAAAACTCCAGATGAGGGTAATTAGCCTTTAGAAACCCTTCATGCACTCCACTCACTTTCCTTATCATTATGTATTGGTATGCTTGAGAATCTTCTATATGATGATAGAGTGCTTTTGATCCACAGCTTATGGTACATCAAAAATAGGTTTGACAGCTCTTAGCAAGATACAGGCGAGGGCATTGACAACAGATCCGAGGGAGGACATTTTATTAAATGCTGTGAGCAGATTTCACTGATTATTTTCTCTGCTTTTGATTCAGTGTGACCATTGATTAAGATTGATTAATCTTTCTATTAATTTATTTTTGGGTTGGAGTAGTGTTGTCCTGGATGGGTGCGGACTGATATGGCTGGACCAAAGGCTCCCAAAAGTCCTGATGAGGGTAAGTATTCAAAAAACATCTCATGGCAATTAAATTTCTCTTTTATTAAGGTAAAAAAAGCTGTCCAGTATATTGCCTTGCTTTTGGCCATTTTTAATTTCAGTTTTAATTTTTAGTTTCTATGTTGATCCCTTTTGTAATATCTTTAGTTAACAATTTTCACAAAATTGTTTAGTCTCATGGGATATTTACTTCCAAGTGAGCCATTTGTTTAGATGCTGTAACTTTTGTATGTATTGAATAGTGTAGCAGCTTAACTGTTACTTTTTATGAACCTTTCTTGACTAAAGCCTGCTTAAACTATCAATAAATAGCAAAATTATTCAGGTGTCTTTGCTAACATTTTTCTCTATGGAAAATCAAAAAGGAAGTAATCAACAGAATTTTTTTTGGCCACAAACTGGGTAACATACCATTACTGTTTCTCTGATTCTTCAATTTATAACATGCAATTAATTTTTTGGATAAAGTAAATTGGACTTGTCTTCTTTTTCAGGTGCAGAAACACCTGTCTACCTTGCCCTCTTGCCACCAAATGTTGGCAAACCTCATGGGGAGTTTGTTGCTGAGAAGGCTGTGCATGAGTGGTAACCCAGTGCACATCAATAGTAACCTAGTAACCTGCCTGCGCACACTTCAGAAGAGAAGTGCCAACCTGTCATCCTGTGGCTAAATAAGAAAAAGGCCACTATTTAATGCAAAAAATATGTTGCAATATATATCCATAGACATTATTTCATTGCACAAAATTGGGTTATTGTTTTTAAATCACTCTTGTCTCTTTCATACCTTTATCTGTGGCAGAAAGTAAATGTGGAACAAGCAATTATTTTAGAGGTGTCTTTGCATGGAAACTTTGTAGTTTGTCAGAAGAATTGGTAAATAATTTTCTTTTTAGTGGTTTCAAATTGTTTCAGTGTCAAAGAAAAGGTAGATAGTCCATTGTAGTGCAGGGTTCTTAACTAGTCTTTATCAATTAAACAGATGTACCAGTAGTTGTAACAGGCTGTTAGTTTTTAAAAGAATTGCCAATAATGTTGTGATGTGATTAGGGAATGATATTGTCAAAGAGAATAAAACTAGCAATAAATAGTAGATGATGATAAGAGATGATAAATTATTTGATTGCATATTTTGTCTTGTTTGTAGATGTACTACTTCTTTTCTTTGTTAGCCAACACATGCAACACATTCCTTTGTCAATTGCTTAAGGCTAGAAAATCATTGATAAAGAACATATTCAGTTGATTTAGTTTTCATACCAATCCTCCTAGATGTTCAAATGCATGGCTGCATTACAATCCTTTAATATGTGATTTGCACTTGTGCAAGTTCTCCCAGAACATCTGGTTGCCTGTAGAAGGTCAAAAGTCTGAAAGAAAATAATCACTTTATGTTTTAACTCTTAGATAATCATAATCTTTCTTAATAAAAAGGGTTGCACTTTTATCAGGTTTCTCTTTTTCTTAAGTTCGTTAATCATTTACTGATTTTAAGGAAGTTAATATAGTTCCTTTTATCTCTCCCACCTTCCCCCTCTCTACACTCATTTCTGTCCCATTTCAGACGCTATTATCCCATTTTGGACGCCTCCAATCTATTTCAGGCACGTGCGTCCGATCTTCGATACACTCAAGAGACAAATTTTAAACAATTACGCTAAATTTCGTTTTCTTTCGTCCGCTTTTGGACGTTATTATTGTCCCATTTCGATCAGTTCCGTCCAGTTTCGGGCTCTTCCTTCCATTTTCGGACATCATTGTTTGATTTCAAACGCAACTGTCCGATGTCGTTCGCGTCCGTCTGATCTCCGACGCTTCCGCCATTTTCGGATGGTTTCGTCTGATTTCGGACGCTTCCGTCCGATTTTATACGGTACCGTCTGATTCCGGACGCCATCGTCTTATTTCGAACGCATCCGCCCGATGTCTCACTTTTGTTACATACTAAAAGAATGGATAGCGTTAAAAGGCGCGCTACACTCCAAATATCCTTCACCTCCGAACAACGCGTGCAAGATTTGCCGAAAATATTGTAATCGTTACGGGAATATATGAGTTAAAATCACTATTTTAGTATGTACTAAACATTCACCATCCTTCCAGTAGGTAGTGGTGAAAATTTGCCTCGCCATACCGACACTGCATAAAGGAAACGCCCACAGCTTAGTAGCCTGGTATTTTGTTAAATGCCTGGCTACTGTATAATTAGTTTGCCATGGCTGCCGGACTCTCGCGTCCCCGGTGTCAAATTTGGTGACAGAGAAATTGACCGTTCTCTCGTTTTGTTTCTTCTGGTCGAAACATCCTTAGGTTGGAAATATAATTCGACGAAGAAGAAAATAATTTTCTTCAAAATCTAAAGTTGGCCATGGTGAGTTTGTCTCCAGATGTTTGTTGTCTGTACGCTTGAGGCGGCTAAACTCGCTACCACTTTCCTCAAATTTGTCTTCCTCTTTTCAAATCGCAAATGCTTAATTTTATCCTGTGGCTGTTTCTTGGTAGCTTTGTTTACTGGGTTTTAAACCGAATTTAGTCCTCCTATAGTTTCCGATTTATAGCTGTCATTATTATGACAATTTATTTTGAATTAATAAATTCTCTGATTACTTTCATTTACAGCACCTATCTGATGATCTCTTCAGGGCTTCATGTAATATATCGCACATGAGCTTAAGCTCACTGATTAATTTTGATGTCATTTGAATTATTTGGACAATGACGCGAAAATGACGCGCGAAATTATTAATTTTTGTTATCTAAATACTTGATTGATAACAAAGTCGTAAACATTCTCATGAATATGCGAAAATTATTAAGGATTTTTTTTTACTTCAATCTCATTGATCACTGTTCTGTTATAGGACATTGGATTAAATGAGCATCATCAACAAATTGTGGTAAACTACCTTAGATTTGCACGTTATGGCCGAGGACAGAGACTCAGGGGAATAGATGCATCTTTTGAGGAACTAAAAGACAGCAGGTATGATGTAGACAGTATTGTGTCACTCCTAGTCTCATTACAACTAACTGCACCTGGAATGTATCTTATTATCCAACTGCACAAAGGAGAGTACAAATAATGCGCCAGTAGAGTACAAATCCTGCAATATTGTACAGTTATTTGGACCATTGGTTATTCTGTACAATTAAAAGAACTTGTTTAACCAGTCAGCTGTGCATGCTACGCTTCTCTATCCACTTTGCTTTTCCCACCTCATGAGAAACAAGCAGAAAGACTTAACAGAAAAAAAGCAGTCGGATATTAAAAACTTATTAGATGTCTTGGTGTGTAGTATCGCTGAATATTTTTACTTGCAGTTTGTGTTTTGACTATATTTAGCTATAATACACACCAAAATGTCTAATAAGATATATGTACTATCAGTGGAATGGTCAGGGTTTGAGGAAGTAGCAAAGGTTTATACACAGACCTCATACTGTAAAGTTCCTGGGCTGGAGTACAAGACCATACCTGAAAATAGCTCATTAGTTTATCTCCTGCCACTTTAAAGTTGAAAGTTTTATGGTATATATTTCCATTATTTAGAACCTCATTTCAAATTTGTTTTTCTATCTCCTAATTTTACCAGGATGAGTTAGTGTACATGGGATTTGAGAAAGAGGGAGGGTTGATAGGGGGAATGGAAAGCAGGCAAATAAGTCCTATGAGGGAAGAATTATTACCACAGTGAGCACTAGTAACTTATTATTTTGATATTGTTTATCTTTCAGGCCATTTATTTTTAACTGACTTACTTTTAACCTGAAATTCATCCTTTAGCCAATGATTAATCCAGACCGAAAAAAGGGATTGATACCATAGAATGATTGCTTACACAGACTTGTAGAAGACACATACACTCTTGATGAAGTGACAGACATGTTAGATGGCCTTTGTGCAGTGGTTAGAGGAGAAGTTGAATCTGAACTCATTAACGCTGCACACACCAATGTTCTTCTCCTGAGGCAAGTGTTTAGTCAAGCTGAGAAATGGCATTTGAAGCTACAGGCTGACATATCAGAACTGGAAAATAGGTAAGGAGTATGTTCATTTAATGGCTCTTCAATCTTCAGATTTAAATCATCATTTGTTTTTCACCTATTTGCAGAGAGCTTATAAATGAAATTGCAAAGTTTGAAGAAAGGGAATTCTCTCCCGGTGCACAAGGCTCACAGGTATAGTTTTCATGTCATTATTACAAAATGTACAAGTTTAACAACTACAAATGTCTGTTGAACAAAAATTAAAAAGGTAAAAAAAAGGTAAAAAGTTACCTTCTGGAAATGAATTTTTCCAGGATGATGCATATCCTGGAAATAATGCATGCTGTGTGCTTTGGAAGTATCCAATCTTTTGGCCATATTATCATTATTGTAAGGGATGGATATACTGATGGCTGTTACTATCTTGAGAATAATGTACTTTTGCTATGTGGACATTTATCCATTGGATAGCAATTTTACTAATCTTTGGTTTAGTGTTTACCACCCTGCAGTTAAGTTAGGTGTTAACACAGCAAATGGTTTGAACCCAGTGGTAGTAGAGGTTAGGTGTTAATGTTAAACATCTTACAAATTTTTAATTCAAGCCTTTTTTTTTTTTGGTTTTATTTCTAATAAAATTTTATTTTAGTTGTGTTTATAACTACAATGATCTTTCTTCTTTGAAATATTCCCCCCTTTATCATAACTTAAACCTAAGATTGACAATCCTTGCACAAATAGCATGTATTTGCCACTCCAGAGTCTGATACATGTATATATCCACTTGTCTCAGTTTTTTTCCCTCCTGTTAGACTAAGCTGTCCAAACTGTCCCAAACCTCAAAGCTTGAACCTTTAAATGAGGGTGGAGGTGCAGCATTACTTCAAATAGTAAGTTGATAAATTTACTGAATTGTTGCCGTAAGGGGTAAATCTCAGATGGACCTCTTTGCTTCCTCCTCTAGCCCTGACCCCTCCCTTCTTCACTTTGTCTCAGCATTGTTTCAATATCTTTTGGGATTCATGGTTGTCCCTGAAGAGAAATTGAGGAGGGAGGGGATGATAACATTTCAAATGATTGGGAATGTACTAAAGGTGATGAAAATTACATCACTCAGTGCTCGCTTGTATCATCTGTTTTGATTATTCTGCTTGCATTTTTTACAATTGATTATAACTGATATTGAACAATTATTGTCCATTAGTAGCAGCTTTACAAAATTCAACTAATACGTGACATGTCTAATCTACTTGTATTCATGACAATTCAGAACTTACAAATGTCTAGATTTTCATCTACTTCAGTTTTAGTATGGAATCATGAATATCATGACTCCATAGAATGACCCCTGGTCAATATTTGATGAGGTGTTGTGCAACATTATATTATTGGTTAATTTCTGAAAAAGAGAGCAGGCTTTGTCTAATTTCAAACTGATTATGAATAATTAATGAAACAAGCTTTTTATTGTCAATTGTTCATCATTTATTTATTGAGTTGTCTTTCAAATACTTCTAAACTGCATCTTTATTGGTGGGTTCATTATGTTCTATGAAATAATGCCCCTTACCTAAATCAAACATTTAAAGTAGAGTTTACTGTTCACAGCTCATTTTACAGAGTACAGATTTGTATGGTTTAAACCTTCTTAAATATGCACAACTAATATTTTTTATTATTATTTTTTTTTTAAGGAAGGTAGAGTTTATTTTCAGATATTTTTTCACCTCAAACATAAACCACAATACACTTGAACCTTTTAATTATTCATTACAAATGACTGTGATGTATCAGATGTTCTAAATGTTACAAGCATTACACAACTCCATGGAAACAGTTTGTGTATTTACAAGATATATGTACAATGATGATAACCTGCTAAAAGAGTATATAAAGTGATCTGTTGTGGATGATTGTGAAGATTGATTACAAAAGTCCGTGCTGTAGAAATGATTCTTTTACAACTGTCAGAAAAAGAACTCCTAACAGAATTGATTAGGGATCAGCAAAAGGTAACTACAACTTGGAGTGTTTCACTTCAGATGGATGGATCTAAACACATCACTTTGAAATAGATAGAATTTTAGTTTTAACATAAGGTGATATTATTTTATGGCTCTCAATCATGTGTTGGCATTTCAGAAACCTTGCTGCAGCTGATGACTTGAAGCCTTTGCTTTGATGTTATTCACCCTCATATAAGTTGAGCTTACTGAGGGGATATAATTTTTATATGATTTATCAGAGTCTAACAAATTTATCTCTGTTATTTTAGGTTGATTACCATTGTTATCTGATATTGCTAACACTTTCTATGGGGGCCTTAATTTACCAGTCTATCCTGATCTCTCATAAGAAATATCATCTTACATGTTGTATACAAATTCTTTTGCAAGATTCTTCAGTTAAGTTATATTTTATAAGCAAAACTTATTATGATGGGCATTCCATTCAGCTGACAAGGTGTTTTGTTTCCTAGGAAATAAACCGCTTGAATGAGGAAAATTCAAAACTCAGAGATCGCATCAAAGTTTTGGAAGGAAAGGTGTGACTATTAAATCTGAAATAATCTTCCATCATTACAATGGTTTTTCATTTGGTATTACTTAAAACGCTTTTTAAACAAGATTGATCCCATTTTTGTCTGGTCTTCATAATTTGACAACTTGTAGTCAAAAGCAAAGCAGACCTTTATGAAAAACTGATCCATGTTTTTCGTTTGCCTTTTTGTTTAGGCAACAAGTGCTATTGGTGAAAAAAGTAAACTTCAAGCTGATCTGGAAAGTACCCAAGCAGCTTTGAAAGCAAAAGGCAATGTTAAGGTTTGTCCAGTACCTGACATATCTTTAAGATTCGGTCAAATTGTTGAATCATACTCATTTATTTTTTATCCCTTTAACTCCCAAGATCTGATTGGTAATTCTCCCCTCTAGCTGCTACACATTAAAACTAGTTACAATAATGTGGTGTTAGATGAAGGTAACAACCTATACCTGATGAGTCTGAGTAATCTCATTACCTTTTTGTTGGATAATGTATTAATATTATAGAGAGAAGTTACATGTTAATACAGGTTAAAGGAGGAACCTTTAATTACAAGTAGCAACTGAAAGCTTCTTTAATTTTCTGATTCTTCTTCTTTCACAGGGACATGGCAAAGAACTTGCTGACCTGGAGGAACAGATGGCTGCTACTAAATTAGATCTGAAAATGGTAATGACAAACATGATGATGGGTTTTTATAGAAGTCCATATCAAACAATTTTGTTTTACGTAATTTTCCCTTTTATTACAGACAAAAGAAAAGGGCTCTACTCATGCTGCGTCATTGCATGATGAGTTAACAAACACCAAGGTGAGATATTCAAATTTGTTACTTAAACACTTATGTGATCATAAAAAAAAAAGTTACTTAAGAGTCAATCTTTTTAATCCTTTTGTTCAGTGCATTATCTTCTAGGTAGAAGTGTGTGCATACCCTGTCTTACTCCTTACCAATTTCCACATATTGGTGTTAAAATATGACTGAAACTAATTTAAAAAAGTAATTGCTTGTGATTCTAGAGTTAGCAATTTTGTATGGTAATTAGATTTTAAAATGATATGCCTAAATGTTTCTGTTTTAATTTTTAATTTCTCCTCTTGTGTAGCATGAGATTCTAAGGCTTCAACATGATTTAGAAGAAGCACAAAAGGTAAATAATCTCTTGTACAGTACACAGGGAATCTGGTTTATGTCACTGCTATGTTTTTTAGTCTTTCTCTTTGCTGGAAGAATGTTGCCTTAAAACTTTTCTTGTTTTTTCAGGATCTTGCCAAGAAATTTAATGAAACAACTCAATACAAGAACATGAAGCAGATGTTGACCTCAAAGAATGACCAGATTAAAGATTTACGTAGTCGCTTACGCAAGTGAGTTTATGTGACTCCTCTTGCTTTGCTGCAACATGTTGTTACAAGTAATTACTTAATACCAGTGGCTGCTTTCTAGATAGTCTCAGTAACTTTATACTTCCAAGATAAATCTTTAAGCCTGATTTTAAGAGTTACAGTGAGGGTCTTAGTTCTAAAACCAGTTCATTTTAAGGTCATAAGAATAATGGAAATGATCACCTACTCATGAAGCTCTCAATTGGTAAACAAATTCTCCTTGTCAGCACCTTGGGAAATGTACAGAGAACAGTATGGAGAATCTGCAAACTGATGTTAGGGTATAAAGGGACAAGTTATAAAATTCCAGACACTCAGTGTTGCCTCTTTGCTGGTGTGCCCTACATGCATGTATCATCTTTCTTAGAATAATGAAGATTCAATTGACTTAACTAAGTACTTAGGCCATGCTTTGTCATTTTCCAGATATGAACCTGACACCTGAAGAAATGCTTTGTGAATTGTGGCATCCAAAGAGAAGTCAATGAACTTATTCCATGTAATTTTGAGCTAGCTTTGCTACAAACACTTACTACTGACTTAGGCTCAAACTGTTGTGTAGTGTTCTGGCTGAGAAAAGTTCACTGAATAATTACTGAAGTTCTTTAACGCTGTAGAAAGAAGTATTTCAAGTGATCTTGTATTGATTTTTTTAAAAGTTAATGTAAGTTATATTACTAGCCAAAACATTATATACATGAAGAGATGTTTAAAGGAAAAAAAAAAAAATGAAAATGGCAATTGAATGAAGCAAGTCAAGGAAGTGCAAAGCAATTAACAATTAAATGTTTGTCTCTTTATTATTTATTACATGTAGGTGTTTTGTCCTGTTATGCGTCGAATAATAAACCAGGCATAGTCTTGTGCACATGGATTTTATTGCGAAAAGGTTGTGTTTTAAATATAAACAGCAGCTCTGCATACTCAAATGACACCACCTAAAGAAATGTGACAAGTTCAATTTTTAACTTGCAAACTGCCTTGTAAATTTTACAGGTCTGGCAATTTATATTGATCACAAAGCTGTCACATAAAGCAGTACACAAGCATCCCCTCTCTGATTTCCCATTTATTTACAAACTTCAATCCTACTCTAAATGCCTTTTCAGTGTTTTGGTCTTTGATACAACCATACACTGTCAATTCCTTCCTCAATCATATCTGTTGGTTTCCAGTTTGGTAATGGAAAGCGACAAGCTAATATTTGAGCATCATCCTTCATTTCTTCCTGGAATTTATCTTGGAGCTTTGGCATCTACATATTTCCAAGTAGAAAGAAACAATTATTACACAAGTTCAAAAAATAAATATTGATAACGGCATTAATTAAGAGCCACCATTAGCCCTTGTGAGTAATCAAGGATAGTTTAATATATTACTATGTGGTTCAACTTTCCCTTTCAATCAGAGTATTTCAAACACAACATAGTTTTTCCCTGTGTCTCAGGTTATGGCCATTAGAGATCTGATACAAACCTTTTAGGGCTAATATAATGTAAAATGAAAATAAGACTGTTTTAAAAATTGTTTAACCAGCATAACATTACCATCTCTGAGACTCCAAATATTAGAATAGTGTCAAATGTTGACAGGTTAACCTGTGAATAAATGGAAGAAAACCCAGTCAGGGTCCAGATGATAAAGAAAAATCTGGTATCCTGTGCTACAAGCTGTGAACTTTTGGTTACCATGGTGAGAAGCAAAAGTTGTCAGCAAAAAGACCTCCAACTAGAGTTACAATATAAACGACAGAAACATATAAATTAAAACACCTTCCACAAGTCAGCTCTTGAAAATGTAGCTTTGTGATGAAGTCCCTGTAACCTGGCCTGTAATCTTGAGTACCAAACCAGCCAGTGGTTTAGTTCATAACCATGAGCTTGGTAACCTTGTCTAGCTGCAGCAATTACCTATCAATTAAATAAAAGGATCCAAAATTTACATAGAATGATTTTCAACTTGTATGTTGTATATTTCTGTTCCACCTTGTTAATTGCCAGAGCAAGCACAATAGGGGACCCAGAGGGACCGTCCAAGAGGTCTGGACTCTTTCCTCAATCTGACCTGTGAGATTTTTTTTTTATTGCTTTTAGTTTGACATCAATACCATAAAAAAACTAGGATTACTTATGAACCCCTTAAAAACCCTTGGAGTGACCAGCATCTAATTTCTCCTGACATAAATGCAGCTGAATCATTCATTAAGATCATAGAAATAAAGGAAATGATCACCAATCTAAGAAGCGAATATTGAAGCGATCTTCACTGTAATGAACTCTATTTAGCAGTTACTTTAGTAAAAATAAGGCCTTAAAAAAAAAATTCAGTATGGGATTTGACCTTGAAACCTCTGCAATACCTGTGCAGTGTGTTACCAGCTAGTCATTGTGTTGGTTCGTACTCTAAGAAGCATTGAATGTTAAATGAATTCTCCTTGTTAGATGAGGAGTAAGGAGAAAATGGATACTGATGTTAAGGTGAAAAGGGCGAATACTCATCCGGCTATTTTTTTTCCGGTACACAACTGTTAATGAGGGGAGATGGGGGCAGGTGTGGGTTGGTGCTTAAAGTAATGTTAGCCCCTCCCCATCAAACATTCCTGGGTGACATTGAAAATGATACAAACCACTCTCCCGTCCCCACTCCCCAAGTCCACCAATGTTGATCCGTTATGCTTGGAAGCTTGTCCTATTCGTAATATGTTAGCAATTTGTCTCTCTGTGGCCGGTACGTATGGAAGACAAATTTTTCGTAAAGCTGGCGTTACAAATGGCGTGGTCACCAGAACAATTCCAACAGCTGCAGCGCCTGTAATTCCGAGGACTACTTTGCCTAGTTTAGATTTAGTTTTGGGATTTCTTGCGTCCTCTTGTAACTCGAATCCCAGCTGATTCTCAGGGCTCATGTCTGTGGCCAGCTTTTTTTCACAGGACTTGTGAGACTGTTCCACAATACATGGGCAAATCAGCACCGACATGAAAACAGCTCTCTACTGCATGAGTTTTCCTCATTAAAGAGCTATGTCCGCACAAATCGTTTCATTTCGCGCTATCAGGAGGAGTATTCCGTGAGTTTGGCACCAGGAAAACAAAAACAAGTGAGCTTTGTGCAAAATTCACGTGAGACCGGCCATCTTGGAGAAAAAACTCTAAACTGTGTGGGGAGGAATGGAATTTTTCGATATCTTCTAAATTTTTTTTTCTCTCTTATCAGTCATGACACATCCCAGCTTTATTAGACGAAATAAATATTCCACTATTGATATAATAATGTCTTTCATAAAAATAAAACACTAGTCAGTAACTCTTATAGGCAAAACATTTGTGATAACACTCGCCTTCTTAGACTTACCCCTACCCCCTTAATTCGTTGTTTTGACTATGTAGATTGCGGGCTCATAAACAGAAAGTCAAGATGGCGGCCTGAAAGGCATTATTTCAGCTGATTCCACGAAACTCCGTAAAGTCTTCTTGCGATGGTGCAATCTGCACTTGAATCAACTTTGTCTGTAAATGAGACGTACATCTAACCAGCTGATGGTGACAAGCTGGCTGAGATATGTTTGTATCTCTTTTTGAAACCGATGAAGAAGGATCGAAAAACAGTAAACCAGGTACTACTGGCAGAGTTTCCAAACAGAACAAGCTGAACTGGCCTCCTCAGCCAAGAGGGGTAACTGGAATCTGTGGTCTGCGGAACCAAGGAGCCACGTGTTATTTGAATTCTTTACTGCAAACGTTATTTTTCACTCCAGAATTTAGAGGTAAATTTGATATTTTGACGTCAGAACAGCAGACAGCTAGGGATCGAAGGGGAAAAAAGCTTGTCACGAAAGTATTCGATACTTCCTTTTTTGATAAAAGAATTGATAAAGCAGGTGAATAAATTTTCCAATGGTCATTCCACAGGCTGCCCTCAAACGTTAGGATGGAAGAGTTGTAGACTTCCGTCAGTGCAGAAAATATATCTCAAGCTTAAGGGGTCATACTTTTCCACTGAGGTTTATATCCGCACACCCTTCACCAAGGATAGTCTCGAAAGAAGTGGGAACATTTTGGATTTTTCCCAAAAATATTTCAATTTCTTTATTTAAATGGTGATGACTGACAGTTGAGGGATTCCATTACTGTCCTCTGTTGGAGGGGTTGAAGGAAAAGAAATAGAATGTTACTAGAAATGTTTAACTTGTATCGAAAAATGATTTTTTTGGCAGCACTTTTGTATGAAAGGTATTTTATTATCTCCTTCTCAGATGGGCTTTTCAGCCTTACATCAGAAGATTTGAGCTATGATCCAAGAGGTGGGACTTATCCCAAGGTAGAGTGACACATTCAGCATGTCATAACCATATATTGACATAAAACTAGTTAAAGCAAGGCACTCACATTGAAATTTATTTGTAGCATATGCCTTTTCTTGAGTTATTCTCAGTATATATGAACCATACTGTAAACAGTCAATCAGATTGCTATCATAATATAATGTATAAATGAATGAAATGAAAAACATTTATATCTCCTTCTCAGGTCAGAGTGATACCACATCAGCTTCAGAAATTGTTTGCCAAGCTCCTTCTGCTTGATCAAGACAGTGTTAACACTTCTCAATTGACAGATAGTTTTGGTTGGACTGGAAATGAGGTGATACATTATTGGAACTGACTATATTCTGTTCGAGAAAATTACTCCAAGTTCTGGTGCTTCATATACCCAAAGTAATGTTACAGAGTTATTAAGTACTAAAGTTACAGGCATAGGCCTAGCTCAAATTCTTAAACTATTCCAATTATCATTACAATTTCTTTGCTTTTTCAGGGATTTCAACAGCATGATGTTCAAGAATTAAGCAGAATCTTGTTTGGCGCCTTAGAATCATCTCTTCTTGGTACCCCTGGAGAGGCTTTGATTAAGAATCTGTATCATGGAACCTCTGTAACAAAGGTACATAATCTGAGATCTAACAGTCTTGTTTACAACTCCTCTCTATTTCAAGATCATACTTGCACATCATTCCAGACTGAACTGGCTTTTAGGAACAGCTAAATTTAATAATTTAATTTTTTTTCAAAATTTTATCTCTTACACTGCATTCTTGACCTGAGTTGCTCCTTGTTGGCATTTTTCTTTGTTGGATAAGATAATATCCACTTTGTCATTCTTACTGAATTTGAATTACATTGATTGGCAGGTAACTTGTCAGGAATGTTGGCAAGTCAGTGAAAGAGAGGTAATGACATTAAAGTTTATGTAGTTCTATATTATCTGTTAAAAGGAATATGAAAGACACGCTTGCCATGATCTTGAGGAATGTTTTACCAGGACTGAAAAGCTGTACCCCAATTCTGCTAATGTATACAATTTCAACCATATTATTTGTATTTTTAGGAGGATTACCTTGACCTTCCATTGGTTCTCTCTGGGTGCAAGGACTTGCAAGAGAGTCTTTCTATGAGTTATGCTGCTATGGAGATTTTGGAGGGAAGAAATCAGTATAAGTGTGGATTATGTAACAAGCTTGTCAATGCTACAAAGGTTTGTTTTTAGAAACAGACATACCCTGCTGCAACTTTATTATCACTATCTGTATCATCTTCATCATTATCATTATTACCATCATCATCATCAGAGTTCCAGAATATATCTCAACATGCCTGTTGATAATATTGAGTGTTATTAATTTACAGCTGCCATACACTTTCACTATAAATGCTTTTATTCATCCCAAGTACCTACAACTAACAGTGCCACTTTAAGGCATTTATGGTGTCTCCATGAATAATTATTCTGTCAGGGTAATGTTTTTCTCTGTGATGCTAACTTTTTTTTCTCTTTGACCAGGGCAGTAATATAAGAACTCTGCCTCCCATCCTGACATTTTCATTGCTGAGGTTTGATTATGATTTTCGAAAAGGCGAACGAGTTAAGGTAAATTTAAGATAACATTTGTATTCCTTTGAAGGTGCAGACTGATAAACATGCATTGACTTATATTCCAAGTTTCAATTTCAATTTTCTAACTTTTTTCACTTCCCAGAGTCATTCTAAGCTTAAACATTCATATCATTTTTCCCATTCCCTCTCCTTCTCTTGCTCCCCAAATTATCCTCTGTTACCAGATGATGAAAAGTATATTTTAGTTTCAATTATTTTTTTGTGGGATTTACTACACCATTGTTGTCTTTCAGGACTGTAAGAGATACTCCTTTCCAGTCACACTAAACATGAAAGATTTTTGCGAATCTAGTGATGCTGTTGAAGCAGATCAAGAATATCAGTTGTTTTCTGTTGTTATTCATGGGTAGGTCGCTGCAGTTTACTTTTTTATGCGATAAAATTAATCTCAGAAGTGGTCGATATGAAATTTCTCTCCACAATTTCAATACATTATTCAGAAACCAGGCAAGGAGAATAGACAAACCTATTACCTAGATGGTGTTTCCTTGATGAGACACCAAATTCCTTTAACCTATCCACAAGGAAGTTTAAGGAATGTCAATCAGAAGGGAGAAAACCAAAGCAAACCAATCGAGGGAGTGAAAGGGTTTTAATGCCTGTTAAAGCATTTTTTTAGGAGGAAGTTTCCTGTTCCCAAGAATAAAACTAAAAAACCACAACTGTCTTAAGAAGCCAGGATTTCTTTTTGCATGATTACACTTTTTCAACTCCTGCTATGTTGATGTTTGATGTGGTTGAGCTTGCAGTTATGCATGTATATTTGTTAGAGACTGAGTTGGGGGAATAAATTAATTAGCTTGATGTTGACAGACATTTAGTTGTCATTTTATCTTGTGTTTTGTTCCTTCGTTCATTGTAGTTATTGCTTTGCCCTCCCTCCCAACCCAGGGGCTTTCCTCGAACCCTCAGGGGTTCCTCATTTCCTCGTTAAAGATGCCCAAACAGATTCACTGTCTCATTTGTTGGTGGTGTCTTGTGAGTGAGGTGTGTCGGGGGAATAATTAAAATAAGATTCTTAATTATAGTTTTTTGGTCTTAATTAAATGTGAAATAGATGCCATTATGTTATTCAAAATTTAGACACTTCCCTTACTTATTTTCTCCAGAGGAAGTTGTTATGGAGGACACTACCATGTGTACATTCGTGATGTTGAAGGAGTGCGAACCTGGCATCCACCTGTGAGTAGCTGTGAATCATAATAGTATAATTTGAAAAAATTCAGTGAAATAAGTGTAATCACTCTATTGTTTGAGCCAGGGCAAGTCATAGTGTATGATAGTTTGAACAGTAAATTAAAATTATGTTTTTCAAGGAGAAGAAGCAAGTGAAAGTCGTTAAAGAAGATGATGTTGACGAGAAAGATGTCATCAACTGTGGGAACCCTGTGGACCTAATTACCAGTTTACTGAAGAAGCTTGGTGGTGCTGCATCTGTCAATCAGTTATGTCAGGTAAAAACTTACATTCATGTTTGTTTTCAAGTGGACAAGCTGTATTGAGCATTTCTTTAAATAAATTTGCTGTTTTTCTCAAACACATTCTACTTTGTATATTTTATGGATAGTATATGTCAAAGGAAACAGGGATTTCTTGGAATAAGGGATTTAAAAGTCAATATGGACCTCTAACAAAGGTATTGTTGTTACCCTGTGCTGTTGTATTTTAAGGGATAACCTACAAGTTTAGAATTTTATATTTACACAGTGACTACATGTGTTATGATTAGTGAACTATTAGCATGCGCTTATAAATTCATGTAAAACCAGCTCATAAAAAAGAGACAAGATTGACTGAGAAAAGTTAGTTACTGAGCAAAGGGGAAATAAAAATGTTTGATTTCTTTATCTCCAAGCCAAGGAAAAACTGTTCCATTTTATTATGTAACGTCCTTGTAACCTTACAATTAAATTCTCCCTGGGAGCTAACCAGTATCATGAAAACAATTTTCCACCCAGTTTTTCAAGAAAAACTCTGATGTGTTCAGGTTCAGTGATGCATCAGGTTATGTCTCACTACAAAATGGTATCCATGAAAATTCCAACAAAACATCACTAGCAGTGGTCCAAGAACAAGGGGAACCAGGAAAACTTGTAGATGATGTTCAGAAAAGAAACTCCCAACCTGTATTGGAAGGGTAGGTTGACATTAAAAATTGTTTAAAAGCTCATTTAAAAAGGTGCCTGGGTTAATTTTCCATACATATTTTATGCTTGTTGTTAGTGAAAGTTTGCCTGAGCATGGACATTGCTGGTTTGATATAAATGATTCAAGGATATCCTGTATACATGAAAAAGACCTCCAAAGTCAGTTTGCTGGAAAGGAAAGTGCTTACATGCTGTTTTATAGGAGAAAAAACCTTTCTGCATGTGTGGAAGATCCAGGTAAGACAAACAAAGCTATTTGTTGCAGCTGTCTTTTTGTTGTTGTTGTTGTGGATTTGTGATGGAAGATTATTTTATCTTATTTTTCTATTTACAGCTCTCTTAGTCCCTGCTCCAATTAGAGCTGAGGTTGATAAACTAAATGAGGATTTGGTGAGGCAAAGGTGAGTCTCTGAGAATAAGACATATCATGAAACCTATAACATGCTGACATCAAGTTTAAACATACATGAACATACATTCAGTGGACACAGATTTAGTGGATCTCTCTTTAGAAATTAACATTTAATTTAGGGAGTTCTGTACCCAGTTCTGCTTAACGCAGGTTAAAGTCCTGTGCTTGTCAATAAATATGGGTTTTACTAACTTAAGATAATACAGAACTAACAAACTTGTACCCAGTTGAGAACAATAAGGTGAATCTATTCTAGGAGAGACTGCCTAAGATCAGAATTTTTATCTCCTCTTTAGGAAAGACTATGACTGTCATCTAAATGAAATTTCTCTTAGTGTGCATTTTGGAAACAACTATACAATGACAGACAGTGTTCTGCAGATTAAACAGGTAAAACAAGATTAAACTGGTGAAATGAGATTATTCGGGAAAATCTTAAGGTGCAAACAAAGACTTGGTGAAATTGTATGGCTGTTTTGGCCTTGAAATTTGAAAATGTGTTTTGCAGGTTGTTTATGATGAATCATCTGCTTTTTGTACACTTAGGGAGTATCTGTCAAACCACTGATTATATCACTGGACAGAAGAAAGTCTGTAAATGATCTTTTAAAAACTGTTCTTAAGGTAAATGACAATATAACATACCAAAACTGTTTTTTTTTTTAAACTACCTTATTGTTTCACACTTTTCGCGGATAAGTCTAGGTACGAAATTGTGTGCCAAACTTTCCATTATTTTCAATTTTGATTAATTTGTTAAGGGTTAAGTTTTGTTTGTTTGATTATTTGATTTTGAAGCTTGACATGCCTGGAAATGATGCAGAATGTAACACTCTTCACATTACTCGACAATTACCATCAGGCCTCCATCTTTTTGAAGAACTGACGGGTAAGCTCATGTTTCAAGGCAACTTTTTTTGTGGTGAAACAAATCTGATATGATTATGAATGAAGTTTCTGGGCTCCAAAATATTCTTATGTTCAACAGTCTTATGTTTTTTGCAAGAAGAGATAAAATATCTGTAGGGTTTTGTTATTGTGTGGAGACTGCAAATGAAAAGGATTCAAAGGGGTTCTCCAGGAGTGTCACTGTGTGATGTTCATAAAGACACATTACCCATAATTAAAGGGTATACATCTTTCCACCCAGACACTGGGCTCTGATTTAGAGGAGAATGGTCTTTGAACAACTTGTAACTTTGTTTTTCTGGAGGCTTTTACAAGCAGGGCACCCCAGATCTCTGAGACCTTCATTCATCCAGTGATTCTCCTCAAAGAACAACTTTGTGTTGTTTGAATAGCTACAAGCAAACTGCCAAGAAGAGCTGAAAAAATGTCAAGGGGGAGAGGGGTAGCTTGAGATGGACTGGCATCCTGTCTAGGGGGGTGCACAAAAGGTCCTAGATGCTTCATGTGTAAGCTGACTTATCAAATCACCTCACTACAGAGTATCCAGAAAAGTCTCTTATACAAAGTGGAGTGAGTGGAGGTACAGATGTATTCCTATGGAATGGGAAAGAGGTAGAGGTTTCATTGTAAAACATATATCTTTTTCTGTTTTCTAAATCTATTTCCAAAATCTATTTGTCTCAGGAATGACACATACAATGAGTCAGTGCTCTTATTGCCAAGCAGAATTTCTCAAAGTTGTAGTGTTGTTGATTGTGGTAGATCATTTGATGAATGGATGGAATTCTTGTCTAACCTCTCAGGAAATAGCTATGGAGGGCATTTGTTGTGCCTATCAAGGATCATCCCAAATTGCATAGCATTGCAACCTTTTTCACCTTGTAGTGGACATTTTAAAGCCTTGATGTACCATGTTGCATTCATCATTTTGTCATCACAGCCAAAACCTTCTTGATCAGAATGTTGCTCATTTTCTTTTTACTTGAAGATTGATGGATACTCAGTGTATCCTGGAGAAGACTCGGCACCAGTGCTGCTAAACATAACATATTCCACATGTCAACTGCAAGATACAGTGGAAATTCAGAAGCATTTTAGAAAGGATTCTACAGTGGGAGAGATGAAGGTGTGTGACGAATTATAGAATCTGAAGATAAATTGATGGTTTCCATTATTCTCACACTAAGTCTATATTCATGATCGTAGGCGGCGAAGCAGGAAGGGGTGATAGACACAAAACGTTGGGACTCACCCCCACCCCCCTCTCCCCTCCGCCCTTACGCTTCAGTGTAGAAATTATTGCTAACAGTAGTGGTATGCAGGACACGTGTCACACATGAGGTTTTGAAACGCTTCGCCACTTCTGATAATAGTCTGTGATTTTTTTCTCCCAAATGTTGATAAATCTAAGAGACTGTGTTGATTATTTTTTTACCAATTATTTTATCTTTTATGTCAGATTATGATGAGCAATTTTGTCAGAATAAATTTTCAAGATTTGCGTCTAAGCTGGGTGAAGTCAAAAGGTATGTATCTGAAACTGACGTAGCCTGTTTCAGGTGTTTAGAGGGTAAAGTGGAGCGTAAACGGCGCACTAGCAGCGGAGGTTTGGGTTGGGTCAAAACCCGACCCAAACCTCTCTCGTATTTTCACTCCTATAATTTACAAACTGAACCCCCAGACCGGGCTTAAACTGAAGGTTTGACACAATATTCCATTAAGATGACTGCAGTTTCTTTTATGATCCTTTTTGTTCTTCCGTTGAAATCGTAAAACTGTACGTGTCTGTCATATATTTGGCTGGCAAACTTTACACAGATAATTTTTCTTTGTTCTCATGTACCTACTTACAGGTAAAACCAAGCAAATAATGCCTATAGATTCAGATCAGGTAAGTTTTTGAATGCCCCGTTTCCTTAGCTATAGTCGCCAAAGGTAGTTTGAGGACCAAGTCGTGGTTTGGTTTTGTAAGATCATTTCTTAGTGTATTATTTTAAGTGTCCGCTACAGTTCTCTGTTTTTTTGGCTTTAGGATGGTAACACACTGCACGAGATAGGTCTACAAGACGGCGATCAATTGGTGGCTGAAGAAAAGGAAGGATTGAAGTAAGGATTCTTTGTATTTATTCTATATTCTTCTTGAATGTAGGATCCTGCAATTTCTTTTAACAATTATTGCTATTTTTCGTAGATCCAGTGAACAGGGTCCGCCTAAGTTAGCCTCTGAAGAGAAGGAGAAAGCTTCTAGTCTGATGTCCTTTGAGGTGGAGAATAGATGTTTGGTGAGCTGTTCAACGCTCGTTGTTTGAAAACGAGAATTACCATTGGTGTTTTATCGTCTAATTTTCTTATCAGATGCAGGAGTCTAAAGAACAGATCGACAATGACAGAAGTACAGGTTGGCCAGTTTTGTCCGTCAAGATTCATAAAGAGCAGGTAAAGAACTATATTATTAGTTTTCTCTATCGTTGTCATGTAATGCTTTATGAAATACTGTCCAGTCACTTTCCTCCTCCCCCCCTCCCCTCCCCCCAGACCTCTCAAACTGGGGTTCAGCCTGCTAAACAGGTTCGAAGGTTGGACAACGTTATCCAATGGATGAATCTCTATCCGGTGGATGGCGTAGAACGTTTTACAATCACTTATCCACTGGATAGCAATTAATTTGGTGGATAACGTTGTGCGCCCTTTAGACAACTGGGCCCAGGCCACCGCGTCTCCCATTTGGTTTAATTACTTTCTCTTGTTTTATTAATTTTTTTTTTCGAAACAGACTGTTGGTGATCTCAAAGCCAAAGTTCTTGAACTTGCAGACTGCAATGGTATCTCAGGTTGTACATAGTGTGGATATGCACAAGTTTGTTTTCAATTGATTCTCTCGTTCTTCAAACTGGGTGAACAGATAATTCAGAAGTGCTTCGTCACGATGGTCTTTGAAAGCGGTTGAATCAGCCATCTTATTTCTTTTTTCTTAAATTTTGCGCACTGAATTTCTTCGTTGGTCTATCCACTGCCTACTGACCAATTATCGTTTTTTTTGTTGTTTATCTTAGAAACCGCTTGTCGTTTACGGTCCGATAGCGATTGTCAAGGTCTTGGTGCCCCAGGTAAGTTATTGATCATTGTGAGAAGATAGGGGCCCGCGTACCATACACAGAGTATGTGTGTGATTTTAAAATCCGACAAAACTCAGATTATAATGTGGAGTTTCTTTTAGTGAAGATAGTTATATTTTTCGAGACATATCTTGTTTTATGCCATTCTGAACACTAAAAAGTTCATAAGTGTGCCATATAAGGGGGATTTAGGCCACAAATCACCCTTGACTCTGTCTACTTTTAGGAAGCTGGGGAAATCGTGAAGTTCACGCTTTCTACTCTCTACGAGGGCTTCTATGTATGTGCTATAAAATGAACGAGTGAAACAGTTATGGGTGCTGTAACTGTTAAAGAGACGATATATATTGGACGTAAATCAAGAAATCGTTCCATTCATACAGCCATGTATGGCTGAGTTGCTTCAGAATTGACTTCTTATTATGAAGGGAATAAAAGTATTGAGTGAAACAGGTTTAAGACATTTAGGAGTTTTCTCTGTTTATCTATGCCTTTCTTCATCAACTATCAGTGTATGAACATGAAACTTTGGAGGAGTCTTGGCTCAATGAAGGTCAGCGGCTTGTATTGGAGCATAAGCCCCCTCTGCTCCAAGGAGAAATCATGATCCGTTACTATGTATGTTCCCCCATACATACCAGCAGGAAAGAAGAGGAACAAACTGTGCTTAAATCGTGCACCATTCGTGAGGTAATTCTCATCCATGTGTTAGTGTTGAAATATCTAACTTATTAAAAAAAAAAACATGAAGAATCTGCTTGTTTCTAATTTCCTCCAGTGTCTACAACTGTTAATGGAAGACTCCAACCTACAAGGTTTGTGTATTCGTCTTGTTTTTCCCGACTTCGGTATCACGCAAACCACCGGCTAGCTTAGAGCAATTTCAATTGAGAGTTTAAATTAATCCGGGATTACTTTGGCTTTAGTTTACTTTGCTCTGTGATTGATTTAGAAGACTCGCGCTGCCCTCTCAACCAATCAGATGCAAAAGTGAAAACAATCGCGCCTGGTTGTGACTCCCGTTTTCCCGCGCTTCAAGCAGTTCGTTTGTTTTCACTCTGAGTCCTTATTGGCTGGTCGTGATATTCAATTGTGTTTTGATTTGGGGCTGTGATAACTTTGGTTTTGGTTTTCCGACACCCGGTAGAAAGATGCTGAATTGCGTTATTGTTAAAACTCCATGTTCTGGGTTTCAGACAGCATTGAGTTTCTGTTGACCCATTAAGTTCCTTTTTGGAATGTGAGTCTCTTGGTGATTACCTAACCCTTGCTCTAATCAACATTTTGCCAAAATATTTCTTTGTTTCTTTGCTTCTGTTTACTGCTTTGGTAGGGATGAGCTGGCATTTAAGAAAAACTAACTGGATCGGTGAACCAACTGACCTGCTAGACAACGAGGTGAGAAGTCCTCCTTATCGAAGCTCTGTTTACAAAAAACTCACATTGAACTTCACTCAGACTCAATTCATCGTATAAAAGAACCCGTAAATTCGTATAATTTAATTCAATTGTGCATGCGTCCTTTGCATTCGCCCCTTAATCACACATTAAGGACACGAGATTTAAGAGAATGACCTCTAAGTAGTAGTTCTTGATTTTTTAAAAAATTCTCCTTGTCAGCACCTTAGGAAATGTATAGAGAAAAGTGTGAAGAGTTTACACACTGATGTTAAGGTGTAAAAGTTTTATAAATGAATTCCGAGCCGATAGTTGAGATGCGTTATTCCAAATTCTAACTTTCTTTACAGGAAGAAACGCTGGAGAATAAAAACATTAAAAATGGCGACACTCTTATCGTTGAAGAGGGAAGGCTTCCTCCAAAGGTTAAGATTAAAATAAACCATATGTACTTCAAACGCATTTTGCTGTCATTTCGTGTAAGAGGCAGTTCTTTTTGTGTCATAAATAACTTTTCCTTACTATCTGTTCCTGACAGGGGTTCATTCGTCTTAATTTATGGCAAACAAACAGTGGGAAGGCGAAAAACCAACATTTTGGAGGGGTTCTAAACTGGATTACATCTGGTGTACAAGGTAAGATGGTGACCGTAAAATTGATTTCTTCCTTGAAAATTAACACACTACTTTTTCACTCTAAGGTCTCCTTGGTTCATCCACGGTGGAGACTTCAGGGAATGATGACAACGCAAAGGTACGAATATTTATTGCAAATTTGTTGTTTATTTGTTTGTGTATGAATTTCTTTAAAGGGGACAATTGTCCCATGTCAATGCACAAATGTTGGACACAGTGTAACTTAAGGCAGACCGGTTAAGACGCAGGCAGGGAGAGAGACCAACTGATTGGTCAGCTGACAGACGGACTCACAGGCCCACTCACCAATAGACAGACAAACCGACCAACCAGTAGACAGACAGTCAGACAAACCCACAGACCAATTAGACAACAGACATACAGACTGAGCGGCCATCAGACACTGGAACAGACAGACTGTCTAACAAAAAGACAGACAGACTGACACAATGATCAGCTAACAAACAGATAGCAACTAACCGATCAGCCAACAGACAGACAGACCGGCCAGTCAGCAGACGGAGACAGGAAGACAAACTGGCCAACAAACAGATAAATAGGCAGACTAACGGACAGACCAACTGGCAAACTGAAAGATAAACCGACGGATAAATGAGTGAGTGGGTAGTTGACGAGACAATTCATTCGTTGTCCCATATATAATCTAGAATCCCTCAATTCCTAAGGACGACGGCCAAGAACCGTTGTAACGTAATAAATCATAGTTTGATTTTTATCAGGGCAGCGATTCATTGGAACCTTTGGGTGATGTGGAGATATCCAAGGAATCTTCACTGTATGATCTAAAGCTGCAAATAAGTCACATGCCGCAGGTTGGTACTAAAGTCTTTCTCAGCTATGCAACAGTTTCAGTCTTACCAATAGCGTCTAACCTTTCTTTTTAAAAAAACTGCTCTTTGATTGCCAAACCTCTTGAAAGTCGAATGTTTACCATTAATAGGCCATAATACGTACACGAATAACAGCCAAGTTAGTCTCCGCTGACCAATTTGCCTTGAATTTGCGAATAAAATTAAAAGTCAAAGTAAAGTAAAAGTCAGTATCGGAGCAACTGCTCAACTACCCCTCCCCTAATCCAACACTAACCTTAACTTGTTATCAGTTGACTATTGTCGGGTTAGGGGAGGGGTAAGTGCGCAGTTGCTGAGTTGCTGACGTTGGTCCAAAGTATCAGACACAGTTAAGTCAGAACATGATGATTCCAGGGAACTAATAATCAAAAAAAGCTTTTCTGAATCTGCGAAAATGGCAATTAAGGCGTCTCCTCATAACTGTGAAATAAGTAACAAAAACACTTTTGGAGTTGTTCATCGTCTTCCTTTGCAGCTATCAGATAACGTGATCCCGACACCTTTATTTGTCAGACTTCAGGAAGTCGTGGACAATCACGCAACACGAGTTCTTAGAGGAACAAATCGAACATTGAGGTTAGGCAATCTCTTTGTTTATTATAAGGGCAGGTTTCAATCGTGTTTCGAAAATAATTCACAACGAGATTTGATTTGTGTAGAAAACTCGTGCGATTCTTTGACCCAATAAGATTTACTTTGATTCCTCATCGGCTCCTCGTGATAATAGTTAAATAGTCGCGATTCTTCAGAGCAAACTGGTATATTGCTATTTCAGGCAGCTAAAACTGACCTCATCTACTCAGCTTTCTGTGTGTGTTCTTCAACACGAGGAAGATTTAAGGTTAGTAAGAAATATACCGCTTCATGTCCTTTCCAGATTCAAAGGTGCGATTTGCAAAACAATCTCGTAACGTACCACCGATGTTTCCATTTTTGTCTAACAGTTAATGTTAATGGTTGCTGGTCTAAGCGATATTCATTCTGTGAAATTTTTATGTAAGTTCTTCTGCAGTGCTGTTGAGACTAAAGAAAAGGATGCCACGAGAGAGGTGTTACTATGATGAACAAGAGGTAATTTAGCTGCCATGGTGCATTGATACTTCTAACTAAGCTGTCGTAACCCTTTTTTTCCTTAATTTTTTTATTTTCTTTCGTACGGTTGGGTTTGAAAACTCGCACCACCAGAATTATCAAATATATTTTCCCGCGCTCGTTGTGTTTTGCATGCACGATGTTCTTTCCTCCAGTTCTCACTTGTTGATGGTGGACTTAACGCCTGTAGTGATTGGTCATAGTAAATAGACGTTGCCATTGGTTCAAAAATCTCGCACCTGAGTTTCGGAGCCAATCTTCATTGAATTGCAGTTTGATGTCAGAGGCGACAGAAGCATTGGCTCTGGTTTTGATATTTGATGTTGTATAAATACTATTTTCTGTCTTGTAAGGTAATATTTGAGCCGCCAGGAGGTGCTACGCCCGAGGCCTTACATTACTTTGTGGGCAAAGTTTGTGATATTCCTCTTGAAAAACTTAATGTGGCCAAATATCTCAGAGCCAAATATGAATGGTTGGTCATCAAAGACACCGATGGAACTCAGGTAAATTCACTATTCAAGTTTACGTTTCCTGTATTACAGATATTACAGCGTCCTCTCTGTCACAACTGCACCAAGAGACATATAGCTATCACAGTGTCAAATACAAAGAATATGAAAAAACCAAGTCAGCGCCACTCCTGCACAAAAGTGTTCTACCATGCAATCGTTGTTTTCTCAGGAAATCCGTGTCAAGTGTTAAATTTACAATACTTATTTCATTCTTTTTCAACAGAACAAGAAAAAGGGTCGGAAAAAGAAAATCAATTTGCGACAGTCTCCTGTTTATCTTCAAGATGGAGATGTTATTGGTGTCAAGGTAATGTTATTGTTTTAGTCACACTGAAAAGTTCAAGCTCGTTCTGAGGGTCCGCTGTCGTACTCCCTTGGTCTTTGTAAGTTTTGCCAGCGTTATAGCGACTTGTAGTGTCTTGTAGGGTTAGTATTATGATGAAAAATCTATACCACAAGTTCCTCCTCAAAAAGCACGATTACTTCTTAATCCATGAACGTTTACGAAAAACGCCAATATTCGACTGTTACCAGTTAGGTATTATATACTTTACTTAACTTTCTTATTCGACTGTTTTTGTTTTTCGAAATCTCAAAGAATTGCCAATCCGATTCGGAAGACAATGATGATTTCAGTACACCAGCAGATGATGAAGGAAAAGAAAAACTTAAAAGGAAAGAGGAGGAGAAAAAGATGAGGTAGACAGAATTTTATTTCTTGCCGTTTAATGCAATTTTCAATTGTGTCGAAAATAATCCGAGATTGCATTGGTTATGCTTTACTTCGCTCTGTGATTGGTCCAAAACATCCGAGCCATTCTCCCAACCAATCAAATGCAAAACTGACCAATCACGAGTCGGTCGCCCGCGTTTTCCCGCCTTTTCCCGACTCTAAGAGGTATTTTCCTTTCTTCCGATTAGCTGATGAGATTACTTTGGTTTTGATTTAACGACACAGTCAAAAAGCGCTCTACTCTGATATTTCGCCATTCTGACATATTCAGTTTTTTTGGTGTCTTTTAGGAGAAAAGAAAAACGGGCAAGACGACCTGAAGTTCCGCTCTGCATTCATGTGGATGACTTTAGATAGCATATTGACCGTTCCTGACAAACCGATAAATTTCGACCGGTTCATTTTTCACTGAGCTTCGAAGTAATCCGAAGTTGCTTTTATTTGTTTTACTTCGCTTCATAGTTGGTCCAGAAAACTTGCACGACTTTCTCAACTAATCAGACTCAAGACTGAAACCAATCGTGACTTAGAGACCTCCGTTTTCCGCACTATGAGCAGTTTGTTTTTATATTGAATTCTTATTGGCTTGTTGTGATATATTCCTTCTCTCTGATCGGCTGTTTTGATTATTTTTGGTTTGTTTTACGACAGTCAATCCAAATGTGCTCTATGAGGGTGGGGGTGGGGAGTGTGAGTTAACATCAGTTTGGCCAGACGTCGAAAATCACACTTTGAACTTTGACAAATGGAACAACGCTTTCAGGATTCAACTGGACGTCCTAAAATTTTGCCAAAAATTTAGGCTCTAAAACAAAGGAAAAATTTTTGTAATACATAATTTAATTGCTAGCAAATTTGTGGCAAAATTACCTCTGTTTAAAACACAAGGGTAAAAAGAAATCATTCTATTGAAATTAAATTAATAGCACATCAATTTTGGAGCTGAATATGCGTAACAGTACTTAGGCTTTACTGTGATCAAAATTTATTGTGTACTACAGTACTGATTGTCAGAATTTAAATTGCCAAATTAGTTTATTAGAATTATTTTTGAAGGTGACATTCTATGATTCCATCATGCTCAAGAGTAGAAATCTCCTTGTTACTGTATTCAAGAAGATTTGTTAAAATTTCATGTGTATGTTGTCCTAACAAAGGAGGTGCCCTAGGGAGCCCCTGACAGGTTTGTCCGTTGTACTCCACAGCGGGTCCTGAAAGCAAAATAAAATAAAAAAACACACACTCATAAAAAATTATAAGAAAATTATAATAATTATTCGTCAAGAATATCAGCCAAATCTATTGAGCCGTTGTCACTCCATGACACTCTAAAGAGCTTGTTACTTGAGTGGTTAGGCAATAGTTTTTGGAGCACTGTGTAGTCACCCAAATAACCTCTGACTATAAAAATAAAATACTGAAAAAGCTTAGTAACCTGGTATCCGAATCTTTCCTGCCGTGGGATGTTCTAACTCTTGCACCATTTTTTTGTATTTCACCTGAAAAAAATATACGTTTGACATGGTCACTTCCTCCAACTGAGTATTACACGCTTTTTACAGTTATTAAGAACCTTGCATACCATTTCTTTACTGTACCTGTGGATCTTCAAACACTGCTTTTATATTATTAATTGGTCCGCAAGGAATGCCAGATCCTTCAAACGCCTTGGCCCATTCCTTTGTTCCTCGTTGCTGAAAACTTAACACAAACAAGTAACGTTGAATAATATCCTAAATTCCAATTGAGTGAAGGAGATAATACAGTTACTTCCTGTCATTGAATGACAACAGGATTGGTCTAGAAAATGCAAGACCTTTTCAACCAATCAGATGTAAAACCAATCGTGAATTGTTCACTTGCGTTTTCATGCATTAAATTAAGGGCAGTTAACTTGTATTGAGACTCAGAGTTTCCATTTCTTTATGGTGTTATTTAATGATACTTAATGGAAGAGCACTTGCCAGTTGTATGACAACAACAGAACAATGTCAGTATCTGAGCAACTGCACACCCACCCTCCTCTAACCCATTATCAACCCTAACTTGATATCAGTCGACTGTTATTTGGTTAGGGGAGGGGTAGGTGCCAACAGATACCGACATTGATCAACGACAACTATTTAGTTAACAGAGGTCAGTAAGATCTTGGGCTCCAAACACAAGAATTTCCTCTTCCACACCCTCCCCCTTAGGTCTGGCTATCACAACAAACTTACCATTCTTTTAGCAAGGGAAGCAACTTGTGACGATTTTCGACTCGGGCTGCATTTGTAGCATATAATGGGTCATCAGCCAAGTTGTCTAAACCTAATAACTAAATCACCAAAAATGGAATCAGGAATTTTTTGAAATACCAATACAGATTAACACAGATTTTTCTGTTAGGAAGCATCTACATTTTTTAAAAAAGAATTTGCCACGAGTGTTTCTTTTTTAAGAGATAAATATCATTAGTCGTTAAAAAAGGTGAAAGCAAAACATTTAAATAGACAAACAAAACATTCAGCTTACTTTGCAAAGTTTCCTAAACAATCCATCATTTCCAGCTCCTACAAGGAAGTGTCCATCACAAGTTTTGAAAGCCTCAAGAGAATAAGGGAAGGTCAGTATTAATTAATTGGAGAAAAGCTAATAAAGTCAGGACATGAGAGAAGAGGCCGATACTCCTCACCCAACCCTACAAGTGCCTCTATTCTCACTCTTGATACTGATCAAAGTTATTGCAGCTGCAGTTATAGACTTAAATGTCTCATCTTAAAAGCTAACATAATGCATATATCATGAGCCTTTGCTACCTTCTATAATGGCATGAAAAATAACTCTCTGCAAGTGATGCATATTTATTTTCTTACCTGGTATGGGACAATACTGTGGTGGGCAGTCCCATAGCGTCCAGTCTCAAACCCAGCATTGAGGTAACTTGTCCCAACATGGCTAAGCATGGCTATCTACATCATGGGCAGAAATAAGATAAAGATACTGTCAGTCACATAGATTTACAAAACACAATTTTATCACTTGTCACTGTGTACCTGTGATGCCAGCAAGGAGCAATCTATTTTTTGTCCCAGTCCAGTTGTTTGTTTCTGTAGAAGTGCAGCCATTATGGCTCCATGTGCATACAGTCCTGTAGTTATGTCTGTTACTGCAATGCCAACCTTACAAGGATCACTGTCCTAAAAGGAGAGTAAAAGTAAGGAAATTTTAAGCCATGTTTGCCAATGATGTTTAGTTGCCAATTTTTGCAAATAAAGAAAGAAAATAGTTATAATGCATTTAGTCTGAAGCATGAAGGCTGCAACACACTCAGGAAAAAGTCACAGTAACATGTATCTCCTAAAAAAACACTCCATACAAGACACAGTGACATGTTCCAGCCATGGTCAATTTGTGTGGAAAAGGAAATTTTATTGTTCTGTTCTGATGATTTTCACTGAATCTTCCTTCTTCACATGAGATGACTCTGTGCTAAAATTTGACTTAAAACTGGCACAGTGACTTTTTTCACAGCATGTCTCTGCCTTGAGTTTCACATGACCAGCTTTAGGGTGTTCAAGGTACCTCAGGGCCCGTTATGTGCATCAGTCCCCCAATACCTGACACCATGACGTCATATCCTGGCCTCTGATCATAAGGTCCCCCACGACCAAATCCTGTTATTGAACAATATATCAAGGAAGGTACTGATGTCTTCAGCTGATCATATCCTAAACCCACTTTGTCCAGTTTTCCAGGTAAGTAATTTTCTACCAGAACATCGCACTTTGAAGCAAGCTGTCAAGTAAATAAGATTTAATGTTATATTTTTTCAAACAGATAGCAGAGAGCATAACATGCTGGATAGTCAATTAATGAAAATCCTCCTCACATGCATAAGATTTATGTACACTTAGGTGAGAGACAAAAAAGTTTGAAATAACACAAAAGGTGATTTCTGGAACCACTGGAAGACTGGAAGACCCTGTAAGCCCCTGAGCCTGACTCTTTGTCAACAGAGATTATTAAAAAAGTAAGTAAGGTGTAAGCAGCAAGGGTCTGGGTAGGAGTAACAAAAGTTTGCCAGTCTCCTTAGTCTCTCTCCTTCATTTTCTCACTCACTCCACTTTTTCTTTCATCCTTAGAAACTGATTGCCCACAAAAGGCTAAGCAAAGAAAAATAATCGCCCTCAAAATGCTCACGGCATCTGTCGACAAGATGAGAAAGAACTTTAAATGTACACAGTCAGATTAAATGTTACTAAGCCTGAATCTGCATTAATTACCAGTCAATTTACTGAGTGACTGTATGCAGTTGAGTCTCTCTTTGTGTACCTTTCTGACAATTTCTGTACCTTTGGGATCCTTGATGTTTACAGCAATGCTCTGGAAGTTTAAATAAGAAAAAAGTGTTGCAATTTAGGAAGGCAAGTGCAAGAATCATTAAGTTTTCTTTTTTAATGCCCAATAGACCTGCACTATCATATCTTGGGTTGAGTGATGTGGGTTGCTTGAATACATCCCTTAGTGGCAGTCATTAATGAACAAGATAAGATTAGTCTTTGACCTAATGAAGTAATGTGAATAGAAAAAAAATTATTTCAAGTTCAGAAATAGCCCCATTCCTGATTTATTGTCTTTTTTATAGAAATAAGAAGTGAGATAGCTTGCAAATACCTTCTTGTTTCTGTTTATAGAGAGGAAATATGTGCTTTCATTCTCACAAAATGGAGGAGCCCATGATCTTGTGTCATCTCCAGACTCTAAAATAGAAACACAGCAATGTTAAAAAAAAAATAAATACATCCAGCTAAAGTATGACTGCAATGTGGGCTTGACAACCATACACATTCAAACACATGTATTCTTGTAGAAATGCAATATTGTTCTACCATCACAGTATTGCTTTGAACTTTCTCAATAAACCTTATATCAATTAATTCAAAAGTTGACATAAAAATAACAAAAACAATTGAAGACGCTATGTTTAGATTTATGAAACTATTCCAAATAAACAAGGGAATGGCTCTTTGGAGTGTTACCCCCCTCCTCTTAAAAAAATTTTTTTAAAAAAATAGAAATTTCCAGAGGGGGAAGAGTGGGGGGGAAGGGGCAGACAACAATTGATCATCTTTTTCCTCAGTGTGTACTCTGTGAGAATTATATGCAGCATCCTTGCAAGATTTTGGAGTTTCCTTGCTTCATTCTCTATGTTATGGCAAGAACCAAATAATTGTTTTATAAATTTCATAAATCCTGGAACGTTTAAATGCAACAGTTGGTTCATTGCATTTCTACAGAAGGAGACTCTAAATATAAGCTGATAACTGGAGTTCAGTGAACCAACCACCAATCAGAATACTAGAAATGCAATATTCAGAGTTATAAATTTGATAAATGATATTACCTGGTTTTTCAATTTTTATTATTTCTGCTCCTAAATCTCCCAGAAGCATTGTCGTAAAAGGACCTGCAAGAATCCTTACCAAAAATAAACAATCACTTTCTTCAAATTTTCTCAATGTCCATATTTATATGCCAATCAAGGTAAAAGAACCATATCTTAGAGTCTATAAGTGAATGAAATACCTTGTCATATCTAAAACTCTTACTCCTGATAGTGGACCCCTCATTATTGATCTTCTTTCTGTGTTAAAAGGACATATGAGGAGGCCTAGGGATTACTGCACCAGACTCTACAGAAAAATTTCCAGGTTTTTAATAAATAATGGTTGATACTGGCTTATTAGATAACAATGACAATATTGTCAGTGCATGTATTGTCATTGCATGTATTGACTGAGTTCATTGTCAATATAATTACAACAATTACGATTTTCGTCATGTGCTGACAAGGGATCCAGAAACACATCCAGACAAAATTGCAGTAACTCAAGCATGTTTTTATTTTTTCCTATGCGTGTGCATGTAATTACTATATATGGTAAATGCACAGAGAAACCATTATGATAACAATAATAATAATAATGATAATGATGATGATTACAATGATTGATGATTGGTAACAGTGAGGATAAGTGAACAATTGAAAGATAGATATATAGGCTATGATGGCCATAAATTGACTAGCCACAAATTTAACTTAACCGGTGTCATTTTCTCCTCTGTTTATGCCATATTTTTGCAACAGGCATGCAAAACTTTGAATAAAATCTATTTAAAATCATTGCTAATCTACGACTTGTCTCTCAAGAATATAGCACCCTCTTTTATGGCATGATTAAGATATCTATGAAGTCAGTAAATATAGCTTACCAGCTTGTACTACTCTTCTGCAGACACGTCAATCAGCTGATCGACATGAGGAAATGATATAATTTAAAAGTAGTCATAGTTAAGACTCCATCAGCTGAGCGATAATAACAAAGTCTGTCGTGTAATTGTACTGTATTGCATCGAATATTTCATATATTTTTATTTGAATATCCGCTGACTTACAACCTCGTATTGCATTCTGAAAACAAAATGGCGACAGTAGATGTAATAACAACAATCATAAGAAGAAATAGGCCGGGAACCAAGGCTGCTGTAAGTTTTCGTATTATTTTTACTGATTAAAATAACTCAGATGACTCTATTTGCTTTGTTTCTTTTTTTCACCGAAGGGTTTTGAATTGCGAGTATACACAATATTAGATACACGAGACATGTAGTGACACGAGTTCTTTTGAAAAAAAACTTCTCTTTTTCAGTACTTCGGTGAATGATCATTTATTTTAGTAAGATTTACAGGCTAAGTTGAGCAAACTACTTTCGTTCCTAATTTGCATAGTGTGGTTGCGTCGCTTACCTTTTCATTTTGTCAATGGTTTTTGCCAAGGAGCTGCGTAGAGCTTCAATGGGCTACATGTTCTGTATATATCTGACCTAGCATCTGCGTTTTAATCCCAGGACATGTATGGCTGGCCTGATGAACCATTTGAAGAGATGGATAGTACGTTAGCAGTCCAGCAGGTACTGAAACATGGAAAGATGAGAAGCTGGATATCCCTATTCTTTGGGCCATAACTTTTGTAATATATAACATTTTATAACATATTTTATCAGAAAAGAGGCAAACCATCAATGAGTTGTGGAGGCAGTGTGGCCAATTAATTAGGGAGCCAAACTTGTTATCTGATGACATTTTAGTCCTCCACATTGATACCCATAAGCTGGCCCCTTGTATTTAAGTGACCTGTGTTTCTTTCCTGTGTGGACCACAATGAAAACTACTAAGTCATTAGTAATTTTTTCACCTCTTCCCCCCTAAAATCAGTATTGTATTCATCATAGTGAGAGTGGGGAAAATTCAAAATACCCATACAAAGAAAAGATGCCTATAGGAATAACTCCCGTAAAACAGAACTGAAAGAAATACTCTGGTACACCAAGAAAAAGAATCCTAATACACTATGGGAAAAAAGCCGTCCCTTCCTTCCTTATCCTGCTATAAGGGACTATAAGAGAAACAGGCATTTTTTTTACCCTTTACACCCTAACATTAGTGTGCATGTTCTCCATAGTGTTTTCTATACCCTTCCTAATCAGTTGACAAGGAGAATTTGTTTAACCATCAAGAGCTTCTTTAGTTGTCTTGATAATTTCCTTTATTCTTGTGACCTTAATAGGTGATTCAGGGATGATACTGTAAAGAGAAATTAGATGCTGGTCACTCTTAGGGTCAAGGGTTAAGTTGTTGAGAGGATTATGTTTAACTATCCTTTTATTACTGTGCTTAGTATATTCAGCAACAGATCCGAGCAGATTACACAAATATAGAAGCAATTCTAGAGTCCCCTGAGGGACAAGATGAAGGAGTGTGGAAATATGAACATCTGAGGCAGTTTTGTATGGAACTCAATGGATTGGCTGTCAGACTTCAGGTAACTTCAGCACTGGAGAATTAAATTCTCCTCAAATGATGAGTACAATATCAGGCCTATGAATTATGAGAGTCAAAGAGAAAGTATCAATGCTAAAAAGCTTTCTAAATTTGTAAAAATAAATTGAAATTCCCTATACCATTTTAATACAAAATGTTAATAAAGACCAGACAAGTTGAGATCATTTGTTTGTCAATGGTTTACTTGACATAGCCATAATGAACTGTTCAAATGGACCAGGAGACAATTATCACCCAAAGAGTAAAACAGCTAAAAAAAAATAAAAGATATTTTCAAGCAAATCTGCAAAGCAAAATGTTTGCTGACCTTTTTCACTGACTGTTGTTTACTTTAGTCCGACTGTACTCCTTCAACCTGCACACAAATGACTGCCACAGAGCAGTGGATATTCTTATGTGCTGCACACAAAACCCCCAGAGAGGTGAGACATTCTTAAAAGCTATTGAGGTTGTTGTTATTTTTTTTGTGATTGGTTCTCTTGATTTCCTGAGGAAACTGGAATAGTCGGATAAGAACATCCACATTGTTACAAAAGATCCTGATAATGTAATCATTCATTGATTCATGGATTGACAGACTAACTGATTGATTGATTGATTGGAAGATTGACTGACAGATTGATTGATTGACTGATTGACTCACTGACAGATTGAATGACTGATGCATTGATTGATTGACTCACTCGCTGACTCACTTAATGATTGCTTGATTGATTTTATTTGTTGATTTAAAACTGCGTTCTCCTCAACAGTGTCCAGCTATTGATTACACACGGCATACTCTGGATGGTGCAGCATCTTTGCTGAACAGCAACAAGTACTTTCCAAGCAGGTATTGTCATTTTTTTCTCTCTTTTAATTATCATGCTTGTACACCAGTGGAACAAGAGAGAGGTCTTCAATCTGTTTTTGCACAGACAAAGTCTCATTTTTGGAGCTCTGTTTCTCTTACATGCAGCATCTGCCAAGCTGACAACTGTAAGCAAGCTAGTCAGGAAGCTACTCTTCATTTTTCTCTAATGGCATGTTTCGCTGTTATTTTTGCTTTTTTATTCTCCCATCACAAATGTACAAAGAGCTCTATTTACTGATTTGTTGTGCTGTTGATTGGGAGGTACTGTGGCCTAATGGATTCAAGATGGGACCCTTAGTTCAGAGTTGTGGGTTCAGGTTCAAGTTCAGGGCTGGTCTTTGTGCTGTGTTCTTGGGCAAGATACTTTACTTTGATAGTACCTACTTCTATCTAGGAGTAAATATGAGTACTGGTGACATGTCAGTGAAATTTGATGAGATGCTTAAGTGGGGAAGGGGATAGCAGTCCATCCTGAAGCAGACATTACCTCCTGTTGCCCATAATGAAGCAGCATCCCATCCCATTTTCTCTTTCCAGAGTGAGCATCAAGGAATCTTCTGTGGCTAAACTGGGATCAGTTTGTCGTCGTGTCTACCGAATATTTTCACATGCTTACTTTCACCATAGGAGTATTTATGATGAGTTTGAGGTAATTTGAGTCTGTTAGTATTCCTAAGTATACTTTACAGTTCTAATTTTTGCAGCACTCAAGTTCACAACAAAATAAATGCACCAAATTGAAGGGGAATTATATACATATTTTATGAAATTCCCAGATCTGTTTCTTATAGTAATTTTTCTCAGCCATATTCAGTAAAACATTTATCTTTAAAATATTGCAAAGATCCTTCAGAAAGAAAAGAAAACAAGTGTTTCTATGAAGGGAGATCAACCTTTTTGTAATCAGTGATCTCTCCAGGTTTGTCAGTGTCTTTATGTCCAAATGTTATTCAAAAAAGATAGTCACCCTGGTCCAGGTTTTCAGTCAGTAAAATGACATGCAATAATCAATGGTGTTTGAGTAGTGGTGAAGCGGAAATGTGGTTTCCAACCCAAACATCCCACATTTTCACTGCAATCATGCCATTTACAATAATTGTAAATGTATTGTATTTTCCTACATTTGGGTAACTATGCCCGGACCAGTCTACTGATTGAGAATCATTCAATATATGCAAGTTTTCTAAGTTTCTTTGTTTTTTATCTGCAGAATGAGACACTCTTATGCAAAAGGTTTACAACTTATGTTCTAAAGTATGATTTGATGGCAAAAGAGAACCTTATTGTACCTATGGATGAGACACAGTCACCCCCACCCCCACCCCCACACCCACTTCCAGATGATTCCACAGATGAAACTGCAATGGACAGCGAAGCGTGAGTGATGAAACAAGAGTTTAAAATTCAATGGAATGGATATATTTCAGTGAAAGTGGCATTATGAACTGCTTTTCATCTTAAACAGCTTTGCTAACTTATAAATGCTCCTGGCCGCAAGGAAAGAAAAACTTAATGCAAGCAAATGTTTGAAGGATATTGAATTGGGTGAAGATTTTAGCATGCAAAATCTTTGGCCAATGAAGGAGGATTGAAAAAGATCTATCATTTGTGGTTGATGAAACTAACCATCAGCAACAGCTGTACCACTCAAATAATTCTCTATTTTTTCCTTTATTTGTACATTTGATATGTGTCAGAGAGAGTTCTTATTTGACAGCCCTTATAGGATTGTGATTTAGATTCTATCAATATGTCTTTGGTTGTTACTAACTTTTTCCCTTGAAATAGGTCTGACTGTGTTTTTAAAACAAACTGTTAAGGTTTTTGCTTTGTAACCAGCAATTTTTACTTGATAGTACATTTAGACTAGTAAATCTAAAACAATAAAACAATGAAACTTCTTACATAATTTCTTACTGATAGCTTACAGCATCAGAATATTTATTTTCCTACAAATTAATGCTCTTCTAGACATATTGTTTTCTTTAGTAAACCTTTATGACATTGGAGTAGTGAATTTGGTTTCTCAGTCCAAAAAAATTAACTAAAGAAGTTCCACCTTGTCTTTTCTGTTTTCCATCTAGCTGTTACCTTATCCTTAAATTATTAGAAGGTGAGATTTCAAAATGAGGCTTTGACTCAGCATAGCAGTACGTCATCCAGGAAAGTTTCATATATTTACATCTTTGTCTCTCTCAGGAAGACTTTCCTTTGTCGGTGAATAAGCATCTTTAATGGAAACATCATCTTGATAATCAAGGCTGGATTGCTTCTTTTCTTTATTCTTCATTAAATTCTTCCTTTTCATCCTTTGCATGATTATGGCGTAAATACACATGGCGTCTGGCTGTGAAACTTGCAGCTCCTCCCTATTGCTGTTTCTCTTTGTAAATACCTGAGTGGAAAAATTCAGTGTGTTAATCACTATGTCTAGGAACAATTTTCAATTGAATGCTCATAGTAATCCGGTATTCCATTGGGTTTGCTTTGCGTTGCAGTGATTGGTTGAAAAACCTTGTCGCCCTCTCAACCAATCAGAAAAACTAAATTAAATCCAAACCCGACTAATCGCAACTTGGTTGCGTGCGTTTTCCCGCGCTTTAGGTAATTTGCTTGACTTTACTTTTTCATTGTCTTCTAGTGGTACATTCCTTTGTTGTTATTGCTTTGGTTATCGGTTCAATGCACTCAAAACAAAAAGGACAAGTTTTGCATCGTGAGCGGGAATGTAAGAGTAAATGGAATGCGGTCAGTGTTTTCCTTCTCGGCCGTTTGTAGCGCTGCCTGTCGATCGATTTGTTGGGCACGGTGGTAACAAACGGCAAGCAAGCAAATTACCTAACAAACGGCCGAGAAGGAAAACACTGACCGCATTCCATTTACTCTTACATTTCACCCTCACAACCACGCAGTTAAATCTATCATTCTTAAAAATTTTAAATTACTCCAAAACGATTCAGAGACTGGTACTATCTTTTCGCAACCCCCACTTATTTCATTCAAAAGTGACAAAAACATATGAAACTTTTTAGTCAGGAGTTCATTTCAAACCAATGACCAATCTGGAACTTTTAAATGCGCTCGCTCACGATGCAAAACTTGTCCTTTCATTCACAACGTAGAGAAAATATCGGGACCTAAAAGATCCATTAAGATCATTGATCACTTTACGTGTACCTCCGCCAATGTTATTTACTGCATAACTTGCTCTTATTGCAATAAGTTATACATCGACGAAACAGGAAGACGACTGGGTGACCGATTCCGAGAACACCTTCGCGATGTGGAAAGAAATGACAAGGACACATCCAAACCAGTCGCTAGACACTTTAATCTTCCTAATCATTCTAAACAGCATATGGCAGTTTGCGGCCTTTCCTTACATCTAGGCAGTTCGGAAAGCCGTAAAACACTAGAACAAAAATTTATTTTCCAAATCGGCACCCTTAATCCCCACGGAATCAACGAGCGCTTTTCATTCAACTAATTTACTCCTGTTTTCTCGTCACCATATTCCCACCAATGGCGTAGCCCCACTTTCTGCATTTAAATCCACACACAACCCACAATTCCTCTAATCGCTCTGACGAAGGGCTAACGCTCGAAACGTCAGCTTTTTTACCCTCTACGGTGGCTAATTTACGTTTTCAACCCAGTTGTTAACACTAAATTACCTGCTATACTCTCCCACCGACGCAGCATCACAGTTTCTTTAGAAACTTACCCCTTTAATCATAAAACAACTACATGTAAAATTCACTTGTACAAATTAGTGAAAATTGAAATTATCAGTGGAAGTTTGAACTAAAAAGGAAATCCAACACCATTTGCAGAATTTTAATATTTATTTTCCCAGCTGAAAAGGCTTGTGAGACCTCGAATGATCACTGCCTCTTACCTCCTGTGTACGCCGTTTATTCCTCGGCTTTCTTTACATCGAGAAGAAAAGTAAGTGACATAAAACGCCCGACAACTACATCATGTTTACCTTATTGAAAATACTGGCCTCAAATCTCGATAAAACATGATGCCCAGTCTTGATTTTCTTTGCTCATCAATTTGTGTTTTGTCGCTTTTATTACTTTCGAAATGCGTGAAAATATCTCTGTTGTCTCAAGTGGCTTTTAAGACCTTTGCCACTAAAAAGTCGAACTATTCATATTGTTGGACTTGTGAGGAATATCACTATTTTCGAAAGTCACGGCATCATTTAGGCTGTAGCTCGAGTCCCTACATTTATTGCCATAATAGATTTAATGAAATAACACAGATTTCTTACCTGAGGCGATGTGTACACTCAGTGAAAACCCTCCAAACACTCAGCAAATCAAAGGCTTGGCAAAATTCAGCGCTTGAAAAGGTTTCAATGAAAGACAAAACGAGTGAAATAACTTGCCATTGGTCCTTTTAAGATGCGATAAACAGAGTGATTTTGACTTAAAGTGGACAACTGTTTCCTTCACTTGTACGATGAAAACAAAGCATACTCCTGGAAGCTGCAGGTTGCCCAGACAACACTGCTCCATATGGATAACACATTTTCAAATGTTCACGATAAATTTGTCGTGTTTTGACAAGGGTTAATATTACTCCGTGAAGTTTTTGGTCAGGTCAATTTTTATTATTATTACTGTTACCATTATTTATTTATTTATTTATTTTTGCAGCATTGAGGCTCTCTCATATGATAATTATAATTAATTCTTTGTCTTTACTTATTTCTTAGTTTGCTATTGATGTGTCGTGACATAAAATTTGATTGGTTAACGATATTAATTACAAAAATTTTCAATAATTATTATGGTAAAGAGGCCTTTAAATGCTATTCTAAATGCAACAAAGATGTGGATGTCGCTGTAAAGTTATAATTGTGGATGCAAATTTACTGATAGGAGCAAAGTGATAATTTCGGATCCGTAGTTAAAACCAGAATGATCTTTTCATCAGTTACGGCTATATCTCTGAGACCGATTTAGGGTCTTCCCCCCCCCTCTCCCCCCTCCTCTACCCTCACCTCTCCACTCCCCTCTCCCACCCCCCTTCCCCCTCTCGGAGATAAAAGGGACCTTAAGCAGTCAGGACGGCAACGTCGAGAATATGTAAATTAAAAAATGAATTATTGTGATAGAACCTTACGACTGGCTGGATGTTTTCACCGTCTCTTAAAGCGCCACACCTTAACTTCAGCATAACGTATTTTAGCAGCGTGAGTTCCAAATGGAAACTTGAATGAATTGCCGTCGGGGTTTCCATTCTCAGACCATGCAAATTTTGGTGATTTCACGTTGTTGTTTTGTAGCGGACGGCGAAGAAATGTACTAAGTCTTAAATTACTCGTGCTGAGCCAATGTTCTACCCATTAGATTTTTTGCCACGTCCCCACGTGTTTTGGTTAAGGTCCTTAAAGACGCCCACATGCACTTACCTGTTTGAAACTCTAAGATAGAAAAGACATGATAGAGTGAATGCACATAACTTGTTTCATATATGCTAATATGACGCATGATATTCGTGTGACCTGTTTGGGCACACACGAGGGATTCATTTTGGAATGTACTAGACTGTTCAAAACAAGTGGTTAAGAATGAACCAAGAACATTCTGGGGAGCTAAAAGATCGTGGAAGTGCACTCATATGTGAAGTGCTTTTGGATACACTTGTCTTTTTGCTGATTTTTGTGACCTTACAGTAAACCACCTGCCAACGAAAATCATTACCCTTTGCAGCATCGGCTAATTGGGAAATTTCAGCCTGTTTATATGGAGGGTATCCTCGAGGGTACGGCTACACGTAGGCTAGTATTTATCGTGTCGAGTTCAAAGTCTGCCCAGTTTTCAAGCCCCTCGTCTGTACAGTGTTCACTCAGAGAGGTGTCTTGTTTTGAAGATTTTTGACACAATGTTGATTTTAAAAAATTCTGACTTCGGTTTTCGCATGATAGCATGAATATTCCATTTTACAGTTGAGTGGTTGGTTGCCAAGGGTTTGAACAGGAGTAAATTCTTGCTGCTTCTCAAATGCAAATTACTTTGTTATCATGCTAACTAGATACAGGTCTCTATCACAACAAGGTCTCCTTCAGCCTCACTCCGAAATGGCTTATTATCAATCCTCGTGTCTGTGTCAGCTGCCTCAGCCTTCAGCTTGGCAACACGTTGGCATTACGAAGCTGACTATTATGGGAATCACACGGTAACTGTGCTGGGCCAAGGATAGCATGGAGTTGCGCAATTACTTTCACAATATCAGGCTATTATTAGCGAGATGATGCAGCAGAAACTGAAACCCACAAGGGCGTCATACAACTGATCACATGAGCAAGAGAAAGCGAACTTATTGGTCGTTTATTGTTACGGATTCAGGCAAAAATATCGGGGTGGCACAGGGCTGACCATATTGGCACGACGAAGGCGAGATTGGCAAAGTCAAGGCAATTTTCGGAACTCATTTTTAAGGTAAATCTTTTCTTTCTTTTACGTTTTTTGAAAGCTTTAAATATTCTACCCAAATAGAAAGGTTGTAATCTGTTCAGGAAACTTTTTAATTCGGGGATGCAAAGCTGTAAATATCGTTGCGCTCGACTGGGTTGTCGCTCGTTCTTGCCTGCCAGTGTTGTTCTGATAGAGCTCAATTAGTATTCAAAGCTACTAACTGTGTGCTCAAGGGATGCAACGGAAAATTGCACTTTAACTCATGCTTCATCGATTTGAAAGATGAGGACATTTGCTTCGTTTGCTTGTCGAAATCTATAGCCGGAGGAAGGTTGCTTTCCTTCCAAATTTTCGACATGGATTCTCTCACGCTCGTTGCAAAATAGTTATTCTTCGATCATAAAGCTTTACAGAGAATGTGGTGACAAAGTTAAATAAAAATCGCTTTGTCAGTTTATCGCATGAATACTTTTTAGCGGCGGAAGGCTAAGCTCATGTCACACTGTTACAGCTGTGTTTTTTAATGCCTTATTGATTCGTGCTCAGATATTTGTTTAGAGAGTGTACAGGATTTGAGAAAATTATGTGTTGTCATGTATGTCTTCTTGTCTGGATGAACTGGCCATCAATTAATTTCCAGAGACAAAATTCAGTTTTAGTGAAGCCGTAATTACGAGCGACCATTAAAAAAAAACATTTCACAGTATCACTAAATTCAGTTGGCAAATCAAATTCTCTGAAATGACGTTGTAATAACTGTTTGGTAGACACTGAGGATAATTTATTTTGTGATGTAAGGAGTGAAAATGTAGAATTATTTTTGGACTTGCCTAGCAGGCCCTCAGAGGATTGTCTGTTCCAGTTGTCGAATTTTATCCTCTTTATAGGATATCATCATGGTATCATATGCATCAGAATCAGTCCTTGAGAGCTGCCCAGCTTTTAAAGATGGCTGTCCTTATTCTAAGATTACACAAGACCTTTTTGTGGAAGAAATCAAGAAATGCCCTGAGTTCAAACAAGGGTGCCCCTTTAAGAACACAGACAATGTAAAGGATATCCTGAAAGAACTTTCCAAGATGCCAGAGATAAAACATCACTCAGGATCAACACATGAACATCTACTTAACATGCTGAAAGCCATTCACACGGAGTCTAAAAAGCTGGAAGAGAAGGTTGGAGAGTGTCCTGCATTCAAGACAGAGGAAGGCTGTCCTTTCAAAGATGCCAGCAAGGAAGGAAAACCTTTGATAGAGCCACCAGCAGCTGTGTTAGAAGGTTTTACTGCCTCTGATGTCAGTAAACTGAAGGAGAAGTGTCCTGCTTTCAAAGAAGGGTGTCCATTTGCCAACATGGATAATGAAGTTCTTTTGGAAAAAATTAAGAAATGCCCTGAGTTTAAAGAAGGATGTGCCTTCAAAGAAGCCAAAACAATCAAAGAGATCTACAATAAGCTGTCACAGATGCCAAGCAGTGACAAGGACTGCCACCATAAAGAAGCTCTGATGGAGACCATGAAAGTCATTCACAGTGTTGGCCATGAGAAAGCTGACAAGTGTCCAATCCTTCTGAAGGATGGTTGTCCATTCAAATCTGTTGAGAGTGAAGGAAAGCCACTTTTCAGTCCAGCAGAATCTGTATTGCCCTCAGAGTCTGAGTCAGAAGAGCCTTCTACCCATTTTGTTAACCTCAAGGATTTAAAAGAAACTTGCCCAGCATTTGCATCTGGATGTCCATTTGCAAAAGTTGGTGATAAACAGTTGGATGAAGAGCTGAAACAGTGTCCTGAATTCAAAGATGGATGCCCTCATAAGGACAGTGAAACTATTGGAGATATTTACAAAAAGCTTGCCAGTCTTCCATCCTTCTCTGTGCAGGGATCACATGGTGCTAAGCTCGTAGAAATTTTCAGGTACATACATGAAGTGTCCAATGGACTGAAAGAGGAAATGGGTGAGTGTCCCATATTTGCAACGGTGGAAGGATGTCCATTCAAGACTGTCTGCAGTGACGGCAAACCACTGGTTGACAAGCTGGATGGTCAACGTTGGACCAAGATTTTCCAGAGTTCAATTGATGACATCAAAGAAGATGTCAATAAAGAAATTGAGAAAACAGAACCATCTATTCATCTGTCAAAGGAGTTGAAGAAAGGCACCAAAGTTATCCACAGAGAAGCAGAAAATATTCACTTTGTAAAGGAGTTTGCCAAGGGAAGGATTGAGAGACAGTGGTATAAAGAACTTTTGGCTGATCTTTACTTTGTGTACAGGTAAGTTCTATACCTGGTTTATGTAAACCTGTTGTAATTACGGCTGCTACATTTTCTCAGGACACTCTACTTTCCACCCAACCTCTCCCCTCTTAATTCCTATCTAGGATAGAAACATCAATGTGGGGTTGTTGTGATCCTTCCTATTGTCATTCCGCAATGAAGATTGAATTTTTCTTTAATTGCTTAGTGTTGACTGCTGTGTATGGCAGCCATTGTTATTTTCATCTCAAAATTTAATAAATTGTAGAGGACTAACATTAATGAACAGGGAAACATACAGAAAAAGATTTTAGAAATTTCGATCCATCTTGTAAAAGTGCAGATCAAAATAACAATATCTAGAGATATATTGTGAGCCCAAACCTCTACTGCATGCCATAGAGTTATAGCAAATCATTTAATAGGTGTTTGCAAGGGATTTCATTTGCAGAATTTTACTTAGTAGGCAGACAACCCTAAGACTGAGTTACAATGCCAATTGTATCACTGCTAATTACCCTCTCCCCCTTTCTATTTCAGAGCACTTGAAGAAGAGAGTGAGAGACATAAAGATCATGATCTGTTCAAAGCAGTGCATTTTCCTAAAGAGCTTGGTCGTTTGCAGTCCTTGGAAGAAGATATGGAGTTTTATTTTGGCGAGGAATGGAAGGAGCAAGTTCCAATGTCTGCAGCTACAAAAGCCTATGTTGACAGAATCCATGAAGTAGCTGACAAGGATCCAGCTCTGTTGATAGCTCATCATTACACCAGGTACCTGGGGGATTTGTCAGGTGGACAAATTTTAAGAAAAATGGCCACTAAAGCTATGGATCTCCCAAGTACTGGAGAAGGAGTGCACTTTTATGTCTTTGATAACATTCCTGATGCTAAGAAGTTTAAGAACAAGTACAGATCCTGCCTTGATGAACTCAGCATTGACAAAGTGAAATCAGATGAGATTGTTAAAGAAGCAAATTATGTTTTCCTGCTCAACATTCATTTGTTTCAAGAGATAGATGATATGGCTGGATTTGAAGATCAGGTTACCAAGAAGAAAAAGAAGCTGACAGTTGAAGAGGTTTACAGTAGCATTGACACCAGTAAAGATCAGGCTCATGGGGTGTGTCCATTTGCAGTCATGGCCAAAAAACCTGCACAAGGAAACACAACAGCTCCAAGAAGTGAAGGAAGGAATGTTCATCCAGTGCTTCTGGCAGTAATTATTGCAATTGCAGCCATTCTGCTAGGGCTGGTGTTCACCAAAATAATGTGAAACAGTACAATGTTGTGTTGCTTGTATTAAGAACAGTGCTTTCAAAACAAATTTATATGACAATAGAAAAACATTTTGATCCTTGATTTAATTCAGATTAACAGTTTTAATATCATAGTTATTATTAAATGAGAGTACAAGATCAAGGTGTTCCATAGTGTGGAGGTTTGAGTGGAGGATACAGGTGATCTCAAGTGAGGAATTGAAGGTATCAAAGAGCTAGTTTTTTGCTTTTGGTATTTTCAAATTTATAATTTTTGACCATCATGGCTAACTTTCAGTTGAAGTAATTGAAGCATTCAACTAAAAAATAATTTTTGAATATGCACAGTGAACTGGATGTTGCCAGAATAGGACACTGTCATGAAGAAAAGTTATTTTAGTGAAAGTAAGACAATGAATGAAGGCATCAATAAAGAAACTGGATGACGATTTTTTTATGAGGACTTAAAAGAAGCAGATGATCCTAAGGGGTTATCAACCCTACTGCTGAAACTCTAGTAAAGACAAGTACATTTAGGTTCAGAATTTTGGGCAATGATGATGCAGTATCATTTTTCTACAATTTATAATTCCTTTACATGTTTATGGGAGCTATTAAATTTAGAGTGATAGTTTAATGTGCAGCTCTCATATTATATTAAAGAATAGTCCTGACATTTGAAACAATTTATATATATTTATGTAATGATTTAATAAATATGCTAATCAGTTAATATATAGTCAGAAATATGCATTGGAAGTTATTTCAAATTAATTAAAATTATGTCGCTTAGAAATTGTGGATTCTTCTTTCGTACTGTTTTCTGGTGAAGGAAATGTTTTTCCCGATGAACTCATTACACCCTGAGATCAGTATCAATATTCTCCATACCCCTCTCTATACATTTCTTTTATTTCCTTCATTCCCATGATTCAATAGAATTACTGTAGGGAGAAATTATATGTTGGTCACTCTCAGGGTCAAAAGGGCCTTGAACCAATTTTCATCTGTACCAGTGATTAAATTGTGAACCACGATGGAAAGTTAACTTTAAATGCGATGACCATAACAAAACTTTGTATCTCAAAGAATACTGGATTTTCACCGGTATCTTATAAAATACTTGCGTTGAACAAGAATATATTTCATGGTTCAGTAGATTTTATGCAATTTAACTTTTTTCTCTTATTAATTTCAAATGAAACTTCTAGAGACTGAATAGTATCACTCAACAAGGGTGAAGTCAAAGCTGTTTAGTATTTTAAGCTTGGATTAGAATAAATGAGCTCGACATCCGCCTTTAATGTAATGGACGAATTTGCACTTCCCACTACCGGAAATACGTCACGCACGAAACGGGTACTACTATTGTGGTACTACTATTGTGGTACTACTATTGTGTTCCCACTGTTAACGTGGGTTTGTCGTGAGTTTGCTGACTTATTTCATTCTTTATCGTGTTAAGAGGTAGATATTTCATAAATTACAGTCAAGAAAGCAGGAGGACAAATTTACGTGGAGAAATTATCTCAGTTCCGGGAAAAAAATATTGAACTACGTGCATTTAAACGCTTTACAATTTTTCGCGATCTCTATCTTAAAAAAAGTCATCAAATCAAATAGGTCAACATCCAAAGAAAACAGAGCGGTCCTTCAAAGCTTTCTCTCAGCGTTCTCAGTTGATTTCGCTACTAACAGTTTTGGTAATGTGAAGGTCACTCAAAAATTTTTTATCTTTGATCAGACAGCAACAACTACAACAACAAATTCATTGATCCTAAGACAGATTCTCTGTCTCTGTTAAGTTGAAATTTCGTATCGGTTGATCCTAAACTTCACAGATACAAAAATTTACACAAAGTGTTTATTTGTCTGCTAGACACCTAAGGATCCCAGCACTACATACTGCACAACTGGGACATGCATTTCTGATGGACAGCTGACTATGCATTTTTAAGGGGTATCTGCTTTGCTCCTTTACGAGTGCACTCTTGACCTTTAGCCACCTTAAATTGATACAATGAACTTAACGCGTCATAGAATCTGTTAGCTCATTTACTTGTTTAAGCGACAGAAGTGTAAACGTGACTAGTGGCTTGAAGGAAGCATTTAGAGAAATGTGTTCAACGGCCATATTGGCACGACGTAGAGGTTAAATTTAACACTTGAACATCACAGCATGATAGCGTATACATCGTTATTTGCTATGATTTTTGTCGGCGGTCTCATAGTTTCTGTTCTCGCTCAGATCCGGAAAAAACGTCGAAGCAAATTTCACACTGTACGGAGTTTACTGATCCACTACTTTATCAATCGCTTTGTGTATCTCTTGGGAGCTAAAGCAAGAAGACGCCTGGAAAAAGACACAAAAAGTTTTCCTCAAGTTCAAGAAACATTTTTGTTGAACATTCTCAGGAAAAACTCAAAGACTAAATATGGCAGAGAATTCAAGTTTCAAGAAATAAGGAGCTGCCGGGATTTTACTGATGTTCATCCCATCACCAAGTATGATCACTACAAACCATTTGTGGGTAAGTGGAAAGATGAACGAAATATGAAGCCGGGTAAAAGAACAGTCTGCATGTGACGACTGTAATAGCTTAAGGCATATACAGGTTTGCGCTTATCGGTTAGTAATCACGAATTTGTCACTGACCACTCCCAAGTTAAAGAGGCAAGACCTTGAAGCTGATTTTATCCAGCAGTGATCATTCATAGAAAATAGATTCGCGTTATCTTGCTAGGCGTAATATTGAATAGAGTAATATATACGCAAAAAAAGAATGATTTGAAATATTCAAATAATTTATTTTGGTGAAGAAATAAAAAAACAAACTGATGTTTTTGTCTGGTTACAGAAATAAATCAAACCTCTGGAGAACGTTCTTGGATAACTTAAACTCTGAAATACGGATAAGCCATTGATACTGGTCAATACAGAGATTAATATTTGTTTCATTCGTTGATCTGTTCCTTTCTGACGAGCATCTTGCGCCAAAAGTTTTTAATCATTTCACAACAGCAATTCATATTGATATTTTCTGAAAAAATGAAAAAGATAAGGATTGTTTTCTATTGTTTTTGTGGCTTCTTCCAGCTTTGAAGAGCACGGAAAAGATAGATAAGAAAACAGGAATTCTCTAACTTGTAAAATTTTCGATGAAACCTTACTTTATCCCTAAAAGCAGAATTTGAGATACAATTTTAGGATAATTTGGTATTCGCGCTAGGACAATAAGATTTTATGCCTGAGAGTTCTTTATTGAATATCAAAAAACCTCTTCCGTAACTCATCAAAGTAAATGTTTTAACCAAGTTTATAAATTTAATTTTCACCATAGATGAAATTTATCGAGGAAAGACGAATGTACTGACCAATCAAGATCCTTGGATGTTGGCGGTAACATCCGGAACAACAGGAAGAAGCTGTCTTATTCCCAAGACACGAAACAATTCTCGAGTATTCGTGGAATACGGATTCTCCGTGGGACTTTACCACACTTTGTTTAACGTTCTACCCCTGGTGAGCAGAAGTAATCGTTAAATGAGATTAAAACATTGCCACACAGGATGGAAAGAATAACATAAAATCCTTCTTTTTGCGGTCCCTCAAGTGTTCCTGTGTTGCTTCAACGGAGTTTTTTTTACGTCAGGTTAAGAATTATCCTTTTTTGTGTGCTTAGCTTTCATGACCTCGATCTCCATTTAGGAATCGCAACAGAAAGCAGTCATACGCCGCGTATGGCGATATTGGCAATAGATAGAGCTTTAGAACACGAGATTAGCACGAAAAGCTAAGGGTTATGCAAGTGTGGGTAGTCATGTGAACCACAAGCAATTATGGTGCGGGTAGAAATTTCTAGAATTTTTATCTCTAATTTTACATTTAAAATCTAATTTTCCAAATCTAATTTTCCAAATCTAATTTCACAACTGACAACTGCATTATTAATGACTAATTTAATGGCATCTGAGCGATCAATACGCCAAGGGCACGCAATTTATCAGCATGGCAGGCCGCACGGGCTTGAATTTCTGTACTCAGAATGTCCTGACCAAGTCAGGCGGCCGTGGCCGATTAATCTCTCTTTACCAGAAACCCTGTAACATGATTCATCTTTCCTTAGGCGGACAGCTTACAGAAGTCTCTTAAACTGTTTCACGCTCCTCAAGTAAGATGCTCAGAAGGAGGGATTCCAATAGGACCTTCAACTTTAGCGCCTTCATTACAGCTCCACGCCCTGTCCACTCCCCGAGTGCACCTTGACGTCCCGTCTGAGCCCGCTGGACTTTATATTCACGTCTTGTTTGCACTGAGAGATAGAGACCTGGGTGCGATTCTGGGCAATTTTGCGTTTTGGATTCACGGGGTTTTCGTCTTCCTTGAGAGAAACTGGAAATTATTGGTGCAAGACTTGGAGAAAGGTGAAATCAATATGGATCTTGACATAACAGATGGAGTTCGAAAGTAAGTATTATGAATTCAACCCAAACGTTCCCTCAGAATATCAACTACTTTTTTGTTGTTGTGTGATCATAACTGATTGTATCTTCTTTGTCTGCCTCTTATTTCCAAGAGAGCTAAATAAGCTGCTAAAGCCAGATAAACAACGAGCAAATGAACTAAGGGTGGAGTTTCAGAAGGGCTTTGATGGAATCGCCAGGAGAATTTGGCCACACCTTGCATATGTTCATGGAGTAGTGTCAGGTGAGTTCTCGTCACAATATTGTCGCATGTTTCGAAAATATCAGCTTAAATTACTTACGCTTGTCAAGTTTTAACCATATGAATGATATTTGTATAAAAAAGAATCCTGCTATTGCAACCATCATTGGGCCATCAAAATTTGACACCATTAACGGAGTATCAGCTTTCCTCACATCTGTTATTTGTTAAGTCACACAGCGCACTCCCCCCCCCCCCCTCCCCTCGGAAAAAGGTTTTTGAAGGAAGGGCTGGTGCCTAACATTACAAAGAACAACTACAATGGAGAGTAACGATGTGGTTTAGAGAGCAAAAGACTGGACTTATCCTGTTTGGGGCATAAAACTTGGACGCATGTAGGAGGGGGATGCAGTCGTAGGGCGTAAGGAAAGACTTGCAGCATGTTTTGCACATCAAAAAAAGAGAAAATTTCCATGCTGCATCTTCTTCCCTTTAAGGTTCTTCTGAACTTTATGCCACGCAGTTACGGGAGCGCTATCTCAAGGGTGTGGCACTGTGTTCCACCATATATGGAGCAACTGAAGGATTGATTGGAGTGAACTTATGGCCACTGAACTCGGAACTTTGCTATCTCCTTGTACCTCGCTCAATGTTCTTTGAGTTCATACCACTGGAGCATACTCACGAAGAACAACCGAAGGTATTTGAAAGAGCTATCTTGTTTCTCACGTTCAAGCAACGAAATGTCACTTGATTTCAGAATAAACATAACCGCTCAAAAAGAACGTCCATGAACAAACGAACCCAGAGATCGCTAGCACTTCATATATTCTGACAAGTTAGGCAAGACAGGCCGGTTATTAAAACGTATTTGCTTCATCTTGCTTTGTGATTGGTCCAGAAAACTTGTGCCATCTTCTCAACCAATGAGACGCCAGACGAACATCACTTGTGACCTAATCACCAGTGTTTTCCCGCGCTTTTGGTTGTTTGCCCGACTGTTTTAGCTTTGAGTTCTTAATGGCTTATAATTATATTTTTATTCGTTACAATTGGCCGCAGCGATTATTTTGGTTTCGGCTTTTTGACAGTCAATTTATAATTGCTCTTAAATTTTTCCAGTGTTAGTCAAAAGTCTACTTTCCAGCGTTCATAAAAGCCGACGTTTTGAAATGTTTGGCTAACTTTAGGACCATTAAGAATGTTTTTTTTTTAAATAAAGACTAGCTGGCAGCCACGTGCTATAAAGACTGAACAATTTCCGTTACAGCCTTGTTAAAGTGGTTTTTTTTTTTTAAATGGGCATACTGTTGTGATATGATCCCATTTGTGAATGTACTTCTCCCATGAAACGACAAAATTGTCATCTCTAGTGACAATTATTCCGGATCTCCTTTACTTAGGTCATTCTTTCTATCACTCATCCTTAAAGTTGATGGGATATCACACACCGCCCCCTTCCCCTGAAAAGAAACGTTAGTTTATCCCTGGTGGTGTAATGCATGACATTCCAAACAACGGCTACGAAGAGACAGTTTAGCCATGCACATGTCATATTTTTTACAGACGCTGTTTGGTGATGAAATCGAACCCGGTTGCTTATACGAACTAGTGGTAACCACACTGAGCGGTTTGTACCGTTACAGGATTGGAGATGTGGTGAAAGTTGTCCGTTTTTACAACAATTGCCCGGTGGTAGAGTTTCAGTACAGACAAGGTCAGCTATTAAACATGCGCTCGGAGAAAACGACTGAGACGATGATGTACGAGGCAATTACGAATGTGCTCCGAGGGAAAGGCGAGAAATTTAACCTCGTGGATTACACATGCGCAGAGAGCATTCTGTTGGATTTTATCCCAACGAAGATGGATTTCGTTAAGGAAAATATTGGCCAGGGTAAAAACAACAACCACAAATGCAAGGCTGACTTCGATGATGTTAAGCCATTCTACATAATTTTCTTGGAGCTTAGTGCAACGCGAGACCCAGAAGAGAATAGGCTGCTTTCACAGGAGGTAAGAATCAAAGCTATCTCTTTGTCTCCTCACCTCTTCTGGTAGGAACTGTAGTTATAAAATTTGAACTGCTGAGGAAGATGCTACCACAGGGATAGGTAGATGAACGAGGTCCAGAGCTTTCAACACCATCATTATCGCTATGATCGTTATCGTTAGCACTCTCATTATAAATTTCTCCATTATTATTTTTACACCATTGTCATTACACTCTTATCATAGCGTCATCTTGACCGTTGTAAATAAAGCAAACTTCCGATGTTGTCAAAAAACTAAAAACCATAATAAACACAAAGGCCAATCAGAACAAAGCTTGCTTTCATCATTAGCCAATGAGAACTCAGAGTAAAACCAGGTAAACTGCATAAGACGCAGGAAAACGTGGGTGACCAAATCGAGATTTATTTCAGTTTTACATCTGACTTGTTGAGAAGATGGCACACGTTTTCTTGACCAATCACAGAGATAATTTCAGTAAAACAATCTGAATCCAGGATAACTATCGTCACCTAATTAGTTACTACTCGAACACATAATCGCGTTTGTGTAATTCAGCCTCGCATTTATGTCTGTTGCCTTTTTAAAACTGTCACTGATTTTTCCTTTTAGTTGGACCACGCCCTTTGTGAGGTGAATCCATTTTATCTCATTCGTCGTGAAAATGGCGGCTGTATTGACAGACTCAAAGTTTGTTTGGTCCAACCAGGTACGTTCAAGAAATTTCGCGACTTTCTACTCAAAGTCACACCAACAGCTGTCAACCAACTGAAGATTCCGCGGAAACTGACGTCGAAAGAACAACTGATGTTCTTTTGCGAGAATTCTGGCCACAGAGCACGTTTAAATAATTAGCAAACTTCGAGAAAAGCGCTATGATTAGAGCGCAGTTCAATTGAGTATCAAAATAGACCCCCCTGTTATCGCTTCCGCTAATCAGAAGTGAGGAAGATATTGAAAGGAACCAATAAGAGTCCAAAGTAAACACGTTGCGGGTTTTCTAAACCAATCACAAAGCAAAAGAAAGCAAAACCTATGAAAACCTGGAATAATTTTGACACTCGGTTGAAAACCGTTCTATTTATAGCAAAACAAATCCAGAACGAAAAGAGTAAAGAGCCAATACTCTAACCAGTTTTCTCCACGGAGAACATACGAAAAACGAAGACTAAAGGGCAAATCAGTCACGGTGGAGAAAACACTATTTATTTCCGTGAGTAACTTCTATTATTGCAGCGACAATATAGTGTCCTATGGTATCATTAACAACATACCAATATTATTTAACATATCACAGGACATATCGCATCGTTCAGTATCTATCATTTTACTATCCCATAGTTTTGGTTCCTCACTCAGGAGTTCATCACACTATATTAGTCACAAGGGTAAGATATTTGTTTAATTGCATACATTTTTTGGATATCATATCATCAAATTATTTTTTGGCGCTCGCTTGAGTAAAGCACCGTGTACAACTTAAAACGTATATTAATTACGTTTTATCAACTGAGTTGATACTGTAAATTGATCACCGTAAAGAGTTTCAAAGCTGATGTTTTGAGCGTTAGCCCTTCGTCAAAGCAGATTTTTTATTATCAACTCAGTTGATAAAACCAAATCATTTATAACATAGCTATTTATAATGCAGTTTCCATACCCAGAAAATTAAAATTGAACATGCTCCATGAGATAACACAGCTGACACAATATTTTCCTGCTAGAGATTCCCCTTTTCTCTGCAAATTATTATAAATTGTGCTGCTTGGGTGAAAAAATGCCTAACTGATTAAGTTAACAAGCTATTTTGTTATTTTCATAAAAATTTAGAAATTTTTTATTTTAGGAAACTTCCCCAGAATTGAAAGGCTCTTAACAGAAAAATGCAATGTAGGCAAAATAATAATAATGATAATGATAATAATAAGTTGATGTACGTAATAAATTATAATAAAAATAATTACCTGACAAAAAGAGTTTGATGGGTCCTTTCTGCTCAACCTTGCCTGTAATAAATACTTTCCCAATACAATAGTATGATGACAATGTCTTTAAAGTGATTTAATTCCTTAACTACAACATCTTTGCATGACAAGCTTGGATGATACCTTTTTGTCATTATCAGCATACTGACTGCATTACCAGCCAAGTACAATCACTAAATTGCTGCACCATTCATCATTCCTGTAGCCCTGCATTCTTTTCTTCATCAATTTTTGCTTCACTTTTCTCTTCTGGTGCTTTACCCTCCCCAGTCTCCTTTTCATTCTGCTCTGAAGATGATTGCGTCAACTCAGACAACCATGATGTCACAAATGAGCGTGCACTGTTAATAGCCCCACCTAAGAAAAAAAATAAAGAATCAAAATATCGTAACTTCCTAAACTCCTTTGATGTTTTCCTTAGTTCTGTCTCCCTGTCTCCCACTCATCCCCCAAGGACAACAAGGAGAGAACTCTGGGAACAAGTTTGTGCAATCCCTCTCCTCTAGAGGATCTAAAAACAAATACCTATCATACCTACGACTTTGCTAGTTTCCACCACAGCATGACCAATCCTACGGCCTCTTTCTGTCTGCATAACACTACACAACAAACAGATACATATTGTACTTTAGAAAATTGGTAGACAACACTGTTTATAATTTCTGAACTTTAATTAAAAGCATTCCTTTGTGACACGCACTTGAAATAAAAATACAAACAACAACAACCAGTTTAAAATGGATTTAATAGGCTAACATCTTACTTAGAGAGTCTGATTTTAATGTCTGCTAGTCCCATCTGTCCTTGAAAAGGATGTCTGTCAAGAAAATGGTGTTAAACTGTTACTACAATTTAGGGTTTGCAATGAAAAGCAAACTTTGGAAATGCCATGTACTTTACCCAGCATGTACATCATCAATCCCTGTGTGTTCTTTTCCTCTCCACACTTGATAGTTTGTAGTTTGTTTCCAGGCCTCTATGAACTTCTCATTGTAGTTTGCCATCCCATCACCCCCTGCAAATAGTGGAGTATCAGACGAGTGCTCCCACATTAGAAGCAAAGCCATACACAGGATCACAAACCTGTGTGTTGAATGGTTGATAACAATGACAGAAGATACAATTTGAACTGGGCTCTGATCCACTCATCACTACCATCCCAGCCTAAGGAATACAAGAAAAAAAAAATTAAAACTGGACTCTGATCAAGAAAAACAAAATTTCTTGGCAAGTTCCTGACATTGTAATAAATCAACAAGATAGGTTACTCTCTGGGTAAGTTTCAACAATAAGTGAAATAGAAGCAAAAGTGTTTACTTCAGTTCCAAAGATGTAATGTAAAAGAAACTGACTGAAATGTCGTAAGTTTTCCTGGAAAATTTTTCAACTGAATCACACTGATGAAGGCTAAACGATTCTGTCAAAATATTTTCCAAAAAAAAACCAACCATGTTCCAGTCAGTTTCTCCTTAACTAAGTGAAACGATAATATTATTTGTCCAAATCTGAAGAGATAGTAACCTAATTCTGTGAGGGATTAACACTGTGCATATAGACGTAACAAATATTTATCCCACCAATAGTCATTAAAAAGCAAAAATGAGTTTCCTTGACAACATGTGAGGTTAGTGCTCATATTCCCCCCCTGTCGTCTTTCCTAGGGTTGCAAAGAGGCATCACCAATATTGAGGTGGCAACTGAGGAAGTTTCAGCTCCTAACTCTCTCCACTGGGTTTAAATAAACCAACAAACGGAATGTTTATTCTGCTTGAAACATTTTTTAAGTGGAGTACAGTTCAAATGTATAAGAAATATGAGCACAAGTCAACTATTCAGATAGAAAAAATCCCTTTCATCAATTTTGTTAGAACCTTTTGTTCTGTTCCTTTCCTAAAAATATTTACCACATTGAGACAATTTTTCTCTCATTGTCAATGGTAGTGATGAATTATATATACACACAATCAAAACTAAAAATAAATTAATTCTATCAAGGTCAAAATCACTGCAATTAACCTGCTTCTTGTTGGCCTTTCTCAGCATAATCATCAACGTGATGAATTAGATAGTCTGCAAACCTCAGGTCAGCAGTTGATAATGACAACTGTTCATTTAGTTCAGGATCATGAATTTCAATTGTACTACTCTCCAGCTGTTGTCAAAAACAAACTTATAGATTAACAAACAAATGTAAATTCACTATTTTGTCCTTTTCCCTGCAATACACAAACATTTTCAGGTAACCCTGGAACTCCCAAGATCTGATTGTTAATCCTTCCCTCCAATTGCTAACCATTAATCTTATATATTGCTCGATCAAGAAAACAACCTCTACCTGATACATTTGAATATTCTCATTACCTATTTGCTAGACAATGTATGGATATCATAGGGATAAGTTAAATGTTAATCCTTTTGGGAGTTAAAATAAACAGGAAGAACCATTTTGTAATCATCCATTGTAGAATGGACTGCAGATAGCCTTAAGCAATTCATATTGAAGTGTTTGTGATAGAAACTTAGTAGATTTATACTAATATGTGATAGCTCCTTTGTACTCACATCCACCAAAACATCTGATAATCCTTTTTGCCGTTTGTACAAATAATTTGATGCCCCAACCACAAAACTTCTGACATGAGAACTCTTCAACAGTTCCATTTGTTGCAAAGATAAATAGGGATGAAACAAAGAGTTCTATGAGGAAAATAAAATGAGTTGTAGAAATATCCACACCACATTGTAAGATGGTAATGCTGTTGTAACATAAAATGTTGTGTATTTTATGGGAGTTCATTTGTTCTTCACTGTCTCGAACTAAAAGAATAATATCTAAACCTTTTAGAGCAGTCAGGTGAAAATGAAGAAATGTCTTTTTTTAAGAAACAGTAGAAATCATCATCATTTTTTAAGGAATTAAATAACATTGAACAGTGAATCCTTAGCGGGTGATACAATATTAAGCAGTATTTATTTGACTCACTTTTGTAAAGATTGCTAAAGGAAATCCAAATAAATCCACTGATAGCTGTTCATATTCATGGACATGAATATCCTGTTTCAGTGTAAAACAAAAATAAAAACTTACTTAACTTGAAATTACCTGGTCAGTTAATTACTGGGTCATACATTAGTAATAAAATTATTTCATGCATTCCTCTATGGATTCTTAAAACTCTTAGTTAACCATTATGCAGTGTACCCACACACCTGGAAATCTGTCATGAACTTCATTCCCAACATATATTTTTAAATCTTTTTTTCATTACTTTCTGTTTAAGAACTCCAAACATACTTGCAGGTGTATAATATCTGCAACTTTTGAGCACCATTTTGCTGATATGAGCAGATTATTGTAAGAACATTTTTCATAAATTTCCATATTTAAACAACATAAAAACAGGCAGGTTGCCCCCCTATGATCCTTTAAAAGAGGTAACCATGAGAGAATGTTCTAAATAATGTGAATTAAAACATAGAGTTTAAAGGGAATCTCCAACATGAGACCAAAAGATGTAATAGCACAACAGAAATCTGGCTAGCCATCCTACTCTGACTGTTACAATTCAAAATGTTTATAATTTAATTATAAAACATACATACACTTTCTGACTTGTCCTCTTGAAAAATTTTTTCTCTGGTGACTGAATACACCAGACCACCCTGAATCATTCCTACAAAACACAAAAAACATGAATACTGACTTATGTTCTGTTCAGCATTGGAGGTTGAATGTGGGAGAAATAAGAATTATTGCCACAAAGTGCCTTGAATAAATAAGAAGTTTATCATTGAGTTGCAAGGGCAGCTTTCTTAGCCAAAAATAACCATCTAACATACACTAAAGGTGGTAATTAAAACCACAATACCAACTTGCTATATCTTTATTATATTGAAATAGAAAAATAATCACTTCAGGCTTTTTCAGGCAACAGTTTCAGCACTTTATTATATTTATTGTACATGTCTGCCTGTGGTAAAGGTCAGATTCCTTTATGTAAAGTTCTAAAATGAGGCATCAAAAAGAAGAAAACATTTAAACTTTGAATATAGTTATGGTTTTCATAATTGAATACTAATTGAATGCTTACCTGGAAACAGAGAAACAAGTGAGAGAAGCTGTGAGCAAATGTTACTAACTGGAAATCCATGAAAGATGACCTGTGATAAAGATGTGAAAAGTATACGTATGTTAACTTCAAATTACAATTGAAAAATCCTTATTAACAACATAATATCACTGTGTCAAGTAGAAGAGAAGTATAGTGTATGTAATGAAAACATATAAATTTCTTTTAGAACTTCTTCAAGACATGGCATACAAAAGTTGTGCCTCACATTGCTTGTAAATATTTTGTAATTTTCAGTCTGTTTCAGTTTGATACACTAAATACATCAAATATCACAGGACAATGCATGAGACAAAATTATATGAAAGTTAACCTCTCTAGTTTAAAACTTTGTGATCAATTATGCAAAAAACACACACCTTTCTTTCAAGGAGAAGCAGTTTAAAAAGAGCTAAAATCTGTAAAGTTGAAGAATATAATTTATTTTTTTAATTAAGTTTTTATGTTATATAAACTAATGAACCATTTTTTACTTCTTCTTTAGCTTAAGAATTCTGTTAATTAAACATGTAAAGTAGTTTTTATGACAGAACTGCTTTTACTCACCCGATGTCTGAACTTTCTAACTAATTCTACAGCTGAAAAACCTAACAATAGGGAAAAAACAGTTACCAAAAAAACCCTGGAATTGTATAATCTATAACCTTGGCATGACACCATTACTTATGGTATGGTTTAATTGGGAAAATTTTATAACCACTATTCGTTATTAATATAAAACCATGAAAAACTCACCAATGAATAGTAAAGATTCTTCTGATATCAGACTTGGTGAAACAGTCATGTTTAAATTTCTATATAGTTCCTGAAAACCCACACAATATAATTTTGAATTAAAAGAAACCGAGTTATTAGTGATAACAGGGAAAGATGTCAAAACAAAGCTTTCACAATTTGTTTCTAGTACAGTTGCGTCTGTGCGGATATCAAGTACCTCTAAAATTCCTGTTTGAGAGAAATCCTTTTCTTCAAAATAGAGTCTGGTAGCAACTTGCAGCTTTTCTCTTAGGTATCCATAAAGTGGCTGATAAAACAAGAAAAAATTATTTTAATAATTGTGGTTGTTTAATGTTTGTCTAGTTCTGTGATAAATTGTAAATTGAATTGTTATTTTTCAATTATTGTCTTCATATTTCCAGTCTTTGTCAAGTAATGGAGTCTTACAATTGAATATCACCTTAAAAACAAAGATGATCTTCAAACAAATGAAAACTTTCAAGTTATTCTTCTAAGGATCTTTATCAATTAAGTTAGTGGCAGGAAGAAGATGATTATCAATTTTATGATAATCCTTACACTAGAACTACTTTTTGTAGGTTTATAAACTATCATTCTCATTAAATGTAAAATAAATGATTATAAATAATTATAAATAATTAGATATTAGTATAACCTAGAATATACTACCCCCTTCTTAAAAGGTTAAATATCTAATCTAACATATTTATTTTTTTCATTGTGTAGTGGTACATTTTGACCCCCACTGCTTGGTAATACTACATGTTCTGTATTTGAGCTAGCCTACAAAGAATTTGCATTGTTGTGTTTTTTAGGCTACAAGTGGCAGGCACAAAGTGTTCTTGAGAGACAAGTTGCGTTTTGCATTCTCACAGCACTTGTCTCTGCTTGCCTAGAAAAAGCAAAAATGACACTCAATCTGCAGGCTGAGTTGAAACAACAAGTTACCTTTCACTTAAGTAACTTGTGTACTCACCAAGCAGGACAGGACACAAATACTCTTCTGTACAGTGCTTCTGGTCACATCCTCACTTTTAATTTTTAAGTCCTGTCAACATAAAATGAATTAGAAACCCTCATTCCAAATTCACAATAAACTCTGAAATGTCTCATTCCCATCTCTAATTTTTAGGAAGCAAAACATGGGCTGAACAAACACTTCATGTGTGCCCCCATCTGGCTAGGAAAAAAGTACAACAGCATTCTCTGTGAGTCTGAATATTCACTTTTATAACAATGCTTCCTCAAGTTATAATATTATTTGTGAAAACTTCTGCTCATGTTGTTGGAACTCTGTTCTTGTCACCAAAGACAGCCCTTTTCAGATATATGCTAACATTGATAATAATATTTGTACATCATACCTATATATGTACTTTGTTTATTCGCATAAGCCTTCCTTTAACTCATCATTATCTGAATTAGAGAAATGAATTATAACAACCTTACTATCAATCTGCTTGTAACAAGAAATTCCAAAAATAGTTGACTGTGGGTTCTGCCTATTGTCTGCTGTGCTGAGACTTGGTACATGGAAGAAAGTTGTGTCTACAAATTAATGAAAATCAGTAACTTGATTAACAGAAGATTTTAGATATATGAAAATTCACATATTTGCACTGCGGTGGAAAGATGAAATTAGGAGATCCTCGCAGCTAAGAACACTACTGAAACGAGTAGTTGTAAATAGGACCTGATTGATTAACAGAGTTTTTAGGCTGCACATTTCTAGTATTGTAAATAAAACAGCCCGAGACTCAATGGATGGCTGTATAAGCGATGCTTGAAATGCGCGCTATAAATCACCACCAGACTAAATGAGGAGTTTTCTGGGATAATACCTTGCTCACAGTTATGGGCTCCATCTGGTAAAGCCAAAAACGGCAGAAATTTCCATTCACTCGGAAGTATTGAAGATTGAGAATTTCTTTGCTTTCCAAGCGGTGGATACAAAAACTCCACCTGCAATTTATGGAAATATTAATCATAACGACGAAAACAGGGAAACAATGTCGTATTTTAGTACAGATTTTGGATGCTTCTCTTCAAAGCTGATACTTTCGAGCAAATAATCGGGACCTATTTTACCTCGGATCCTCGCTGATGATGGAATCCGACCACCACGATATGCAGTATGGCCCTCTCTGGATCGTGGTCAGTCATGTTTACATTTCAGCTGATTCCCAGCTGTTGTTTATTGCGAGACAAGCTGTTTAAGAAGACCATCTTCATAAAGCCGCCATCTTGAATAAGAGAGCGTGTAGCATGGGGAAGAGCATTATTTCTAGTACCCAGATTTCTCGTTTCACTAAATCTAAACTATGCACGAAACACCTACTCCACTCCATGAGCAAACCTTTTTCTACCAGAAGCTCCCTATCCCCCTCTCACAACAACAATGGAAATACAAGTTTGCTTCATGGTTGGAACTGTCTTGAGTCACCCTCCTTTTGACATTGATTTTACAACAGCGGTGTCTCAGTGAACCCTGTCACTCCCAAGATCTTTTCTATCTGTCATACAATTCATATGATGTTATTTAAGAAAATTTGGTATTGGATTGACTAGCAATCCCTAAATTGATATTTTTCTTTATTTTCATCACTTATCTGCCCTATGCTGCATTAATCTTGCTAAGAGAAATTCTGTCTTGGTCCTTTAAGGGAGGTTAAGGGTTAACAATGTAAAGAAAAGAATTTTAAAAGTAAAAACATGTTTTCAATACAAGTATAGTTATCACAATTATAAATAGCAAGACTCAGATAAGAATGATAAAGTTTACTTTAATGGTTTGCCTTACTGTTTTCAACACAGGTGGTAATTGACAGTTTATTTATCATAACCAACAATGTGTATTCATCCATGTTTAATTTAAAAAATTAAAAGTTTGTGTTTTTTCATGTTGTGTTGAGTTTGAGAGCCTCAGCATAAGATCTACTGATTATTTCTTTGGATCTTCTTTTCCAACTTTGGCAAAAGGACACCCTGAATCAGAGGCTGGACACTTCCTTTTTGCACCAGCTGGCAACACTGAATCAGCTGGCTCCACAAGAGGCTTTCCTTCACTCTCAACAGCTTTAAATGGACAACCATCTTTCTGAAGTACAGGACACTCCTCAGCTTTCTCATGGCCAACACTGTGAATGACTTTCACGGTCTTCATCAGAGCTTCTTTATGGTGGCAGTCCTTGTCACTGCTTGGCATCTGCGACAGCTTACTGTGGATTTCTTCAATTGTTTTGGCATCCTTGAAGGCACATCCTTCTTCAAACTCCGGGCATTTCTTAATTTCTCCCAAAAGAGCTTCATTCTCCGTGTTGGCAAATGGACACCCTTCCTTGAAAGCAGGACACTTCTCCTTCAGTTTACTGACATCAGAGGTAGTAAAACCTTCTAACACAGCTGCTGGTGGCTCTATCAAAGGTTTTCCTTCCTTGTTGGCATCTTTAAAAGGACAGCCTTCCTCTGTCTTAAACACAGGACATTCTCCAACCTTCTCTTCCAACTTTTTGGACTCAGAATGAACAGCCTTCAGCATGCTGAGTAGCTGCTCATGTGCCTCTCCCGTGTGGTGCTTTGATTCTGGCATCTTGGACAATTCTTCAACCACTTCCTTGACATTTTTAGCATCTTTAAAGGGGCATCCTATCTGGAACTCGGGGCATTTTTTGAGTTCTTCCATGAAAAGATCTTTTGTCAGATTGGAATAAGGGCAGCCTTCTTTAAATGCAGGACAGTTGTCCTTCAATGTTTCATTATCATGCTGAAGGAAGTGAAAAAGAAGTTTATTTGTGTTTGTTTTGTTTTCTTTTTTTTCATGTAAATTGTTTATCAAACTTACGCGTAGATAGTTTACTACAGGGTTATACAGAAATCATTCCACTTTTATGAACATGTAGGGTTTTTAAGAGATGTTTTTAGAGCAAATTAGGAATTTCTTGCAAGGTTATTGCATCGATTTTTGCGATTCAAATTTCTGGGCTTAACATTGCGTGATTAATTGTTGTCACACTTCACAATCAGATGGAGAGTCACGTGGCTAAACACTTGACCGGAATTTTCCGACTTCCCTGATCTTCAATGAAACTGAAGCCCAAAACTCATTAGAAAAAGGAGATTTGATACCACTACTCACTTAACAACTATTTATAGCGTTCGAGAAAGTAAGCTGATGGTTCTGATGATAAATTTATCCTTGAAATACAAACAAAAAAATAAGTTTAATTTACTTATCAATGACTGGCGAGAAAGAAACCATCGGTCGTCGAAATCGGATTTGCAATTCGCTGGCTTTTGACTGAGAGATTAGATCACGGACTTGAGCTTGGATCGGTCCTTAAAAACTTGAAAAAGACATGACGATTCTTTGACTAAATAAAGGAACAATGCTGAACAGCACAAACAACAATGGTCCCCTGATCTGTTGAAATCTTGACTTACACCTGTAGGGTGTCACACAGTGATCACTGAAAAACAGTCATGGTACCTTTAGGAAATACTGTAATCGCCTTATCAAATCTAGAAGACTTAGAAAAAACGGGATGAGCTTGCTTACCTCAGTTCCTGCCATGACTGCAAACGACGCTAAACAGAGCAAAAGAAGAAATGAGCCATAAATAACACGTGATGGTTTACGTCACAGCTGTTATGTGCAGGAAAGTCACGAACACGGAAAGATCGAAACCACTTGAAAGAACAACACGAAGACTGAAATAGTAATTGTCGGTTTGTTGATGAATATTGTTTATACTCTTTACGCCAACCTTGTCATGAAGGAATCGGGAAAGGTTTTCATGTGACCCCATTCTATTCTAAAACAAAAAACTTGTCCCAAAGGCAAGACTATTGTGAACACCACTGTCTCTCTGTTATCAATTAATTGTACGCGTAATGAAGTACTGAGTTGTACGGAAATCTTGTCGAAACTCGTTTTGCACAAGATTTCATGAAACCTACGCCATGACTCTGAGGAAATATTGACGTTAGTAAGGTCTAAGTTCCGTTTCAGTCACTAGCACTAAACTTCAAAGCCTTGCTGAGTTTATTCACAGTTTGCTTTTCTCACAAGTCTTTTAGTATGCTGCTATTGAATTTTCATTTTTTGTGCCCACTGCTCCGATTCTGGAATATTGCGCAGGCTATCGGTACTTTCAAGGTTTTTTTTATATAAAAAAATAAATTAAAAAAAAAAAGAGGGAGAGCTCGGCACAGATGGAATGTGAGACTAAAGCTCACTATAGAAGTAGCTTGTCCAAGAAACGTTTTGCGTTCAAGAGCTACTTTGATCCTGTGTTTTAAAAATGAAAATTATAATTAAAAGAAGCGCTGCACCTTAGAATGTCGAGACTTTACGACTTGAACATCGATGACAGTGAAGGACTGACGAACCAGAGGGGGGGGGAGGGGTTTTCAGAATCTTTCAATGAAACATCAAAACAAAAGAACAGCAAACCATCTTAAGGACAATTGGCCCTTTGGAGTTCCTTAGAATTTTTCGTTTGATTGGCAAGCTCCACACCTCTTGATTAATTATAGCAAGGAAGCCTGGAGAGAGTTGCTCTCCCCAGACTTTCCTCGGATTTCACTATCGCGGTTTGTGGTAACTATCGTCTTAAAAAAGTGCGACATGACTGAAGAGGCTACGTTTCCTGCGAAGAGACTACGTCTGGTCTAAACAAACAGAACGTCGCTTTTCAAAGGAACAACTGGTATGTGTTTTTAAGATTTTTAAGGTAAGGTGCATGCTAGAAACTGCCCCTGTCTGATCGTTCTAGCTGGACGCAGTCCGTGTATAATTCTAATGAAAACGCTTTATTGATAAATTATGTAATGTTAAATGTATGTACTCCTATCGATTCCGATTGTCTTAAATTCTAGTTTCAAATTCATAGTTCATGTTTAGAATTTAGTTTTATTTCGGTCAGGTTTTTTGAAATTTTAACTCCATGGATATGCTGAATGGCTGGTCACTTAATTCTGAGGTTAAGCTATACACAATCTTAATCAGTGTCTGCCACCTTAATTAAGTCATAAAAAAGTTAATGATTAAAATGAATTTTCACTGAATTTAAAGAAGTTGTCACAGCAGAATCTGAAACCAGGTAACAAAAACTTTAGTTACTAACTTAGTGAAAGTGAGAATACTGGACGACAGAACAGGCTCCAAAGCGAAATAACAAATGATCCCCGGATCACGAAATGGTTTGTACCTCTGGCGCTTGTGCTCTGGCGCGGTGCTCGTTTCAATACCCCCTCCCCCCTCTCCCCTCCCCCTCCCCCCTCCCCTCCAGTGACAAACTCTTTGTTTCGGTTTGGCATCTCCGTCAGATTTTGAGCGATTCTATTCGTTTTCGGACTCATCCGTTTCATCGACGACGCTTAGGTCCTGTTAGACAGTTCCATCCGACTTTGATTTTGGAAGGGTCTACCTTTACGAAACTTGTTCAATCCCTCAACTACGTGATCGCTTTTTACTGACGAGGGAAAACAAGCGGATTCTTGGAATAACTTCTTATGTTTTCAGCAAACAAACAAAATAACGAAACAAAATCAAAATAAGCCGGTAATATTTTGCTTACAACCGCAGTTAGTTAAGTGTAAAGTTGTGCTAGGAAAGATATATCATTTAAATCATTTAATTTTTCATCAAAATAATAATAGTGCAGGGTCATGTGTAAAACCAGCTTATGGCGAAAAAGATACATCCTGTTTACAATGTTACGAATGAAATAATTTTAAAACATGTAAGAAACATCGCGATTTACTGCCGGCTTAAGGACTAGTTAGTGTCATTATGTGAAACATCTGGAAGTGGGATCATAATCCTTTAATTGGAACAGGACCAACCATTGATAAGTTAAGATTAAAGATATCAATTAAAATGATATTTGAATAAAGTGTGAGCTTCTAAATCGAGTGTTTACGATGGAGAAGAGTTGTCGAAGTCGTTACTTGTTTGCAGGGAAAACAAAAATTAGACGAGGAGTTTTCATTTCAAATTTTACAAATACCTGTTACTACGACAAATGGTTTTCTTTCATCCCGTTAATCCAAACTTTTTGCGAAAATTTAAGATTATAACTTGCATGTGGGTTAAAAATTGACTTCCAAGCACAATTTACGAGTGAAACAGAAGAATATGCACCACATAGATCCAGCAATGTTTTAGAATATGTTTGCATTATCATGAGTAGTAAATAAGTTGTACAGTTTATCTAAACATGAGATGGCTCACAGATTGACTTAAATACTTATCTAAATATTTATCCGGTAGTTTCAATTTTCAATTCACGCTAAGTGAATCCGTTCACTCTGGGAGAGTTTCGTTTCATTTCATCCACTGACTCGGCCATACTTGGTTGAGGGAAACAATCCAGCGCTCTACGAGTCAGGTGATAAAGCAAGTAACTTTAATTCTACAGGGCAATCATAGACACTATCCAAACGGTATGTAAGTAACTGCTGAAATATTTACATTTTGGTGATAGATTTGGAGTCTCTTTGTTTGTAAATCTGTAGATTGGAGTTTGGGTGTTAAAGAAAACTAAACTATTTTTAAATAGGCGCTTAGTAGCCGACTGATGTAAAGTTTACCCCGACATTCTATGATCTGACCCACATGATTTCACGGGAGAAAAGGAATTTGTTGAGCATTTGAAACATTCATTTAGTTGCATGCATGTGTCTCCTTAAGTGTTTGTGGTATTCCACTAAACAACAATGTCGAGCCACCGCAAGGAAACGGCACTGTATAAGATATAATTTTGTAAGCTAATTAATACAAGACCCGACTTAATGGTTGCTACTGGTTCCGTCTTTGATTAGCTCATCCTGTGATGCTCCTTGATCGCGTTTCTGGTTTTGTTCCATCTTTCTGTGAGTGGCCGTTTCTTTCACTTCATCGACGGAAACTGGACAATTTCATTCACAACGACTGACTCTATAGATGTCCCACTTGTAAATCGTTGTACTCTTCTAAGGTTCTCGTAAATTCAGGTATTGTACCAATTAAGATATAATTGGCTTAATGCACTGACCAAGGCAACGAATACGATTCAGTAACACAAGTTGGCAAAGGACCTTTCTTTTTTGACCTGACCTTGACCAATCCTGTTTATGTTAGCTTAGAGTGAGAATACCCTTTTAAATTAAGGGTGTCCTTGTGTGAAGTTGATCGGGGGGATTCTTGATTTTACTCAAGAGCTGTGTTATTCAGTGATTTCAGGTGCCATTTGTTAAAAGATTCCGTGATTAAACAATGACCCTGTTAAGCTTACTGAGTGAAAGCAGCTCTCTGTTTCATTAATACGATTAAAAGGATCTCTTATTAGCTACCAGTCCAAAAATACAACCCATTTAGAAATAATGAACCAATACATCACCCACAACGACTGTAACTGATCGAGTCAACAGAGCCCCCTTAATTCATGAAAGTAACTTCCGGTCCTTCCGTATGTCTGACTAAACGCGTCGGACTATTTTAGGCCATTGAAAAAGTAAAAAACGGACATTAGGGGGAGACTGCTGAATGAACCAAATGATTAGAGAAGTGATAGGGATTATTTTCCTTCCTTAAGATTTCCGGCGTCCTAAAAACCCTCAGTCTGAGCTGATATGATGATTTCCTGTCAAGTCTCCGTGCACAAGCTTAAAAATGTTTTTTTTTCTGATTCAACAAAATAGAGGCGCCCTTTTAAAGAGGCCAACGATGGACTTGCCACCCCCCTTCTGAGTTAAATGCGATTTGGAAGTCTTCAGGTTCAGAGTGCATTTATTTTTTATTCCATTTCCCAAAAGACGCCGGGTTAGTGTCTGTCGGTAAGGAACAGCTAACGTAGGTACATTATGATTTTTTATAAGAAAATGCCCTTAAATACGCGAGACCAAGGAGGGTAAATGTACGGAGTCGACGAAAACCAAAGGGGGCACAATATACGAAAAAAAGGAAATTGAAGATTATTGATGGTGAAGATTGCGCCGATTGCAGAGAGTTGACTTGTAAAACAACCATGCGACTAATCCACTAGATCCGTGTTCTGTTAATCGCTTCGTCATCAAACTACAGCCTTGAAGATTGCTAAACTGACCTGGACGGCATAAATATGATTAAAATATGTCGTCCAAAGAAAGCTGAGTACCGATTGTACTGAAATAAAGTAGCCGTATTTGCTTCATCACCTGGAATGGATTGAGGTCATTAACTTTAAACTGATAGAGCGTCAAACTGAGTTATGTTAAATGGACAGTTCAAAGAGAGATTGTTCACAAAGTGGCTAGCGCAACACCAAACCCAAATTTGGTTCTGTTATTTTGTTTTAAAAAAATGTTGCTATTTTGTTAGGGTAACGTGAAACTAAGGATTTGAGGTGGAATGTGACTTTCTATGTAAGCCACAAACCTGATGAAAATTTGCACTTCAGCCTGCGTTGGCCTCCTTAATGGTATTTAAAAAACACTGACTGATAAACTGCCTTGTTGGTTTCTAAAGACGCACATTATCTCCCAGCCAATTTTCTCCTGGTGTTCCTACAGTAGTATAATTTGTTTCATCTTTTTACTACGGTAAAAGTGGTTTTTTAATGAAATAGAGAGCTCAATCGATTCCGTTGATTTAAAGAAAACATACACCGGCTGAACATTCGGGCCAAGACAAGGCCTCAGGGCTGTAATAATTCATGTCGAAAAACTCAACGTCTGAATACGTGTCAACGATAATAATTAAATGTTTTTAATTAAATTGCATATAGCACGCCTGTTTATTGCATTACCGACGAATTGAGCTGCGGATACTTTTCGCTTCCACTCACGAATGGCTGGTATACTCTCGACTATTACAAGGAATGAATGTGCAGTGATTGACCTGAAGCGCATGTAATTAGTCTGAATGACGTAATCATTGCCTATTTCCTTATAGAGTGTTTGTGAGGGGGTAGAGGTGGGGAGAAATTTTTTGTAATTTTGAATAACTCTCTGACGAGGGGCGGGGAGACGGGGTAAGGAATGATCTGAGGCGCGCCTTAGGGTTCGTGATTTCAGACCAGGACGACTCCATATTCAAAGCAACCGTTGGCGTTTCTTGTGTTTTCAAACAGTTCATCAGACAGATATTTTTTTCCGAACCCCGAGTGACTGATTCACGATCTGCTTGCGCCACTCTTTGTCTTGACAACAGTTACAGTCGGCGGCGGCTTGGGTCCTTCTGATCTTGTTTGCTGAAACGCACGGTGAACGAAGCAAGACCATTGCAGCAGTTAATAATACCTTGGAAAAAGTTGTTTCCTCAAAAGTGATTTGGATCAAAGGCCTGAGGGCCGAAGCTCTGGAAAAGCCATCATTATTATAATTTAATCGCAGCTCTTTTGAGTTCAGGTTATCAGTTAAGTTCATCTGCTATTTTCAGAGTGAGCCGACAAAAAAATTTGTTGTAACGATTTCTTTGCTAGTCTAGATATCTTGAGTAAACAAATAAACACTGTAAGGTAGATAAGCATTTTTGTAATTGAAACAAGTTGTGGGTAACGCTTTATCGAAAGCAGTTAATTGCGACAACATGTGTATCCAGATAAGAGAACATATCAAGTATTTAGCAATTCATTTGGGGTTTAGCGAGTTAAATCGACGATTCTTGAATCAATTCGCCACAAATTTAAGGAAATTGTTATGTCTTAGAGGTGTCGGTGATGATTGTTCCCGCTAAAACGATCAGAGCCCATTTTGAACAGTGTCACTAACCTTCTTAACGTTATCAGAAAAATCACGTGAGTACACATGATCGATTAACTGTGAAAAATTGCCGACACAAGTTACATTGCACTTGCTATATACGTTTAAGTAACGCACACGGGTTGGGCTTCAGCTCGTAAAACTCTGAACTTTTAAAAAATTGTCTTGGCAGTTTGAAAACAGGGAGGTATTAACAGTTATGTTGAGTTCTTGGTACGGTTATATAACAACTGAATATCCTCTGGGGGGAATTGAAAGCGTTTTTTCCTCCAGTTGGTGGCCAATAATTCAAATACTTAGGCTTGACCTTACCTTTCTTTTTTCTTTTTTCCTATACCGTAATACTTTGGAACCAACTCAGACCCAAACCAGCTCTTCCAAGACTTACGTTACGGTATGAGCAGCCAAATGATGAGGAACTAAAAAGAATTAAAAGCCACACATGGATAAAAAGCGCAGAGGCGCATGGACAATGTCATATAACGTTATTTCCTTCTCTTCTTCTTCCTTTTTGCTTCAGTTATTGGCTGAAAAACAAACGTCTCCCTTGTTTAATCGATAACATATTTCATTTCTATCTCGGTCCTTTGTGAGTAGATAACCTGGACAACTACCGGGTCTCAATTGAGATGATTGTCTGCGCAATATTTGATAGAAACGGTGGCTTTTAGATCTTTAGCGGAAAAATCACCTCTTTCAAATTGTGGGAGATTTTCCGTTGCGCTGTGCCAAATGTTTATTTCTACCGCTGGAGCTAGTTGTCTTGCTGTTCACTACGCTTCCTTTTAATGTTTTGTCAAACAATAACACATCATTTCTCTCTATCTATGAAGATCGTAAGTAACACCCGCGTGTTTGTTACGGCTAACAACGAATGCCTCTAACAAACCTGGCAAAATAATTATTTTTGTAGCAGGATCACCGAATCTTTTCACCTTTTATCTCTTGGGTAAATAATTTGGCCACGCCCAACTTTTGGATTGGAGAGATAAGAATTTAAGATCGAAAATCACTTTGGATATTTGAAGTGAAGTCGAATAAATTTGGGAAGCTTGACAGTTATACACCTGGATAGACACTTACAACTGACTCTGTATAACTTGATGTACAAAGACAGACAGAGAGACAATGGGAGAAGCTTTATCAGAAAAAGTTAATCCGTTTAAATGTACAAGGATTAAGCTTGAGTTGCGCAGCAAAGAATAAAAGAAAAATAACCTGAGAAATCGTAGCCAAAACTAAATTGGGCAAATGCCATCTGTGGTCAGTAACCTAAGCCTTGGATGAAAATGCTTTTGCACAAATAGCATGAATTTGCGAAAATACCAGGAGGCAAGAAGCTTGTAGCTATGTGTAGCCTTATAAGAACTTGAAAGGCAAGTCAACAATCAGTTCTTTTTCCGCAAATTATATCGCATAACGCCATGTAGCATCGGAAACAATTTTCCAACAGAAGGATACGTTTATTTATATCCTTAGAGAAACAGGACACGTATTGCTATGTTCCTAACTCGGAACTCGTTCCCGCAAAAATGCGAGAGGGGAAGAAGTTTCTTTTTATCTGCTTGACGGCTGTTTAATAAACGAACTACTGAAGAGATTCGGTTTTCAACACAAACCTGGTGTTAAATCTTACCTCAGTTGATTGGTATAAAGTTACTGTTATCAAGGGTTGCTTGCCGCTTTAAAGGTCAACAGCAAATATACGCGTCAGCGGAAACCCATCTGCTAACGCTTGGAGTAAGAGCGCTAGTTTGTTGATTCACCAATGTTTTTGTGACACTTAACGAAACTTTCACTTAAATACAGTGTAGAGTTTTTATTTTCCTATCAATTTGATGTAAAAACATCTTTTATGTTTCGTGCGCGGCCGTCTGGATATTTTCCAAGGCTTTTTTCGCTCTCAACGCGACCGGAAATCCCCAGTTCATTAAGACAGATACCTGGACGCGAGTTTAGTAAATGTCCTTTTTGATCAAAAACTTATGTTCAAATCATTTTGTCATCACCACGAATTGTTATCAATTATCTCATGAGTTCATCTCAAATTCACAGACCTGCGCTGAGAGCTGCTCTAAAAGAGGATATCAAAGATCACAGTGGCGGATGCTTTCAAGGAACACAACTCATATGTGTAGCCAGGCATCAAAGAAACAAGATTAAATCATTAAGCTGGCCTCTCTCGGAACGCGCTGAGCTTGCAAGCAGCTTGACAGAGACAGAAACTTGAAAACGTTCTAGCTGAGAACTGATCGAGACAGATCGTACTTGCTATCGATTTAGCAGCATGCAGACCTCTAAATCTAAAAGCTTTTTCCCTCTTATTCTGGCACTTCTCGGGGCTGTAAGTGGTTTTCGCCGCGGTTCAAGTTCCTATGGAATAAGACCAATCTCCCTCTATGGTTATAATAACCCGCGTGCTCAAAGGTAAGATCTAAATTATTTGCGGTGAGTTGAAAATAGATTTTGGTCATTCATTGTAGCAAAGTAATTTTACGTTTGACATGAGAGCAGGGAAATCTCAGAGTTCTAATGATTACTTCTGCCTATTTCAAATGAGTTGTTCACTTTTTAAGATCAACTTATTGCAAGAATTTGCGCCAAAGGGCGGACAGTTTTGAAGTCTTAAAAGAATCCGATTTCCCTGTTCACAGCAGAGTAATTAGTCAGGAAGACATCCGTAAGCATGAAATTTTAAACTTAGGTTTATGAAACGAGTCGAGGTTTCTAACTAAATATTGAACTTTTTTTCGGCTTCAGCCAATGCACGTATATTTGAAAATTAATTACGACTCCTCAGTCTTGAATTTAAAATTAATTGCTCCGCGATGTGCCGTGTTCAACCAATTCTGTTAGAGTGCCCTCGTTTGTTAACCGGTATGTTTAACATCCGTTAATTTTTTTTCAGTAATTGCGGTTGAGGCCTTAACTCAAATCTGTATAGAGAGCACTAAATTGTTCAAAGATTTGGCATGCTTTGAATGTTTTAATCGACCTTTGTAATGTTTTAATTTTCGTGACTAAAACAATCTGATACTGTGCAGTTTACATGAATCAGGTCACGTAAAGGTACCAACCGGGTTCATCAGTGGAATTAATTAGTTTAGCGTTTTGCACCCTGCAATGCACAAGATTCACGACTTGCAGTAGATTAGGTTATCTTCAATGTGTTGAACGAGATAAACATCGGAAGGCTTTTTAAACAGACAGGCTAGAGGAAGTGCGATTATTATTTACTTAGTTTATCTTACAACACGACCACCATAGAAGTGAAAATAGGATTCAGATAGATAGAGAAAATTGAAGTAATGACCAATCGCTGAACCCCTTGAGGTGATTAGCATCTAGTTTCTCCTTACACTATTACTCCTGAAAAAATATTAAAGTCATGAGAATAAAGTCAAATTATATAAACTCATGATTGTCAAACAAATTCTCCTTGCGTTCTGATGTTAAGGTATAAAGGGCTAAAACATTTACACGAAGACGGTGGAACCAGCATTCTAATACTTAAAGCAGACTTCCTTTCTGAGCGGAAAAACTGTAGTCAGCGGAAACAAGCTCCAAATTTCCAAATTTTCCCTTTATATCCAAAGTAAAATGAGTCTGTATTCGGCGGCCGGAGACACCAACATTTAGCGCTTTCATTTTATGGATGTTTTCACCGTTTTTCTCATTTCCAAAGGTTAAAAGTACATTTTCTCTTTTTAAGTCTTTCAGTCTAAAATGACCGGATAAGCAAGTTTTCTGATCACCTGCTTTCGTTGAACTACTTAAGCGCAATTTGCTCAACTTCTATTCACGTGCAGACTTATTCCCAGCCTTCAACGGTACGCCGTGTAAACATTCCGGTCTGTAGTGTCCCAATAACTGTACAAGTTTGTAAAGCGAGTGGAACGAACGAATAGAAGCACGATTTTGCATAAACTAAATTCTAAATCTTCTTCCTCACTCTCTCATAACAGCCAAACCGCTCACCATCAAAACCGATTGGTTCTGGACCCATCCAACAAGCTACCGCTGTACAGGAAGACCGGGCAAAAAAGCCACCAAGGAAGGGCACCAAGCCCCCCAAAGCCCGGAAACCAAGGTGATGACAGCAAATCTTCTGGCGGGCAGTACTGTATATACCAGAAACCAAAACAGGTCACTTGTAATGTGGTGCACATGAAACGAGTCACGAACAGATATAAGTACTACTGTGGAAGTCAGTCCCGGGACAAAGTATGCACAGGTTATAGGTTAGTATACACCACAGTGAAGCGTATATAGCGGAAGTTAGATGGCCGACATGACTTCAAATTCCGATAAAAACTCGGACCCAAGCGTTCGGCGGCTGGAGAATCGAACGAGTCCACGCGGCTTGGACTCGACCGAAGAGGGGTAGGAGAGGAGGGTAATTGTTTTGTTTTGCTCCCTCCCCGGACAGGTATCTAGTGCTTCAGCAGCAAACTTCTGTAATGAACAAGTGTCCCATCCACTGAAAAGGAATAAAATTATTTTGGGTAATGCAGTATTATAAAATATGAACAGAATCTGTTGCATTTGCGGTTTTCAGGGTTTCGTATCGTCCAGAGTACAAAGTAGAAGTAAGAACAGTTATGACGTCAGTCAAAGATTGTTGTCCCGGATTTACAGGTTCAGATTGTAGTCAAGGTTAGTAAGAGCACAAGCACACATCGATGTCCACGACTTGAAAAATTCGTCGTTGATCAATTGCCGAACTGTCAAAGCAGAGAGTGAATTGGCTATGAAAAAAACTTTTATTCAAGTTTAGTATCTACTTAAGTATAGAATTATCACAAAATTTGGAAACATTGCGAGCTAAATTAAATGCAAACGCTGGTCAAATTCTAGAATTATGATGATATACTGGAGTCGTGCAGTGAAATATTGTAGGAGAAAATGGTATATTATTTTGCCTTAGTGAATCAGTTTGAAATCAAATTTTTTAAATTTCCATGTAAATTACTTTGTCAGTGTGTATCTCCAGCTTTAGTTTAAAATTGCTTAAGAGGAAACATTTACTGTCTATCTTGTGATTAGCGGCAGCTGTGCTAAGTTAAAATCCCTTTATTTATCGAGAGCGAATACAGAATAGACGCGATAATGAAGATGAAGCAAAGTCAAAAATTTCTTGGATTCTCCAACAATAAATAAGCGGATTTATCGATGAGCTGAAGTACGCTATTGTTTTAGTGCAGTTTTTAACACGAAGATATGTTTGTTCATCGTTAAAAAAGCCAGAAATGGCTTCTAACACAAAGTGAGGTAGATAGCATAGTAGGAGAAACCCGCAAACATAAGCCATGGTAATGGCGGATTTCTTGTAGTGTGGCATGTGAATTGCGTTTAACACGCTTCTTACGCGGATATGAGAACTACAGAATCGTAATCCCACATAAATATTGACGTATGAAGCAATAGGTACAATTAAACACAGGCTCACTACAACAGTTTGGAAAACTCGAGCGGAATTCTTCTCCCATACTCCCAGTCCAACCCAAGCGCAGGCGATCAACCAGCAACATATAACAGCAAGAATTGTCTTCTTTAAGGTCACAAGACTACGATATTTCCCGCGCAAGCGATACGCCATGTATCTGTCAATAGAAATAACACTCACTAATAAAAGAGAAACGGCTGCCAGCGCATCTCCGAAGAGCGTATCAAATATTGCCATTATGCAGACCGGCTTGTAATAGTCTTGTCTGTACCCAATGATCTTAAACGCTGCAAAAAGAGGCTGAGAAAAAAGACCGACGCCAAGATCTGTCATGGCCAAGCTGAATAGAAGAGCTTTGGACGGAGCGTGAATGGTACGACATTTTTTCAAACCCAGTAGGATGAGTAAATTTCCAACAGAAGCTGTTAACGACAAAAAAGTGTTGATAATTGAAAGAGCGATGACGAACGAAAGCGGATTATCCTCGATCAGTAATTTTTCAGTCTGTGTGTCGCATATCTCTTTATACAGAGTCATAGCGTAGACTTTCAGTTCAATATGGAAATTGAAGTTCAAAATAACATGTCACATGACCATTATGCGAATTTTTGCAATAATGCCATTTCCTCACAGCACTAAATTTTCTCGAAGCTTGAGGTGTATCGCAATCAAATGGTAAACTACCTTCTTTACCTTAATTTAAACTGGCCGATATGGTGACGTTAATAGGAGTTCAAGGCTGGATGATAATTGCAATTCCTCCATTTAATTTATTTCAGTGTTAATGAAATTCAACATTTTAACAAATAAATTTCGTGCGAAAAAAAAAACAATCGAGTGCAGATAGATGATAACTTTGCGATCAATTTTTCTGTGGCTCGTTCAAATCTTTTGCGTGGTTTAAAAATCTGTCACTTCCGCAACGCCCTCTTTCAAGGTGTCTTTTTTCCTACGAGAAAACGCTCGAATTTTTCCTTTCTATAATTGAAAGACATGCATTATTTGATCAATGCGCGGCCTCTAACTGAGAGATATTTCACAATTTCAAAACGGAACAATTAGATCTCAGAATTATTCATCATTGTCTCCATAGTCCACACACAGGCTTTTCTAAGATGTCTCAAATAAAAAAATAGTAAAAAATTTCACGCTATTTCATTGTTGCACTATTTTTAAGGCAATTCTTCAAAAGAGACCGATAGAAAAGTAGATAACTGGAAAATTTTCACCGCGTTCACGTAATGAAAATTCACCTGACAAGTTAGAGATCTGCTAAGGGGACATTGAAACTTCATAATACGTTGTGTTCAGTCGCGTTCTGTCCATGTTTGTGTGGGCTGGGAACGGAAAAGGATTTTTAAATATGCCATAAATTTAACACAGATACATCGTTTTTCCATTTTGTTTGAAAAGTTACTGCTGATTCCATTAAGTACTTAGCCCATGCTGATGTTAATTGTGATTTTTGCTCAATTCCACAGCCTGTTTTAACTGTACCAAGTTCCTTTTGTGGGAAAGCCGTTTGTCTGCACTGGAAAAGGTTAGTGCATTACTTCATTGTAATTAACCATGATGACAGCTGTCTCGCAAACCAAACAACTCTCTGAGTGTCAGGATCACATAAAAAGTTTCAAGAGTTTACTTTAAAAAAAGAAAATTAGCATGAAGGTCTGGTTTTTCTCCTTCGTTTGATAGTTTTCTGTTTGCTTTCAAAAAATAATTCTTAACTGATGACTTTTTTTTCATTTAAGAGAGCTAGGACGTCTGCAGCAGCCACTATATCCGATGAAGATGTCACCTTCAGGGGTAACACGGGACTACCGGGCCCCCCCGGCCCTCCGGGTCCCCCAGGACCACCGGGTGAGAGAGGAGAACCAGGACATGGAGGTTCTAGAGATGTAAGAGGTACGAAGAAATCATAGCTCAAAATCCTTTACTTTTGAAAAAATGGATTCATTTACAATAATTTATTATTTGTTTTGTAATTATCTGTAGGACCCTCTCTAGGGCCTCAGGGTCCAAAAGGACAGAAGGGGGACTCGGGGCCACCAGGTCCGGCCATGGTGGTGACAGGAGATCCGGGTCCTCCGGGATCACCGGGAATACGAGGTCCTTCGGGTCCACAAGGAAGAAAGGGAGAGCCAGGGTTGTCCGTACAAGGACCGGTAGGATTACGTGGACCTCCTGGACCCCCAGGGGAACCCGGGCAACCGGGCATTAGCACCTCGGTAAGTAGGATGAATAAAGGAATGCAAGACATGCAGAGCAATTTACTAAGAAACACCTTGTTTTTATCAGCCAGAAGATTTGTCTAAACTGAGAGAACAAATAAAACAGCTGTCCGCCATAGTCAAAGACCTGGACGAAAAAGGTAAGTAGTCCATAATTATATCGGGGGTTCTACGGTTTGCATCTAAGTAATACAAAAAAAAAAATACACGTGCGCCTGATTAAACACTTCACAAAACCAGGAGCCCATTGATGGGTTCCTGACAAAACTGAGTGTCAGTTATTGAGTTATGTGAAGCGTTAAGTCTGGAGTACCATATCCAACCACATTCAACGTGAAAATGTGCTTATCTGAGAAGTTTCGATGTCGACTTTCACATCAGGTGACATTGTCCTCTTCCTTACTTTGCTTGTTAAATCTCCTCTTCGTTTTCCAGTGTTTCCGTGGCTGTCCATTGTAGGCATTAACAGTCACGCTTCTTGTTCCCATTTTCAGTTTCCAGATGCAAGTGTTCTTCAGGCACAGGCCGCCAGAGTGTGAACGAGAAAGATGATGTTGTAGTGTCCACAGAACCAGGCACCACTTTACCTTTGTTCGCAACTCCAGCTCGTTAGAAGAATCTTTCCTTCGTTCAACTACCTCTTTCGCATTCCCTCAAATTATTGGAAAATAATTTCGTCTGCTATCCCAAAGTTAACTTATCTCTCAATTTAATTTAACCAAATAGTAGCCGCTATAAATCCCACCTCCAAATTTTTGGGTATTTTAAACTTATTGTATTCGCCACTCGTGTAACCTATACCGGACATACAGCGTTCCCTTCGTTATTTTACTTTTCCCGAGCGTTCAAGGAGGATTGATGTCACGAAGACAATTACCCGAGTTCCTCCAAATCAAGTTCTACTGAAAAGTGGAATTAAAGTATAAAATATATGCTAAACCATTTTATATCAAAGAATACATTTCGCTGACTGTTTGAAACATAGGTGCTTTAAAATAGAAACATAATATTTTTTAGTTCCATATCATTGTTTGAGTGATGACGAACAACAAGCATAAATTTACCAGCGATGACACTTCTTCCACCCCACCCACCTCTATTAAACTCC